AGAACTCTTCCGGCACAGTCAACTTCGACGACTCCTTCCGTGTCTCCAACACCACTGCCGACGCCCAGTACCAGGTCCGCGTCGTTGACCACGCCACCTTCGGCTCGGACGCTACCCTCGGCGAAGCACCCTTCTTTGTTGATGATCAGGGTTCCGTTGCCGGTCAGGATAAAGCTATCACTGTTGGCGAAGGTGTCGTTACCATTCGTTCCAGCTTTGTGCTTTCCGATGGTGGGTTGAGACCTACTACATCGCACTCGACCGCTGGTACCCCCGAACCCAATGAGGGAGCGGGCAGTCCTGATTCGAGAAAGATGCCCCGTCGCAGCTTCTTGAGTAAGAGGTCTGTTAGCGGGGTTTAAATCGCCTTGTTTACTTCTATTATCCGCTTTGGAATTGCTTTGCCTATTGAGGCTGAAGAGTATATGAAAATATGAAATGCTTTCGCTTGTTACTAATTGTGTCTTTTTTTTTGTGCTTGTTGTGATATCCTTTTCTCTCTCTTTTTTTTCCCCCACCCTATCAATATGAATTCAATTGTTGAGATGGTTAACGGATGCTTTGAGACATACAACATATACGACACGTAGGATGGAGATGGATGACATAAAAAATGAAAAATGAAAATAGCCGAGTAAAAATAGTCTCAGAACCAATAGTTCGCGCCACCCAAAAAAGCCGAAAACAAGGCTGAGTCTAAGACCTCAGACCCAATGTCTCACTTGGGAATTTTAAAGGGGCGAGGCTATACTGACATGTTGGTATTTTCATCACATTCTCATGGCTTCTTTTATATTAAAATAAATTTGGTCATGGGCCCTTTTCTTTTACCCGAGTCTTTTTTTTTTCTTTCTCGAAACTTGGTCTGCACAGCCCTGGGTGATCTGCGCTTTGATGCATAGACTGAGTTGTACCTCGTATACAGGTAGTACTGTGTATGTAGATATAACTGTAGTGATAAGAGGTAGGGATAGGGGATATAAGATCTGTCTATTCAGCTGTATTATTTTTAGATCTCTTAAATGGTGGCCATAGGTACGGAGAACGGAGTACTATATTAGCCTCATTTATTTAGGGAAGAGGCGTGGTGGGGTCGATAATTTGCCTGTCCCGCAGTTGCCACTTTGACCGGAATTTCTTTTCTGGACACAGTTGGTCTAAATGAATTAGAAGGAGAGATACTATTTGCAATAGTATATGTATTGTAGTGAAAGAGAAAAATTCTACCGGCATTCTGTGCTTTCCAATCTACCTAACTAGGTCCATGTCGTACATTTTAGTAAACAGTACGGAGTACTACAGCCTTAGCTATATTGTCTATTGCATATAGAGGTCAGGTGAACATTCTGACTACACATCTATTCTAAATGTTTTGGAATAACACAACATTGATATAATTAGGGACGAATCAGTTGAGTTTATTCCAAACCATTGAAACCTGAAACTGAAACAAGGCAAAAAGGAGGATGAGAGCTTGTATCTGGTGGGGGTCTAATCCTATTTGTAGGGACTAGCTCTTTTTAAGGTGGAGAGGGAAAAGGGGTCTGGATTGACAGTGGACTTGTGTACTCCGGGCATACAACATAGGGGTCTCAGGGTATACAACATAGTTGATGGTGAATGGTTAGGATGGGAATCCTGTAGAACTCTCACTTAATCTATACGGGGTTTCATAGTAATGTGTCTGTAGGTCTTAGTTCCCGAGCTCCAGCCCGTGGGCATGTCAGTGGCTGGTAACTGACGACATCGGGATGCAAGGAGGACTGAGCGAGATAAGAGAAATAGCAATGGCAATGGCATACGAGTACTTTGTAGGAAGAGGAATAGAGAATGTAGATATTATCATATAATATGTTATTATATGTTATTATAAAGTACTACAACATAAATAAATACTAAATACCTAAACAGGTCAAACAACAAATAATATAAAATCACGGGGTTTCTCTTCCCCCACTCCCATCTCCCTTTTTTTCCCTTTCCCTTTCTTTTATAACTGGACCTTCTCTCCTTCTTCCCCTCTTTATCTTTGTGTCTAGGAATTGATCTGTGAGTTGTCCTACCCCCTATGACGGCAGCTTGACATCCCAATGGATCGACAAGTGGCAATGAACCCCTCCTTTCTCTCGTTTGGTTGATCTGGAGAGCTCTTCAGTTGCTGAAATGGAGCCACGTTTCCTTTTTTTTGCCTTGAATCTACCACTGACCTTACATTTCCTTATAACAGCCAGTTCCCTTCAAAATCCATATTCATATTCCACCTATAACTCATAATGGGCTCCAAGGCTCTTCCCACTCACCTTCGGGCCCCCGAGAGCGAGGCCTTTGGTGGAAAGCACCATGGCAAGACTCAGTCGCACATGGTAAGTTCATTTCAGGCGGTGAAATCCTCGAATCTTGAACCTTCGTTCTTGCCGTTTTGGCTGTTCCTGCCCGTTTTGGGTTGTTTTTGTTGCTTTCCTGAACGTGTCCTGACGAGACAACTCCTTTCTCTTTTCTTCCCTTTATCATCGCTACACTGTTATCATTGCTCTATTTGTCGAATCACCCAATCTTTTTGTACTTCGGGAAGCCCCTCATTCAATTGTGTCTATTCTTCCCCCTACAATGGCTACCCTCGCCCCCCCATTTGGTCCAGAGCTGACCCGTGAAACCTCCAACCAGGCATTCGAGAATGCTTCCACTAGCGTCGCCGCCTCACAGATGCGCAATGCCCTGAACGCCCTCGGAGACAGCGTCACCGACCCCAACGAGAAGAAGCGCTTCGAGGCCGAGATGGACAACTTTTTCGCCCTGTTCCGCCGTTTCCTGAACGACAAGGCCAAGGGCAACGCCGTCAACTGGGATAAAATCGCCCCTCCTCAGCCTTCCCAGGTTGTTGGCTACGATGAACTCGGTGCAGACGCCTCCGTCGAGTTCCTCAACAAGCTCGCCGTTGTCAAGCTGAACGGTGGTCTCGGTACCTCCATGGGTTGCGTTGGTCCCAAGTCCGTCATTGAGGTCCGTGAGGGCATGTCCTTCCTCGATCTCTCCGTGCGCCAGATCGAGCACCTCAACCGTAGCTTCAACGTCAACGTGCCCTTCGTCCTCATGAACTCCTTCAACACCGATCAGGACACCCAGTCCATTATCAAGAAGTACGAGGGCCACAACGTCGACATCATCACCTTCAACCAGTCGCGTTACCCCCGCATTATCAAGGACTCGCTCCTGCCCGCCCCCAAGAGCTTCGACTCTCCCCTCCAGGACTGGTACCCTCCCGGACACGGTGACGTTTTCGAGTCCCTGTACAACTCCGGCACTCTCGACAAGCTGATCGAGCGTGGTATCGAGTACATCTTCCTGTCCAACGCCGACAACCTCGGTGCCGTGGTTGATCTCCGCATCCTGCAGCACATGGTTGACTCCAAGGCCGAGTACATCATGGAGTTGACTGACAAGACCAAGGCTGACGTCAAGGGTGGTACCATTATCGATTCCGACGGCAAGGTCCGCCTGCTCGAGATCGCCCAGGTGCCCAAGGAGCACGTCAACGAGTTCAAGTCCATCAAGAAGTTCAAGTACTTCAACACCAACAACATCTGGCTGAACGTCCAGGCTATCAAGCGTGTTGTTGAGGAGAACGAGTTGGAGATGGAGATCATCCCTAACGAGAAGTCCATTCCCGCCGATAAGAAGGGTGAGGCCGATCAGGCTATCTACCAGCTGGAGACCGCCGTCGGTGCCGCCATCCGCCACTTCAAGAACGCCCACGGTGTCAACGTGCCCCGTCGCCGCTTCTTGCCCGTCAAGACCTGCTCCGATCTCATGGTCGTCAAGTCTGACCTGTACCGTCTCGAGCACGGCCAACTGGTCATGGACCCCAACCGTTTCGGTGGTGTCCCCGTCATCAAGCTCGGTTCTGACTTCAAGAAGGTCTCCGACTTCCAGAAGCGCATTACCAGCATTCCTCGCATCGTCGAGCTGGACCACCTTACTATCACTGGACCTGTTAACCTCGGCCGCAACGTTACCCTCAAGGGAACTGTTATCATCGTCGCCTCCGAGGGTAGCACCATTGACATTCCCCCTGGATCCGTCCTTGAGAACTGCGTTGTTCAGGGTAGCCTGAGAATCCTCGAGCACTAGATGCTTTCGTCTGATTCTTCCGTCTTAATTGGTTCACCGATCCGTCGCAGTGTTTGATTTTTCTCGTTTTTAACTGGTACATCCGAGGCTATGGATCCCATGGAGTATGCAAAAGAAGTACTTGTATTACATTACAATAATCCAGCGTCTTTTTTCTTTCTTTCTTATTGGGTTTTTCGTCTGGACCTGACTTTAATTCCCAAGTACTGTGATGTTGCTCACCATTCTCAATGAATTACCAGTTCAATCCGTTCATTCCATATAAATTTATGCATGTAGTTATGTAGTGTAGTGGTGGTTGTATGACCATGTCACGGTTCTTTGCTCCGCTATCAACTCGATATATATCCTGAGCAGTAGAACTCCAAACACCTCATTCAGCCCCGATGTCACGAAATTCAAGCTTAAATTCTTGATTTGTAGCACACAGAATAGCCATTGCCTTCAGGCAAAGAAACACCAAAGATAATAGGCGGGGAAAGGTTCCCCATGATATCTTCACAACGTCATTCGCGGCAAAAACAAGCCCCTTTGCCCTAAACTAAACCCTGTCCGGAGAAACGTCTCAAGTATATCGTCCTACAATCATTCGAAACAGGATATTCCTTGCAACAATATGCATTCCTGATCTTGTACAGTCAACTTTGTGTTTTTCATTGTATATTGTCAACAGTACATATTCAACTGTATTACATATTCTTTTTTTACATTCGTTTCTCTACATATTTGGATCATTCTTGTTCATAAATTACATTTTACATTTTAAACCGAACGAAAAAGGAAAAGCAAGAGCATACCAAAATCCACCTGCTCATGTCGGAATATGAGTGGGTATCAACGCCGTCTTGTACCAGGTCCCTCACCTTCGGAGGATGACCATGACCATGATCGGGAAAACTACCATGTACATGACGAAAATGGTAGTCCACCCGCCGAGGAAGGTAAGGGTTCTGGTACGTGGAAGAAGAGGGTTTCAACTGCTTGTCTGGCTTGTAAGAAGTCGAAAAGAAAGGTGAGATTTATTATAAACTCCTACACCTACCTACATCTATTCTACATTCTATATTATATCTACACCCAGATCTATGTCATACCACATCCAACTAACATAACCAAGTGCTCCGGCACATCCCCCTGTGCAAACTGCCAAACCTTCAAAAGAGTCTGCATCTTCGACGAATCCCTCGACCAACGCCGCCGCGTCGCCGCAAAAAGAACAGCAGACGAGCTCTCCTACCATCGCGACCTCCTCTCAGACCTGTTCAAGCTCGTCCGTGAAGCAAACGAGCCAGACGCACTGCATCTCCTAACGATAATTCGCCACAATGCCCCAGCCGATGAAATCCGCGCATACATAAATGAAACGCTAGCCTCCCTCACATCATCAACATCTGATTCGACATCCACGGCGCACAAGCAGGAAACTGTCGCTAAGCTAGAAGATATGCGGCAGCTTATCAATGTCGAGGGTACGGGTCCTACTTTCAGAAGGAAGGTCATGGATATACATTATCTTTGTGATTCCGCGCCTTGTGAGGTTCCTGCCGCGCCGTGGACGAGGGTTACCGCAGATGCGGATTTGGTGTCGCATCTGGTTTCATTGTATTTTGCGTGGGATTGGCCGTTTACTGCCGTTTTGGATAAGGAGGTTTTTGTTAGGCATATGGCCAGGGGTGTGCTTGGCTCGGGGTTTTGTAGCCCGTTTTTGGTTAATGCGGTGCTCAGTAATGCTTGTGTGAGTTTTCTTTTATTCTTTTCATTATTTTGGTTTGCAGTTGGAGGTGTGTTGGTATTGGTTCGGTGGCTGATTGGTTTGGTTAGTACTTCTCCGAGTTCTCCGAGGCTTATGTTGTTCCTGGTGATATCTCTTCGAAAGGGTGTGATTTCCTTGCTGAGGCAGAGAGGTTGAGCGGCGAGGAGAGTTCGCAGCCTAGTTTGGCCGGTTTGCAGGGGACATTGCTGATGTATGAGAGGTTTGTATAATCTTGATCATATGTCCTGGTGATTAGGATGTTCTGACATAGACAGATATTCAATGTCCCGCGAAGACGATCTGGGCTATATAATGTTGCACCAGGCTATCCGAATGGGTGAGGCATTAGGTCTGGTCGGTAGCACAGGACCCAGAATGGCTTCGGGCGAGTTATCCCAGGATATGGATATCTCATGCAAGCGCACAGCCTGGGGGCTGTTTAACGTCGACACGTAAGGCAACCCTGTTAGCACTCGCCATTCGAACTCATATTGACATCCATAGAATGGTCCACACATCCTTCCTCCGTCCAAGTCTTATCGACCACGTCAACATGGCCCGTCTTGATATCAACCAGTCCGAAGACCAAACCCTCTGGCAGCCATACCCAACCCACCGCGACCCGCGCCCGTCCTTCTTCAGTCAGTACTTCGACGAAGCATGCAACCTGTCAACAATCGCACGCGATATCTCCCGCAGCATGTTCGCAGACCACAGGAGTAACACCGCCCTCGGCCCCATTCACCGCCAGAGCCGCGAGGACCTATACGACCGTATCCGTCGCTGGCACGAGCTTCTCCCGGAGGACTTTGATGTGCGGTACAGACCAGCTCCGCATATCATCTTACTAAAGTGAGTAGCAAGCTCACAGTAACCTGTCCTTCCTACAGTCTTCCGTGCGAAACCGAAAACAAGATACTCATCCCAAACAGAATGCGCTACAACGCCCTCATCATAAACCTCTTCAGTTGCATCTCCGAAGACGAAGTCCCACCCATACCCTTCGAGCCCAAAACACCCGAAAGCCCGCCGCGCCACACCCCAGAGACAAAATACAACCCACGCGAAGTAACGCAGAGGGCGGCACGCGACATCGCAGCCCTAACACGTCTCCACAGACGCGAGTTCGGGGTTAGTCGCGCGCACCAGTTTGCCATGTATGCGATTAACCTAGCTCTGTTCACGATGCTCGAAGAAGACTCGTTCGATGTGCTCGATGAGGATTTCCTCACTCTTGCGAGTGCGTTCTCTATTGTCGCGAGTCGGTCCGCGCTGGGGAGGAATCTATTTCATATTTTCCGGCAGTCAGTTCGGGCGAAGGCGCAGGGGCATCGGATTCGAGAGGCGAGTTCTGTGCCTGATGAATTGAAGGATTTGGTTGATGAGGCTTCGAAGGAGAGGGGGTGTAGTCGGTTTGATGAGTATGCTGATGGGCTTGAGAAGTTGAATCAGAAGGATAAGTATCATGGGATTGGGGAGGGAGATGGGAAGGGGTTACAGGATTATCCTGGACTTGGACTTTCGGATATGTTGGATCGGTATGAGAGTCTTAGTCTGGGGAAGGATGATGTTTTGGTGGAAAGGTATCGACCGGCTGGATGTTGATGGGATATGATGGAGACAATATGCGGTGTACTACCATCGTCATTGTCGTCATCGTCGTCATCTCCTTCCATATCCGTCATGTGCCAGGTACATTTCGCCTGGATGGAGTGGCGATACGGTCCGCCGTTGGATGGATCTGCTCCAGTAGATCGTTCAGATATGTTCAGGGCGATGTAGAAGGTAACACAAGGAGAATTTTGCCGAATGAGACATTTACTAACAATTCCTAGGTAGCCATTGACAGTAAACTCGGGGATAATCTTAGATGACTGGGAGTTGATAGGTGTGTTTATAGGAGTTGACTGAGTTGAGATATGCTCTGACGTCAAATCAGCCGTCGACCCACTGAGTGGCAATGGAAATATCATCTCCACGTTTGAGATAAATTCTAAATTGAGATATTTCCGAATTGTTAAAACCAAAAAATTGAAAACAAATCTCCAATCCCTGTTTTGGTTAAATTGTTCTTGAACGAACTTGTCCCGCCTTTTGGTAACTTCTCCTTCCAACAACCTCAGTGAGATATATCTATATCGATATTATCGATAATATCAATAAAATATGGATAATACAGAGAATCAAAATGACACGACTTTCGACGACTATGACTGGATGCCATTAAATGCTGCATCCGCACCTCAGCATCCATATCCCACACCTATTTCCTTCTCGCCAACCCAGGCCCCCACCCAAGCCTTTTCACAGTATATGTCTGCTCCGCCACCATCTGCAGGGAGTACCACGCCAAAGGTAGCAATACCCCGCCTAGCGGGTTCCGACGCCTTGTTGCACGGGCGCCGACGGTCAGCCCGGGCCTGCGAGCCTTGTCGCCAGCGCAAGATCAAATGTGACGGTATCCGGCCATCTTGCGGACAATGTGCATACCACAATCACTCCTGCGCCTACGAGGATGTCAAACGAGTGCGTGACCAAAAGCGACTGGGCTCCTTGGTCAAGCGAGTGGATAAATACGAAGCTCTTCTTCGAGAGCTCGAAGTCGAGGTAGACCCTCCTACAGCTCGAAAGATCAAAAAAGCACTAAAGGTATGACTGGCCAATGTCAAATGAACTTCGGGTCTCACCCGAGACTTGGATCTTATGATTTGAGTCCCGAGCTCAGACTCTGACTATTTGGCATTTGGCAAATTAAGTCCAAAAGCGGGAAACCCCCTAGAAAACCTAGAAACAATTTCGAAGCCGATGATTCATCTACATCTATGGGCTCACTAGATGCTATCGACCAGGTTGACGAAGACCTTGATCGGAACGAAGTGACCCGCGCTGCGGGATTCTTTGGGAAGAATTCAGAGGTCAATTGGATTCGCAAGTTGGAGAGCAGCGTGGAGATGAAGAGTCCTCAGGATCATGTACCGAATCATTTCCACATGGAGAATCACCGTAAACCAACGTCTATTCAACAGCAGCAGCAGTCATTGGAAAAGCAAATTCCAACTTCGATGATGGATTATCATCTCGATAGCCTGGATATTCCGTTCATTGAACCGTGTGACCCATTGGCTGTGCCCCCGCGGGAATTGGCAGATCGATACTTCGATGCCTACCTGACCAACGTTCATCCGATATTCAGTGCGATTCGGAAGATGACCTTTATCTCCCAGTATCAGAAGTTCTTCAATAATGCATCAACACCCCCCCGGAAATGGTTGGCCATTCTGAACATGATCTTTGCTATTGGTTGTCGCTACTGTCGACTCATAGATCACCCCCAAAGCACCGGCGAGGAAGACCTGCTATACCTGACCCGGGCGCGTCATCTCGGTCTACACAGCAATGTGCTATTCGAGCACACCGATCTCCAGCAGATCCAACTTGAACTTCTCGTAGCAGTTTACCTGCTTTGTCTGGGACAGGTCAACAGGTAGGTCCTAACTCTCCATCCTCTAGGCACCATAATAACTTCCATCCCCTAGAGCATCTAAATTCTCCAACATGGCTCTCCGCTCAGCCCTATCCCTCGGCATCAATCTCCGCCTAATAGACGACCGCACCAAAGACGCCGCCAAAGAGACCCGCGGCCGTCTCTGGTGGTCCATCTACTCCCTTGAGCACCTTATAACCTCAATGACCAGCCGCGCCTCCTGTGTCGGCGAAGGCCTCTGCTCCGTCCCCCCGCCCCTCCCCTACGAAGAAGAAACCTTTGACCAACACGACGCCAAGTACCTCCTCCAAGATCCCGCCCTCCGCGAAGCCCAACTTCGCTTCACCCTCTTCGAAGCCCCCGGTCAACACCACACCCCCGCATGGGTGACTTCCTGTCCACCCTGTCAATCCCTATTCTTCTACTTCCTTGTCGACCTGACCCTCATAACCCACGCTCTCATGAACAAAGTCTACAGCATCGAAGGTCTCCGCAAAGGCCCCAGCCAAGTAGAATACCACGTCCAGAGATTCAGTCTCCAAATGGACCGCTGGCTCTCAAAACTTCCCCTCTTCTACCAATTCATCCTACCAAACACAACCCCCTCGCACATAAACCACCTGCAACTAAACGATCTCTCCGCCCCTTTCCTCCGTGAACGTGTCTGTCTAGCAATGAACTACTACTCCGCTCGAATCACCCTCTGCAGACCATGTCTAAGTCACATCCATCAATCCCCCCGCCACGCCACTCTAGTAGGCGAATCCACTGCGCGCGGAAAACTCCGATATGAAATGGCCACACATTGTCTACAAGCTTCCTGTGCACTTATTTCCGTTCTCCCCGAAGACCCGGACATGACATGGCTAGCCCGCGCCGCGCCGTGGTGGAGTATCCTGCATTTTCTCATGCAGGCTACTACTGCTCTATTGTTGGGTTTGTCATACTGTTCTACCCAACATAGGTCTACCAGCCCTGATCGTGCGAATTCGCTCCTCTCGCCTGCCACCCTATCCATATCGCAGGGAGTTTACCCCCCGCTACTGGAAAAGGATTTGAGTACGACTATTGCGGCGACGAAGAAGGCGCTGTTTTGGCTTCATGCTACTGCTTTCGTGGATCCAGCGGCGCGGAGAGCATTTCTGCTTTGTGATGGAATTATTCGGAAGATTGCGTCTGGGTTGGGGATTGATTTGAGTGAATGGCCGGATGGGAGTTCTTTTGAGGGCTTGATGGAGGGGAGGTCGAGGGGGTCTAGTGGGAATGGGAATGGGGATTGGGGGGATAGTAGTGGGAGTAATGGATATGATAGTGGGAGTGGGATGGAGGCGCTTGAGGAGTTGGTTGATTTCGAAGGTGGTGTCTTTTAGGGACTTGTCCTTCGGTTGATCTCGAATTGGGAGACTATAGGATATCCGCCCCTCCACATATGAACATGACATGTAACTATCGGATCATTGCGATTACGACTAATCACTGTGGGCATAGAAAGTACATTCTACCCCGCCACGACACCATCAGAATAGTCGGCCGCTTTTGCGGCCTTATGGCGTCTTTTTAGTTAGTCTTTTTTCTTTTCTTGTCCAGAGCGGTAGAGCGAATTTCAAATGCTTGATGCTTTAGGTACCTTTTATATGAGAGACCTATATAAAAGGTACTTGAAAGTTAGCATGAAAATTCTCAATTGTTGAATCATCTATATCTTTCACACTATATACTGTCACTCTTTATTTAATTTGAGCAATAAATTCCTGATTATACATATAAAAGTCCATAGTTTATGCTTTTTGCTACCTTCATATCCACCTTATCTCCGCCATCCCCTTACCCCTTCAGGTTTAGCGTTCATATGTGTCACCCCGTTCGGGTTTAGTGTCGCCCCTGGCCCCAAGATCCATGGATCTGCCCTCTATCAAACACCGCTCCCCACAACTTATCGACTTACATGCTCTTCTTTTCACCTTCTCTCTTGCTTTCGGCTCTATATACTAAGTACAGGCTCTCCAGTCGATGCACCCTTGGATGTCACCGGATTTGCCGTTTGATCTTAAAACGTCCTGGCTAGCGTTGCTTATGCGGGGCGAGTCTTCACGAGTTAAAGCCTCCAGTTCATTCAACCTTCGCCCATACTGTGCAATTTGAAGTTCCATTTCCCACCCAGCGGTTGGTAATAATACAAAGCTATCGAAACACCCCCTGTTCGCAAGCCATTCTCGCTGAGCGCCTCGCTCATTTCGCGGTCAGCATTTTGTGTGGTCACAGCATCTACTTTTCGTGATGGGGAATCCAGCATCATAATAGGTCTATCGAGAGCTTGTCATTCTCGTCTCTGCTTTGCTATTTCCCGGTACCACCATATAAGTTCCAACAATGGCGATTTGGAACTGTGATTTTGACGGTTGAGATAAACCTTCTGTTCACGCATATGGAGACTGCATCCTTTGTGATCTCCATCTTTGCGTGAAACACCTGAGACCGGAGTTTCATACATGCCCAAAGTGGGAAATTTGTCAATCGAGTCCCAAGAATTGAAACAGCTACTGATTTCTTTGGTCTGAACAGGATGATCATCATTACGACCCTGCTGCTCAAGCAGCCGAAAAGAAAGAAATCACGACTCTTATTGAAAAAATTGACATATCAGCGCTCACTCAACGCGCGAGCAGTCTCCGCAACGGTCTCCCGTGCTCCGTGGCTCAGGATCTACATTATGATAGAGCACTACGTAGCTCGGTTATGCGAGGCATGAATTACCATATCGAGATCTTATTCGAAGATGGAATCAGCTGACTCGCACGCATCCGAAGATACAACGCCACTTCCCCACCACCGGAGCTGCGGGATTATATACTGGCCAGTGAAGCCTCAACCTTACAATTCTTGAGTAAGACAAAAGTTCTTGTTCCTACGGTTTTTGACTTCAATCCGGACGAATCAAACCCTGTCAGTGTTAGTTATATCCTTATGGAGAAATTGCCTGGGAAATCTTTGCGCTGGTCTCTTGCTACCCCAAAGCAGAGGCAAAGGTTACTAGTCAACTTGCGGATATCTACATTGAATTGAAAAGCTTTCCCTTTTCAGTGATAGGCTCTTTCAATCCAGAGAGCACTTTTCATATTGGCCCTATTGCACGAGAGTCTTTGACCGACTTTCAAGACTTGCATATGAGAATGCTAGGGCCGTGTTCATCTTCAGAAGAATATTTCAAAGCACACATTCGATTGATATTAGATTTGATAATACAAGAATCATACGTCAACTGCCCAGTCGATGCTTTCCTGATACACCGTTTCCTCCCAGAAACCGCCCCTGAGATAGTTTCAAGAAATGATCTCGACGATGGGAAGTTCTACTTGAAACATGCGGACGAAAAGGGGGATCAGATACTCGTTGACAATGACTTCAATATAACAGGCATTATTGACTGGGAATGGGCGCAGGCAGATTCGAAGTCAGCTGCTTTCAACTCGCTTATTGTTCTTCTTCCGATGGCCGACTATTGCGAAGGGGCTGATCATATCGGTGAAGATGAAGTTTTTTTTGCCGAGTGCTTTGAAGAGAAAGGATACCCAGATCTTTGGGACATAGTCAGAAATGGACGACTTCTTCATCGATTTCAATTCTGTTGTGGATATGACCTTGATGATTGGGATGGATCTATTGGGCTCTTTTTCGGGCTGCTTAAGATATTAGGCATCGAAGGGGATTCAAGCCGAGAAACTTGGAAAGCGGAGGCCCTATAATGGTATCGAGAGGATCATCAACTAAAGCAACTCCTCGAACTGTCCGAAGCTAAATGAAATCGGTCACATTCTCAAATCATACCCTGGGACTCAGCCATGGGACGTTTGGAGTGACTGTCCAGGCAAACCAAAATATGCCTGGAACCATTATACCCCCGACAGTCATCGGGTGCGTGACAGTGGTGGCGGAAGTAAACTTGGTTGTGAATGATGATGCCAATGGATCCAGCAAAGACCCCGCAGATAATGGCTAGAAGATGAAGATATTCCAGGCTGGTAATTTCGCTTGCTCTTTTCCCCAGTGTATTTATCGCGTCTCTAAAATAAGGCTGTTTCAGAATTATACACCTGATACATCGGTAGTGATGATAATCCAGAAGACGGAGGGTGGGAATTGAATGTTCGGCGTCTTCGGTGTTTGATCTGTCGGAGTGGCCACCCCCACTTCCCGCTTCGTACTCCGATCTTTACAACCCCCAAGCTATATAAAAGAATCAAGAGTTCACCTGGAATGTTAAATTTAATGCTGAGCATTTAGGATAGCTTACATTTACTCCATCTAATTTTATCTTTGTTTTCCTCATCATGACTGAAGGAACTCTCGCACCAGTTCCAGCTAGTGACGAATACTACGACCTTGGCTCGTTCGGCCACTCTATCACCACTACCAGCGCCGATGCCCAGATCTGGTTCAATCGTGGCCTGATATGGGTATATTCTTTCAATCATATGGAAGGCGCCTACTGCTTTGAACAGGCTATTGCTCATGATCCTGCGTGCGCCATGGCTTATTGGGGCTTGGCTTATGCGGTTGGCCCGAACTACAACAAGCCATGGGAGACGTTCGACCACGGAGATCTCCACACATGTGTGCAACGAGGATACGATGCCTTGCAACAAGCAAAGAAACACGTGGCAAATGCAACTCCGCTTGAACAAGCTTTGATCGACGCAATCCAATCCAGATTCCCGACCAATCAGCCTGCAACAGACTATCCGGCCCTGAACGAGGGCTACGCCGCAGCTATGAAGCCGGTATATGATCAATTCGGGACTGATTTGGATGTTGCCACCCTTTATGCCGATGCCTTGATGAATATGGCCCCCTGGGCTTTGTGGGATTTGTTCACCGGCAAGGCGAACCCCAAGGCCCCCACCATGGAGGCTCAAGTAGTGCTCGAAAAGGCGCTTGCACAGGAAGAGGATGGTGCATATCTCAACCCCGGGCTTCTTCATTTATATATTCACTTCATCGAAATGTCGCCCACTCCTGAGCGAGGTCTCAACGTTGCCGACCATCTACGCGACCTCGTTCCCGACGCTGGTCACGTCCGCCACATGCCCACCCATTTGGACATTCTCATCGGCGATTGGCGGCGCTCTATCGCCTCAAATCAAAAGTCAACGCTCGCCGATGACAAATACTTCCGGAGGTCAGGCGCCAAAAACTTCTATACCTTCTATCGACTACACGACTACCACTCCTTGATCTACGCAGCCATGTTTGCCGGCAAATCCAAGGTTGCCCTTGAGGCAGTCACTCGCATGGAATCCACTGTGCCTGAAGAAGTCCTTCGAATCCAGTCCCCGCCAATGGCTGACTGGCTAGAGCAGTTCATGTCCATTCGCATACATGTCATGGTACGCTTCGGCATGTGGGATGAACTGAAGGTTAAAGAGCTGCCCCATGACCAATCGTTATATTCAGGCACGACTGCCATGACTCACTATGCCAGAGGCATCGCATTTGCCGCCACAGGGGATGTGGCATCAGCAAAAGCGGAACAGCAGCTCTTCCACCAAGCGTGGGATCGGGTTCCCGAGACTCGTCGCGCATACAATGGCAAAATTATTGACGTGCTCGAGGTGGCCGGAGCAATGTTGGAAGGAGAAATTGAATACCGTTGCGCTAACTATGATAAGGCCTTCGAGGCTCTCCGCCGTGCAATTGACTATGAAGACAAATTGCCTTACAGCGAACCCTGGTCATGGATGCAGCCCGTTCGCCATGCGTATGCTGCACTGCTGATGGAGCAGGGCCATTTGGAAGAAGCTGCCAAGACATATCGCGCAGATTTGGGTATGGATACCTCTGTCATCCGGCCGCGTCGTCACCCGAACAATGTCTGGTCGCTGCAGGGATATCATGAGTGCCTGGTTCGTTTAGGAAAGATGGACGAAGCAGCTGTCATCGAGAAGCCGACCAAACTAGCTCTTGCTGTAGCCGATGTTTCAATCAAGACATCGTGCTTCTGTGGCTTGGATAATTCCCAGTCACCACAGCTGTTTGATGAATGTTCTTCAAATGGAAAATGTTGTTAAAGATTTGAACCTTTTACCTTTCGATTTCAACGATCAGGAGATTTTTTTCTTTACAGCAGGATTTCAGACGAATTTACTGTGATTTATTTAGCTGTTGAAGCACATTTCTCCTGTGTTTCTTCGTCTTCAATCTATTCCTATATAAAAGAATAAAAATGCTATGATTTGTCATTCATTCAAAGGCGGAAAATTGCGACTCTTCTTTCTCTATGAAGTGGCTTTCCTACTAATTTCCCTTCTCTAGTTTCGATGACTTCGGAATTACACCATATTTCGTTTATCGCTCAATGAAATTTGCCTAGACAAAATAAACAGACAAACTTCCCTTGGGAGGTCCTCTCTAATAGAGCAAACCAAGACGTGAGCCAATCCGAGTTGCTGATCTAGCACCAGGGACCTAAACCTTCACGCTTTACTAGTTATGGAAGGGTTCTGAAATTCATGTTTGGCCTTGGCTGTCTCGAATTCTGTTTCCCTTTCTTTCGTTATCCCCACGAGAGAGCCGACAAGATGATCCTGGTATTATTGGACTTTGCGAAAATCCTTGACTTGAGCCTACGTCATATCAAATGGGGAATTCATTCTCGGTTCGCCAACGCGGATTTACATATTGCACAGAGGTGTCTATGGCTATGCTCGTTCGTCTCTGGGATGCTGGACCAAATCATGGCCTCTATTCTTCAAAGTGACACATTAACAGATATGCTGTCTACCAAGCCACTGAAAAGCGATATCTTTATGGCTCATGAGACCGCCTACAGATTGGAGAAGCCAGGGTGGTTTCGTTTGGTGATTGCTCATCCTTTTCACTGGCTGGACGAGGCAATGACACGTATCCCGCGCGCTATCCATTGCCATTTTTAGTGGTTGTGTTTGTATAGAAGAGACGGCAAACTCTGGCCCAATTATTCTTCCTTCATCAACGCTTCCCATTCGTTTTTAAGCTCTATCTACGACGGGTTGTAAGGGCCAGTGTGCTGCTCCGGATTTTACCTGCGGTAGGAGCGTAATATTAATATTAACTACTTTTCAATTTATATATATCATATCGGGAACCTCGCAGCAAAGCCGGCGAATTATCTGAGCAATCAAGTATAGGGGAAATCCGAAGCAGCCTTACAAGCCACCGCAGTTACTATTGACTTAATTGTGTGGCTGTCTTGAGCAATCCATCTCCGCCGAAATCAGTTTTTATTGCGCAACGCCACGATTATTTTCATTGGTTCTAATTTAGAATTATGTCGATCAGTTCAGGTGAATTATATGCGCCACCGGTTATGGCCGACGCCAGCTGAATGATCTTCTTGTGTTGAACACAAAATCCACACACTATACGTGCTACATCATGGCTATCTGCATAATCACTGCATACGATATCACTGCAGAAGATCGATCAGTACGGGGTTGAGAGACGATCTTCTGACTTGGGCTGACCCCTTTTAATTGACGATGACTACATCCTGGTCGTTTTCAGCGCGCTCTTCTAAATATGCGCTTTGCTATTTGTATATAATTTATCCCTTGCACTTGGGGTGTTGAACTCAGAACTCTTTCCACCTGACAATTCCTTCGCTTCGAATTCCTCATTCATCATTCCAAATTTCACCATGGATTGCAAGCCAGCTATCACGACAGTGTCCCTTGGGTCATGCAAGTTTCACAGCATCGCCGACAAGATTCACGAAGCCGCACGAAATGGATTTAAGGGGATCGAACTCTTCATTGACGACCTTGAAGCTCTCGCCAGAGATATCAGCCCTACACCTGCCGCCTTGGCCCCTTCTCGTGACTCTATGTTAGCTGCCGCCCATCGAATTCGCCAGCAGTGTGACAAGCTAAACATTGTCATTCTCAACCTCCAGCCCCTGCGCTTCTACGAGGGTCTGGTTAATCGCAAAAAGCGCAACCAAATCCTAGACGAGGTGCTTCCAATATGGATGGACGCGCTCGAAATTCTCGGCGCAGACACTATTCTGGTCCCCTCGAACTTCCTCCCCGAAGACCCTGCGACTGGACTTCCTCAGACAGCCGGTGATTTCGGCATAATCGTCGAAGATCTCCGTGAACTGGCTGCACGAGGCGCTCAACACAAACACTCCATCAAATTTGCCTACGAGGCACTCGCTTGGGGCACACATATCAACACCTGGGAGAAGTCTTGGGAAATCGTACAGGCAGTCAATCGACCCAATCTAGGTCTCGCTTTGGATACGTTCAACATTGCCGGTGCCATCTACGCAGATCCCACCACAGAGGATGGTCGCGTCGCGGACACGGCCGAGGCCGATCTATCCGCTTCACTGAAACGTATGGCCTCTACTTTGGATGTCAGCAAGGTGTTTATCGTCCAGATAGCCGACGGGGAGCGTCTTAGACAGCCACTTCACACGGGCCATCCTTTCTATGTTGCCGGCCAGCCCAGTCGACTGAGCTGGTCGCGAAATTGTCGGCTTTTTCTCTGTGAGCCTGAACGTGGTGGCTTTTTACCTGTCCTCAGCATACTCAAGACTATCCTCGATCTAGGCTGGACCGGATACCTTGCGTACGAGGTCTTCTCGCGTTCATTGGCTGACAGTGATCACCGGACCCCGGCGCTGCATGCAGAGAGGGGAAAGAAATCTTGGCAGCAGCTATGCAAGCTTGCGGAAACCCAAACAAATCATTCTGAGTCCCCTAGTCTCAGCAGCTTCAGGTTACTCGGGATGAGATTACTAGAGAACGCAGTGCACGAGGTAGAGGCAGGGGTAGATATAGGGCTCTCATTTGGCGGTATTGTGATCTAGTAAATGTGTACATGAATGAACCGAGGCAGTTTGGCATTTGGAATAGAATTCGCTATACTCCGTACGGAGTAGTATGTTTGTAAAATTTTAGCTTCATAGTTTGTTCCCACATGGGTTAGCTGACCTATAATTAAAGTTCCCCACGAATGACTTGTCAACGCGTATGGCGTACTTAATTTATTGCATTTCTAACCGAGAGCTTGGTACTCTGTACATACGATTGAAAGATATCTTAAATCACACTTACGTGGCAAATTGAGGCATCAGTGCCCAAAAGGAACCAAGTTGGCAACCTTTGTAGTCAACTAAAACCAGGGAAGTATTTTGCTCGACACCTAGCCACAAAATGAATATTAGCGACGCCGTGTTTGCCATTCATAGCCACATACATATAACCTCGTGGCTGGCTGAGAGGTGATGGTATATCCTGCGTGCATGCAAGTGGGGCAATGTCCTATACAAAAGTACATTGGGGCTGACTCGACTGCAGCTGAAAATAAGCAATGAAGTATATCTGGGACTTCTCACATTGCGAGGAGAATATCTGACTAATGCCTGCAGGTGCCCCCATCACAGAATAAGAGATAATTCGCGGGGATATGAATTCAAATATGGTACTCCACTCAACTGTGGTTGATGCAATATTGGATGAGTTCATCCTGTCTCTGCATGATTTAGTCCCCAATCAGAATTCACCCTTTTTCTGGTTACTCAAGTAAAATAAAATAACCTCACTCGGCCGGCGTTCATGCAGTTGACTACTCCGTAGATTAAGGAAATCTGCAAGATACGAAAACTCATCTGTCACACTCGCAAGTTTGCGAATATAACACCGCTTTGAATATTATGACCTACAGTGTGCATCATGTAGCTATCAGTGAACCACGAGGCAAGGTATCCCTGAACTTAAACATAACAATGTACATTTTCTTCACCTATCTCTAACAAGTATATACACAAATTTGAGTACAAACCACACTCAATAGTCATTGTCATTGACCCTTTTTGTGTCGGCTTCAGGGGCTGACGACATGGAAAAGAATGACGAAAGGCCAGCAACCAAACATAGAGTCCCAAGGACTAGCGTCATAAATCCCCAGCCTAATTTGTGTTTGATCAATCCACCAGCCAGTGGGCCAAGCGTTTGGCCGGCAGCAAATGCCATGTTACAGAGTGCATAGCCCCGTCCCTGCCCGCTACTCTTCTCTTCCGTGATCCCGTGAAGGCTTTCAATTTTGCGGACTGCATTGGAGACATCCCCCATAATAATCGCTTGCACTGTTGTGAGACATAGTCCGACCACAGAGAGCAAGGAAACCAGAGCAATTTCGTGATGGATTGTGTTCGCTTGAGTCCACCGTAGTGATACCATCGGTACTGCCATCAAGACGAATCCAGTCACCACAACCGTTCGTGGCATAAAATGCCTTACGAAGTAGGTAATTGAAATACTGAGGACGGAAGGTATCGTCAATGGGAGGAATACAAGTCCCGCGCCCAGACTGGACCAATGATATGTGTCGAGCACATACAGTGGAAGCGTCTGCTTTTCAGTCAGCTGAGTTGTTCCTTATACTCCGGCTGATTCACAGTACCGTTTCAATAGCAGATAAAATGGAAGAAATGACCAGAACAGAAAATATCAAACCCAGCATGAGTGGATGCAAGAATTGATAAAAGCTCAAGGAATCATCACCGGGGACGCTATTTTCCAAGAGAGGAGAATCCTCCTGGTGGTTTTTAGTTTCACCTGTTCCTCTTTTGATTAGCATCCCGGAATATGAAAAGTGAACCTGCGACAAACCTTCATCCTCTTGTACAATCAACATTCGCAGAATGATGTCAATCACCAGTAATGCGATTGGGACTCCAAAAGCACCAACAGTGCCAAATTTAGAAAAGCTGCTTTGTTAGAAATTGTCATCAATAGGATGGGATGCCGGGAAACTTACAGGAAACCCCCCGCCATAGGACCACAGAGCATTCCCCATGTCAATGAAGCCGATCCGCATGCCATATGTGAACCCAAATGTTCGGGGCTGGATGTTTCGGCGATCATGCTCAACCCTAAAACTCCCACGACCGCGCCTGACAGACCTTGACATACTCGAGCCGCAAGTAACACCCAAACATTAGTTGCAGAAATAAATAGAACGGTCGCTAGGGCCATGGCGATGAAACCAGAAACTAGTGGTGCTTTCCGAGTGCGATATTTGTCGCAAAAATATCCCACCACAGCTGAACTCAATAATTAGCACACGAACAATGAATTGATTTTAAATATACCCACGAGAGCCAAGTAAGAGAGCAACACCATAAGTTGCCAATAGAACAGATGACCACTTTTGAACTAAGACCAATCAGTTAGTCAACAGGCTTCTCTAAGTAATAGAGACATCGAGTAGAAATTACCATCCTTGGAAGCCATGTTGCCATGGCCCATCAATAGGAAAGGAAGAATAGGCACAATCTAGAATTCCGTGCGTTAGACCGGTGTGACATTGCAAAAAAGGGTAATATATACTTACAATGCCATAAACGAAAGTGTCCTACGGCGACAGTGTTTCCGAGGTTAGTTCGTGACATGTAATAGAATTCAAGACCACCAACCGTGAACAGCGCGAAGCATAGAGCCACCAGTATAAAGCTACTAGAGGATCTTGCTTTCCTAGTAAATATCTTTTGAAAGTCCATGGTGACCGTTGAAATTTCCGTGCTTTGTTTAGTTGACAAAAGTGAGAAGAATACAGCAAGAAATAGAGACGAGGATAGCTCGAGTTATGAGGAGCTGAAAACAAGGATGTGTAGCTGAAATGACCAATAAATATACAGATTGACGATGAAAAGGGTGGCACAGTTCCTTACAGCTGTAAAAAAAAAAACAAAGAATGGAAAAAGAAAGGAAATCGTACATGTATCGTCGATCTTATGTACTCCGTACGGAGTACTCCGTGTGTAGAACCCAGCTGGTCGGAATTTCAATAATATGCATGATGTATGAAAAGATATCCACTGTGAGTGTAAATGAAGCTGAACTCTTGTCATACCCCTTTCCTACAATTGAATTTGTTCATCTATTTATTTAGACTGGGGACACCTCTTGGATTCTACAGAACTCGATTTCCTATGAGACTTCTCCTTCCATTCATTATCCTTCATCATGGTGCCCTCAATCACAACTCTTGAACATGGCTCTTCTATTATACCCATCAATACCTGGAGGCTATCCAAGAAAGCTCCCCCTCCGATCCCGCAAGCATTCGTCGATCTTCCACTTACTCTCTCCGAGTCTCATATTCTTGAGGCTGCAAACTCCCAATACTTGGAATACTTGGATCCGGAATTGACCGAGGGTCTTGACATTGAGTCCGTTCTCGTTGTTTGCTGGTTACTTGTGGTACATGGGTTCTCTCCTGTGAGAACTATGTACCTGGAGTTCCACCCTTCATCAAATCTGTGCTACATAGATGGCAAATCTCAAGGGATCGATTCATACGCTCTTGAATTTTCCTCGGAGCGTCCATTGAAGGATATTGTTCGGGATTTCTGTCGTATCAAAGCAGGCATCAGCCCAACTGACCCTGACGAGGGGTGGACTTCTGATGAGAGGAATCACCTCACCTCGGCTGTCCGCTACGCTGGTGACGGTCCAAAGTTGCAAAAGGCACCAGTTTCGTCCAATTCAAATGTACCGTGACCACCGTCTACCTGTGCTCATTCATTTCTATCCCGCAACAGAACTAATACCGTCTCCGTCTAGATCCCGAATCCAAAGCTGATGCTCAATGTGACAAATGAGAACGGAAAGCTGCACGCGAGTCTTGCCTTCTCGTCGCCTGAGATGTCCAAAGAATTCGCAACGAGCCTTCTTCACTCCTTGAACAAGGTTGTCGCATCCATATACCGCTCCCCGGAATCCTCCTTGGGTGACCTTGACTTATGTTCTGATCTCGACCTCATTCTCGTGCAAAAATATACGAAGGAGGTTGCGGACTCCCACGAGGTCTTGTTACATGACATGGCGTTGGAGCATGCCCGACTCACCCCGAACGCACCTGCAATCTGTTCGTGGGATGGGAATTTCACCTATAGAGAGTTGGATGATCTCACATCTCGTCTTGCTTTCTACTTGACCAATATTGGTGTTGGTCCCGAGACTTTCGTGCTCAGTTGTTTTGAAAAATCATCCTTTGCGATTATTGCTCGTCTGGCGATTTTGAAAGCCGGCGGGGCGTATATATCCATTGACGCTACTGACCCTCCTATCTTCCTGGACTCGGTCATCAATCGCGTTAATGCTAAAATCATGCTCACATCCCCTGAATATGCATCAAACTATGGATCCCTCATCTCAAACGTCATTTCGATTACAGGGGATATGCTAAAGGAGCTTCCCACAGGACCCCTGTCTTCCACAGTCCAACCAGGGAATGCCTGTCTGATTCTATTCACCTCCGGTAGTACGGGCCAGCCCAAGGGCATCATCCAGGAACATCGATCTTATGCCACAGCAATCCGCGATTACAACAAGGTCCTCGGTCTAGGCCGACACAGTCGTGTATTCCAGTTCGATGACTATGCATTTGACATCAGTAACAATGATTACCTGACTGCTTTGGCTGCCGGTGGCTGTTGTTGTGTTCCGACACCTGAAAAATCCATATCTGGTTTGATTGAAAATATCAACATCACGAAGGCCAATATGAGCTTCATGACTCCAACAATTGCCATTCAACTCAGCCACAAAGATGTCCCATCGCTAGAGCTCCTTTGTGTTGGCGGCGAGCCTATGTCAAATGATCTACTCATGAAATGGGGTCCTCATGTGAAGCTTGTAAATCAGTACGGAATGGGCGAGGCAGCTACCTTCTGCGCATACAACGACAACCCCAAGGCAGGTCACAATGCCGTTGTTGGCAAATCTGGTAGTGGTGCTATTTGGATTGCGAATCCTTCTTCGCCTGAGCGACCAGTGCCTGTCGGCGCTGTTGGCGAGATCTTGATCGAAGGACCCCATCTCGCCCGTGGGTACTTGGATGACCTCTGCCAGAAACCAGATGTCGGATTCCTCCAAACAGTCCCTCGGTGGATTGCGGATCTCCACCCATCACGAGCACAAAGCTCTCGCATCTATCGGTCCGGTGATCTGGGTCGATACCGCCACGATGGAACAGTTGAGCACATGGGTCGAAAGGACACGCTTCTCAAACTCAACGGTGGTCGTGTTGAGTCCACCGAAGTGGAGTATGTCCTTCGAAAGACCCTTTCACCGGGCGATCTTACCGTTGTTGATATGCTCGGCGAGATTGACGGTACCGATGATCCCATCCTGGTGGCCTTTGTTTACCTGGCAGACAACCCATCAAACCTTATTCCAGGAGTTTCAGACCACGAAATGTCGTTCCTTCCGATAACAAATCGTGTCCGAGTGAACAGCCTGGTGGAGGCGATGCAGAATGAAGTCTACACCACTCTGCCAAAACACATGATGCCGAGCTTGTTTCTCCTTGTCGACCGAATCCCTCGTACAAGGTCTAACAAGCTTGATCGCAGAAAGTTACATAAAATCGCCCAGGAGTGGTATATGGAGAACCGATGATTGTAAAGCTTCAACTTCTTCGCTCTTTTGGTTATGGTTTTATTTTTTTCTTTTGTTTGGACCAGGTTCATGTGGAAAACTAGGGCTTTTCCAGCCAATGCTCACCGTTTTGGTGTCCACTTATCGCGTCTGGTAGTTCAGGCCAGTTTCTCGCTCCCTTTCTCCTTTTCTTTATCTTCTCTTTGCATATATAATATCATTGTATCAATCTAATCTATCATCACATTTCTATTGAGACCTCGGGAGGCTATGCAGCTTTCGCTCCACTTTGCAATTCATTTCAATAAAGTTTAATATACAAAGTCACTATATCTGCGGGTCTTTACCCCAGACTTTCCAGCTCCACTACCACGCCACGCTATTAACTTGATACATTAGCGCGGCATACCCGCAGATTAAAGTGTATACTCAATTATTTAGAGGTAATGAATATTATAGTGGACGACGCCTCTATTGAAAGTATATCTGAGATGAATGTGAAGGCTCCTTCTAAAGACCCTCCGGGAATAATCCTCGCTTCTGGAGATAGGCCCACGGCGTACATTTGTGGATGTTTGTGATTCATCTCTGGCTGTTTTATGGATTCTCTTAACTTTAGAGAGTTATTTAATCGATTGCTGCACCGGTAATGGAGTTTGTCGAAGCCAGGGATCTTTTGCGGGAACAGAACTAACCAGTAAAGAGGGCCAAGGCAGGAATACCTATGTTAGCAGGGTGCAATGTCGCTTGGTGAGCAAAATACGCCGCGTAATATAAGGGGAGGGGTATGAAGATTATGAATATGCGAATTCTGGTTGGACAAGAAGTCATATAATGGAAGGCTAGGGTACAACTTAGCCTCTAAGCCAAAGAGTAATACTATACAATATCCATATATCCAAGGTGGTCGCGGAATAGGACCATGTTGCCTCAGGCGACCACAACACTTTGTCAAGTTGACTTTCAGCGCCCTCACATAAGCGGCGGCAGCGAAGATACCTAGAAAAGCATCAGTCAAGGAGATGTGCTATGTAGAGCCCTAATATAAAGGCTAGAAACGGGCGTAAAACGAAGGGTAATTTCAAAAACCCCTATCAGGGGCTTTTACTTCTGAATTCTCGGCATATTTGTACTGCTTGGGGCCCATTTAGGGACCCATTAACCCGCAGTGGGGTTTGGGCTTTGTGGGCGCTGCGGAAGGTCACATGTATTACACTTCACCTCGTCATTGTACACACCATATACTGTCAACCACCACACCATTCACGATCCTCCCACGAGCATCCATTTTGCTTTTACCTGTACCCTCATCGAAACCATCGTCAGAATGCCTACCAACTTCCCCACATTCACGTTACGTTCCCGCCAACGCGCTGCAGAAACTCTGCAAGCCCGCAATCAGCTGATTGTGGCTGTTACACAAGTTTACAATCGGGTCGAAACTTACAGCTTTACCTAGATCAACCCCACCTCCTACGAGTTTCTTGGCATCGATTGTCGATTGCTTGAGCTAGATGATGATGGAAAGCATCTTCACCCCCCAAGCTCTGATCCTTCTGCCCCGACTTTCTTTGAACCTCGAGGTGGTTCGTGGGTTGCCCCTGTTGTTCCTAATCTTAAACATGTGAACCGATTGAGGGCATTCACTGAAGGCTGGGAGAGCATTCAAGAACATCCATTGGTTCAGGATCTGTATGCCCAAGCATCGCATGTTTCTTCCGGTCTAGAGTGGATGTTCTTCCAGTTCCGTAGACAGTTCTACCCCCCCCCCGGAGATGCTAGAGTCCCGCCTAACCTCAGACAACTGTCGAAATGGCTAGAGAGGTAAGATACATACGGCCTTTGCAATATGATTAGTATGCTAACGCACGCGTTACAGTGGCGATATTGTGCCGTCTGTTTTTGCGAGGAGGTTCTACGCAGCTATCTGGGGATCCATCCGATGGTCGCCAGGCAATGTGTTTGTGCCAAAGACACTCCTTTATCCGTTAGGAGTACCCCCGCATATTATGATCACGATTTTGATTGGAGAGGAGCCCAGCGAAGAGCTGTTCCGGGAAGAGATTATGACCCTCACCGCAGCGATGATCACTCGGCTAGAAGGCGAGGAATTCCTAGAGTGCAACATCATTCCTGTTAGTATAGGCTTAAAACACACTCATATGTTCCACACTAATATAAATCTATTATAATATAGGTCATGGCAATCACAATTTTCGGTCACATGAAAGCGCGAGTGATCGAAGCGAATTCCAGTCATCAAGGTCTGATGATCAAGAAGAGCCAGCTTTTTGATTTCTCGACGAACGAACTTGCAAACAAAAGCATGAACATTCTGCTCGGATTTATGTGCGCCGACCTAGTCGGAGATCCTAGAGAGCCCATACTTCCTACTAACATCGTTGAGGTTGGACTATAAATGCAACGCAATAATAGCAAACGCTAATCATGGATCCAGAGCCCACAAGAAGCCGACAAGGTTGAGAAGCTGAAGGGTGGAACCTTGCGGAAGATGTTCGGGGAAAGGTGTCCTCAAGTCGGACCAGATGCAGTGTCAGACTTTCCAATAGGAGCAGGAGGATAGTCACAATGCGAGCTCGATCTTTCATGTCTAACGGTGATAGTAGGAAAGTCTCTGCTTTAATCCCGACTCACTTCAGGGAAAACATACACATTTGTTGTTTCTGGGACCTAGTCTTTCTTTAGTTAGCGTATCAATTAATCTGACGTAAACTCCCCCCGGTGTACAAGCGGAGCCACTTCTGGTCGTGCGTGCCATGGTTTTGCATCAACTGCGAAAGTGTTAGAGGAAGATATGAGACCAATGCGAAGAATGCGCAAATTAGAGTTGATCAAGAGGGGATGTAGGTACCTACAGGTGCCTACCTGTATACACGGCTTAATAATCAAAGTATAAATTATCCTAAAAGGGTATCTCAAAAGACACCTTAAAAGACACCTTAAAACATATCTCAAAAGACCAACTAAAAGAACATCTTAAAAGACATTACAAGGCCGCAAAGGCGGCCGAATATTCTTGTATGAAGATAGATTCATTTGTATGGGGCCAAAAGCTTCATTTTTGACAGCTATAGTATTAATACATTTACTACTCCGTACACACTGTACGGAGCGATGTAAAAAGCGGAACTAAATAAGGCATCCAGGCATCAATTACCACATACAAACGGGGGTTTGAACCCTGAGCGCTATAAGTTTTCGTACACAACTGACAAAATGAGATTAGAACCGAGTATGTACTAAATTGAGAACATTAGATATATAAGAAAAAGAATAAAAAACCAACAGGCTAAGTAAACAATAGAGGGAAACAAAAAATGCCTAAGATGCCAATGACACAAAAGCGCGTAACGCCATAATAGGCCCACGAAAAGACTTCATACGAGATTTCATAGACATAAAACGATCGATAAAACACACGTGACCGAACCGAGGAATGATATAGACACCGATGTTCTTTAGAATGAAATTTCAAAATATACTGGTCAGAAGTGATACTTCGGTCAATGAATGTGGCATTAATTGAATGAGAACCATATCCCGAACCATCTTCAGCACTAAGTTGGTTGCGGCTGCATCTGGACCTGGAAGGTATGCTGATGTTCATGTTGTGGTGCAGGTGGGGGAGGGGCCTGGCTCCGTTGTGGGATCGGAGGCCTCCGTGCTTGTCCTGGCATCCCGTGAACAGGGGACTCTGACGACATTGGGTGCTGCATCTGTTGTTGCATCGGAGATTGAAGATATGGCTGATGAGGGAGGGGCCGCGGGGGGTGGATAGGAGAATGGTGGTGCATTTGCATGTGTGGCATAGAGAGCGGCTGGCCAGGCTGCTGGGCTAGGGATTGGGTATGCGGCAAGTGAGAACCAGGTTGTGAGGACATGTGTTGGTTCTGTTGCTGGTGCATGTGCTGGACTTGTGGCTGCCCAATATGTTGATTTGCCTGCGCCTGTGAAGCCTGATTCTGTTGGAACATGTGGAGGTTCTGCTGTTGCGGCAGAGACTGGCCTTGAAGCATCTGCGGTGGTGTCGGGCCAGGCCGTTTGTGCGCGTCTTCATCAATCGAAGAGGTTGCGCGGTTCATTGCTGTCGCTGTATCTGTGCCCTCGCCTGATTGGGGGTTGACCTCTGCTTGCAACTGATCTCCACTGGCGGCGGCCGCGGCCGCAGCGGCAGCTGCAGCAGCCACATCAGCCTTGCGAGGTCTCCCACGTGGTCGACCTGTGCCAGGTGCCTTTGGTTTGGCCGAAGCTGGCTTCCTTGGTTTAGGCGGTGGCAAAGGTTGACCCGTTGCAGCTGCCCACGCAATTTGATCAGCCTTACGAGGACGTCCACGTTTTCGCTTCAAAGGTGTCCCGTCCGGCCCCAGAATAGGCGTCCCCTTCGTTGTCATGTTTGCGGCGGAGCCTGGCGCAGTCGGCGTCATATTCGCAGTGAATGAAGCCTGTCCTGGTTGAGGTACTCCTGGAATAGACTCGCCGTTTTGGGCAGCCTGTGCTGCCTGCGCAGCAAGCCTGGCTGCAACTTCCTCCTTCCTAGGTCTTCCCCGACGACGCTTCGCAGGCGGAGTGGCAATCTGGTCACCCCCAACTGCGGTCACGGCGGGGATCTGCCCTTGTCCGTTGACCTGTGTGGGGAGAGCGCTAGGAATGGCCATGGGGGCATTTAATTGAGGTTGAGCATGGGGCTGGGCCTGAACAGTCTGAGTTTGAGCCGGAGCAGCTTTCTTAGGTTTGGCTTTCTTCTTCGGTGCAGGACTTGACTCGTCGGTCTTCATCACTGGGCTTTCCGTGGCCGTTGGGACAACCGGTGCAGCAGGCTGCGATGAAGGCACGGCACCTGAATGCGGTGCTTGGTAATGCTGGAATTGAGCCTGGTGTGGAGATTGCTGGAATTGCGTTTGCTGCGGCTGAGAGAATTGCGTCTGGTGTGCGGCGTACTGATGTTGCGACTGAGCTTGATGTTGTTGATATTGAGATGGGTGGAACGGAGGCTGGGTGTGTTGGGAAAAGGGTGACTGTTGTTGGTATGGGTTGTGTGCCTGGGTCTGATGCTGCAATTTCTGCAACCTCTGCTGCTCCAATTGCTGCTTCTGCTGGTGCTCAAGCCGCTGCTGCTCCACCCGCTGCTGATGCTGTTTCTGCTGCTCGAGCCTCTGCTGCTCTAGGCGTTGCTGCTGCTGTTGCTGCTCGAGTATCTTTTGCTCATCTAACTTTTGCTGTTCCAACTCCTTCTGTTGCTCAAGCCGCTGCTGCTGTTCTAAGCGTTGCTGCTGTTCTAAACGCTGCTGCTGGATTTGTTTTTGCTGCTCCATCCTTTGCTGCTGCTCAAGTCGTTGCTGCTGGAACTGCTGCTGTTGGATCTGCTGTTGCAACTGCTGGTGTGTCTGCTGGGGCGACTGCGGTTGTGACTGCGGCTGAGCCTGTCGCTGTTGATTCAACGCGAACATAGACGGGGTAGCCATAGACGGACTGGCCGAGGTATGGCCATCCCTCTGTTGCATGCCTGCGTGGGGTAGTCTGTTCATCCCCTGTTGTGGCGAAGGAACATTCATGGGATGTCCATGAGTGAGACCGGCAGTGCCCGGCTGCGGCCGGAGGTGGGCCATTGGGTTAAACCCACGCTGCAGGTTCTGTAGCCCCATAGGGTCTGGGCCGCGAGACATCAGATCCGGGGAGCTCTGAGCCGCAAACTGCCCCGGAAATTGGCCAAAACTGCTGCTGGTGGGGTACCCACCTAACGATCCGGATGTCGGGGTCATCTTGCGCATATCGGGAGATTGCGACGCAGCGAAGTTCTGCTGAGGTTGCCCCCGAAAAATGGCCTTGTTACCCGGGAATGGACTCCCATGCTGTGGCAGCGGCGGCCCTGCACCTAGCAAAGGCGACTGGGCATGCTGACGTTGAGGCTGTGGACCCAACGGATGCTGGGGTTGAACACCTTGATGTTGCTGTTGTTGGGGCTGCTGGGACTGTTGAGGGTGGAATGGGTGACCACCGTAGTTCATCATTTTGACTCGATTTTAGAAATGCGCTGGCACTTGGCCGTAAGCGGCAGAGAATGGAGTGATCCTTTCCGACCACGAAGCATGCAAGGGCGAGAACGGTCAAAATGATCCCGAGCTAGCTTGAAAGAGGGAATTGTAAAATACAGAAGAGCAATTTTAACCAAGACTGTCACCAATGTCGCGCCAGCGCCGCTGATAATTCTATACGGAGAATCGCCACCTAAGTCGCGCCGAGGCCGCGTGTTTGTTGTTCCCTGGCGGCCTGAGGCCACAAGGCAACAAGGCAATAAAGCAACCCACTGATTCCCAATTAGGCTTAGCGGCTACGGAGACCGAGGCGAGTCGGTCAGCGCAGTTTGAAAATGAGTCGACGGTCGCTCAAAGGGATTCAGGGGGGGGAAACCAGCTGTAGGGGATCCAGAGGGGCAGCGAAGGTGATCCAGATCTATTTGCTAAAGGCCTTAACGGATGACAGGGCCTAGCAGAAGTAGATTGGAGATGAAGTGGATGACGCTGGGCTGGAATCCTCGATGGCGAGGGAAAAAAACATTAAAAAATAAAATAAAAAATAAAAAAAAGAAATTGGGAAAAAACGGAATTTTCAGATTCTCCTCTCCACATCACGTGATTACCAGCCAGCAGTTGTTGTATACGCAATCTTCTATTCTACCCTCTACCCAGGTAAGTAACATACTTCTATTCATTCATCATTGGAAGGTCTGCAGTTTTAAACTTGTGAATTTCCGAATCTGCATTTCCCTCCTCAACTCCTCAATATTCTCCCTTACACACCTGGTCATCTGCTTATCTTCCGCAATCCTTGCAAAGTATAGAATCACACCACTCACAAGCACTACACAAAGTACGTGCTACATGAAAACTATAGAGCCATCATACTGCTCTCCCAGCATCCTTGTCCTCCGCTACCCGAAGATCTGCCAAACAGGGCGAAAAAAGAAAAAGCTTGAAAACAACCCCTTACCAAGTGCCAATATAGATGATGATCCACAATACACCCACAAATAGGGAGCGGATCTGCAAAGAATTTGCCGAGCACTATGTTGTATTATTCGATCTTATCTTTCCCAGAATATTCAATGATTTTGATTGAAGGTCATTTATTGTTTTTACTATACTGACAAGAGTAGTCGGCTGCATATGCGGTCTTTGCCCTTCATGAACCTAGTTCTTTAATAATCTGATTTATCTGGCCCAACATGATACAAGGGACGTTATATGTAAAACAATACTATAGTGTCTTTTTCAAGTTCTTTTTATATTTTTTCTTGTGGTATATTTCGGCTTGCCACTCTATGTACAATGCAAATATATTTAAAAGCATAAACTCGACATAGGGCCTTTCTATGTATAACTAGAGACGTAGACACATAATCACTAACATAAGTTCTAAAATCTATATTGAAAAAAAACTAGAACATGTAAGAAAGGTCAGATATATATAGTGGAGACAGAAGGCAATTCCTGGATGAATTACAACCTCGCCTGCTGTGCTGCAAGATAATCTCCCCACACTTTCTTAATGTCATTTTGATAAATGAAATCCTTATCTCCATAGAGGAAAGAGTCGATCTTGGCTTGCAAAAGGACATCAAAATTCTTCTCTTCTGCTTGGAGCTTTTGCGTTTTGTCGCGTATCTCGTCGAGATGCTGATACCTGTGAAGGGTTGGAAAATCATGGTCAGACACAAGCCATTTACACATAATCTCAAGCCCAAACTTACATTTTGGTATAGTATGGGGACCGAATCTGGTCAAAGATCTCGAGAGCATCCCGTGCGGGACGAGAGGCAAGCTGCGTAAGCTCAAGTGCGCGGGCAAGGATCCAACCGTCCTCCATGGCAAACGTCGCACCAGAGCCAAACGCGCCTGGGACGCAGTTAGCGCTGGAAATGACAATGAGCCATAAATAATATCACTTGGACTTACCAGAAAGAGGGTGACTGGAATCTCCGATAAGGGCGACTTTGTCCCAGTAGGTAATCTTGTCCAGACGAGGACCAGCGAATGTCGCAAACTCCCGCCATTCTCCTTCAGCCACCGCGCTTATTGCATCTCTTAGTCTTTGGTCATATTTCTTTTTCACATGTTAGCAATTGGTCCTCTCTTTCATTCCTGCAAAGCTATGTCGTACCTCAACACGCGAGCCCACTTTCTCGTTGGTTGCAGGGATACCCCAAAAGACCGCCTTCCCTGAGACCTCAGGTTCACGATAAGAGCGAATAGTAATTTCAAACAGCGGATCTTTGATCTCTTCCTCATCATCCACATCGGAGAGATATACATGGCCGGCTTCGCCCCACCACCACGACGTTGTAGTCGTGATGTCCGGGATATGAGCCAGATGAGACTTCGGAACGAGAACACGGAACGCACTGTTGCCTGTGAAGTGAAGCTGATGGTCAGGCAACAGGGTCTTACGGACAACCTATCCCACGAAGCTGCGTCAGTCACAAATACTAGTGCTCACACAGGAGGGTTGACGAACAGAGTGTAGCCCATCCGCTCCGACGACAATGTCTGCGATCGCTTCCGTTTGATCCTGGAAAATCAAACGAACTCCCCGACCCGAAAGATTCTCCAAAGATACAACCTTCTTATCAAATTGGATCAGGCCCTCGGGCACTCTCGATAAGAGAGCTGACTGCAGTCGGGTTCTGCGAGCACGGATTGCGCCGCGGGAATCTGCAGCCGAATTTTCTGGATGCTCAGTGACGTTCAAAACCTTCCCTGTGTAGGCATTTCTTTTGAGAATGTGAGGTTAACATTTGCGCCAGCTGTTATTATGGCTAGGAAAGCACTGCTTACCTTTGATGTGTGTTGGATTTAGAGCCTCCCTTGACCCCATCACTAGCTCCAAGTAAATCTAGAACTCTCCACGCATTCGTACTCAGACTGATGCCAGCACCCGCTTCTCGGGGCTCTGTATTTTTCTCGTACAAAGTGACCTTCAGGAACGGTAGTTCTGAGAGAGCAATCGCTGTTCCTAATCCTCCGGGTCCACCACCAACGATAGCAACAGAAGTCAATGCTTGTCCGACCATATTTGCAAAATAATTATAGGGTGTAATGGGGTATTTTTGGAAGTTTACCTTGCTTATATATCCAAAGTATTGCACCTTGTGGTCGGGAGTGGTGGGTAGATAACTACATCGCACGCCATACTGAGCTTTGAATATGCCATGCGCCACTATTTCCCTGCCCACCAATCCCACCCTAATTTGCTAGAGAATCAGTCGATCCGGAGAATAAAACCCCGCGTGTGGACTGTTACGGAATCATTCATTTCAGCACGTAATGGCTTGATGGTGGCCGGTCGAATTATCTTTTACCAGATAAGCAAAGCAATGGCCAAAAAGGAAAGTGCCTCGGCAGAGAGACCTCTTGGTGAGTCAAGGGAATGGCTTTGAGAGAATATAATACCATGTAAAAGCCGATAGACCCACCTCGCTGATCAGTTTTATACCCCTAGAGGAGTGAAAATTCGATTGTCCCCCAAACAAATGTGCACCCGGCCCCGGGGCCCTGGAGGATAGGATTTATGAATAATACCGGCGTCCGACGGCCACTCTGCTTTCTCATGAACTGATTCCACATTGTGGGGAGGGTGATTCGAAATTTTGAGGGGGAAGAAACGTCTTTTCCGTGGCGTTCCCACTAGTCTTGTCGCTTTCCGTACAGCATACATGGTATCAGTAACGGCTGGATAGTGGCTCCAGCAGAAGTACGCGGCTGCTTTAGAAGCAACAGAGAGAACTTGTAGCAACCAAACTGGCGTGTTAATACCTTCTATGAGGATGCATGAGTATATGTACACTGGTAGATAGTGAACGTGGTCTGAGTGATAGTGTACTTGGGCCCGATAGGAGTGCGACATACCCCAATCTCTTCGATTTTGAAATCTAGGTTTTGTGCTAGTAGGACTTATCATCAGCACCTGGTGAGGATATAGCCGCATTATATAGAGTATTGCGATTAGCGCGACCATACACAAGGGGATCGACCGGAACTAGTAGGAGCAGAGTCAGGAAACTAAGATTGACAAAAAAGTCGGTAGTATTTACCTACTGGACCGTATTTCTATTGAAGAGTATCACTGCTGATGTCGGTTGACTTTTCTTGTTAGCTTAAGACTAAGTCGACGGAAGTTTCAATTCTCTCCGTGTGCGAGAAGTCATCCCAAATGATTACGACCGCCATGAATTCCGGGACTAGGACTCGTGTCACCCAGCCCCATTCAAGACAGAGCGCATTAAGCACATTCGCCAACAGTATAAGCAAGGTGTGATAACACAATGATAGACGAAAAAGTGTGGCTTTTGGGGGACATGCATGGGGTGCGTCTAAGACCTACGAGATTACCTTCGATTGAATGAAACAATATTACCAACATAACCCTCTTTCTAGCTATCCTTTTAAGCCCATTGCTGATCTTAGTATCGATATAACTGCTAGTTATCTGATACAGATCCCTATCTCAAAAAAAGTAAAATCATTTTCATAAATCCGAATCCGTAAACCATCTAGAGGGGGCGTCGGTATCAACGTCTTAAAACATAAAAAAGGATAGCTAGAACAAGCAACAGTAGATAAAAAGCAAGAAGACAATAAACAAGGCGAACTTGCTTCATCCTTCAACAAGATGCATAAACCACGGGTTTAGCCCCGGGAAGAAACCCATTAGCTTTGAAGAACCGCCTGTCGCGAATGGATACAAACGCCAAAAGCCCAGCAAATCCACTTAAGAGAAATAACGTTAGTAAAAAGAGCCACACCGTTTCTTCAATTGATACAACTTACCACAGAAAGAAGACCAATGTAGCCGTAATACCGCCCAACGCCCGACTGCTCCCGCTAGTCGACCCCGTAGTACCCATAATCGTGATAATAAATAGAGCAAACCAAAAGACAGTATCGATAATATTCAATATCATGTATGCTTTTGTGCTTGCCCATCGTTTGAAGCGATCTATATGAGTCGTTGTTATTTGATAGGCCATGAAGACGGCAGATTTGAGGCACTTTGGTCATAGGTTAATGGATTGCATATAAGATAATACAATGTAAGCCGCGAGATAACTCACCACGGCAATACCCCACACATTAGTTCTCGTCTTCGGAGTGCCACTGTTGGCAATGCGTGCAATGAGGAGAATGAAGATGATGAAGACCGAGGCGCCGATAATGATGTGGAGTCGGAACTTGATCATCGGGCTTCTTTCGATTGATAGATTCATTGTTGCGATGTGTGCTTTTCTGATTCAATGGGCACGAAGGGTTTCAAGTGAGCACTGATATGGTCGTAGATTCGTAGTTGATTCCCGGGATCTTGGACAAATCATAGATTAGTGCTTGGTATGGGGAAATCGAGTTGTTTAAATATTGAATTATGCTTCCCATGTCTCGTAATCGCTTAGAATGCATATTCAAGGCAGAAGAATATTTTAAGATAATTTAAGAATGATTGTTGGGGCCTTGACAAGTGCTAGTCTTGGCTCTACTTCGCATTCGTATCTTTACCTATATGAGGAAATGATCACCCGTAGCAACCAAATGTTTTGGTTAGGCCTTCTTTTCTTTTCTATTTTCATGTTGCCTCCCAGTGATCGCGGATGGGAAATGCGTCCCTAAACTTTTCTTTTCGGGTCAGTGTCTGAAGGTATTGAATTTAAAGAGCATTTCGGGTTGTGAAAGTCCCTGCCCGGCATCCAAGGTATCCATTTTCAGCAGCCATTTTACCGTCAATTAGCGTTGTGGTGTAAGATCATAGATTTTGGTATATATTTATCTTCGCTGATTTAAAGCTGGAAAACACTACTTGGCAATAAAAGTAGCGCCGGGAAGATGGATAATAACACGGAGCAGATATGCTGGGCTCATCACTGTACCACAATATACGTACGAAAGCATCGTGAAATATATATTAAGGACATTTGTATCTATCTCCAGCTTATCATCAGCAATAGAAGCGTGGGTGTTTTTATGGATTCATTAAACTAGACTAGAGAGATCAATGCGGGTTGTTAAGCCCTTGCTACACTGTCACGACGGAATAAAAATGGGGCCTGAGAGGGAGTCACGAACATTTGTCCAAGTATACAGGTTGACCTTCCTATGTACTTGAGTTGTTAAACCAGGAATTAGGCCTATTTGCAACGCCTCCACTTGGTGTATCTTATGTTCCAACATATCCATTCGTCAGACAGCCAATTGCTGAAGAACTCTGTGAGTAGCGGAATCACGACAGCTCAAGTGTAACATGGCAAGCAGTTCAATGACTCTGCCATTTTCAACCCAACCACGAGACTAACGAAGTTGAACGGGTGGGTGCGTATGTATGATAGAGAACCATGTTACAGGAAGGCAAGTGCACCATCGACGTAGCACCCACTAGACCAATGTCTCAGGGGATGGGGTATAAGAGTGCGTGATGTGGAAGCATGATCTATCCACAAAAAAAAACTCCCCTCTTGGCGTCGAAACCACCTACTAGGCTTCAAATTCCTACCTAAAATCCGCTTCCTACCATGCCTGAGTCCCAACCCAACCCTACTGGTTCCGATGAGCCCAGCGAGGTCCCATTTGGCAAATGGGACTCCTTCTCTTGGGAGGAATTTCCTGCATGGGAGGGTACCAAAGCTATCATGTTCCGGTCGCCGGATGGCAAGCGCGTTGCTGGTGCTTTCCGCGAGTCTGCAACCGCCACCATGACATACCCCTGTGACGAGTTCAGTTATGTGACGGCGGGGTGGATCAAGGCCCATGTTCATGGCGGGGAAACATTCACCCTTAAAATCGGCGACTGTGTCTACTTTACGAAGGGTCAGACGGTGGACTTTGAGTGCAGCGAGGACTATGCCAATGTTTCTGTGTTCCTCGGCAGTGAGCCTGTTACTATCGTTTGAGCTCACTGCTGGGTCAATCACCAGGTGGAGAGACGATTTTAGTGAGAGTGTGTATTGGAGGCGAATTGAATTGGAGCCGATGACGAGGATTATATTCCTTTAGTTCTTGCCGCTTTGTAGTATCTTTCACCTCAAGCCTGGCGATGGCTGCCGTAGACTGTGCAGTTTTCAGTAATAGAACGAAGGATAATTGAACTATAGGTTGACGAATTCTGATCATAGTATACTTTGCTTATAGCTGATGTCAACTAAGTGTCTCGAGAAGAATAAGATATGGATGGATCACCAAGAATTAGAGAGATAGTGCTGTCACTGCTGTGTTTGACTATGGACAAGTCGCGTCGGACAGTCCTGTTACATGTTTGTACTGCCTGAGGCCACTAACACAATCTCACCTGCCAGGTGAGTAAGTAAGTACCTACATACATACATAGATGTAAGGATTGTAAACACCATGAGAATCCCATGCAGAATACCGAATCATAAGATGTCTCTTGAGCTCCCAGCATGAGGGCCTGGTTGATACCGTCCATGACCCCTGACGCGTGCGATTTCGACGTTAAGGATTCCTCCCCGATGACAGGGCTATAAAGTTCACTCAAGGTGATCTTTACCGCAGGAATATAATCATTACGTTCTGCCAGCCATAACTTGTGCTGGCTATCGTTGATTAGGAACAGTCTGGTTGGCTGCCTGGGTACTGGGAGGCCCGCAAAATGGAGTGGAGTGTTGGGGAAAAAGCATGGCCGGAATATCTATCATTGATTCTGGATCAGCATGAGTGTACCGTGGACGCATGGTGGCGGTATATTGAGGATTTGGGGGTGTTAGACCAGGAGTAGGAGTGATCCATGTGGACCGGGTTGTGTATTCGACATGCAGGTTTGATCGATCATATTTCAGTCAGTCTTTAGATATAGTTTCGGTCCGAAAACGAGCTCTCAACTAAGGCTCTCGATGCAATGAGCCCGAGATATTTATTCATCAAACCAAGGGTCATCCAAAACTTGTTTTGCTGACGCTCTTGCTGACGGCTCAAACCGCAATAGGCTTCCAATGATTTGCCCTAGCTTCACGATATCCTCTCTGGTAAGGTCGGGACTCTGCGGGCTATCGAAGTACAATTCCTCCAGCCATTCTTGCAAATTGGGTACAGCGTTGTCTGTGGGTTCATCATCATCTCCTTTCATCGTCTCCCATATCTTGTTCCATCTTTCAGTTAGGTCATCACTTGCTATCTCTTGCATCTGGCCAACCAGGATTATGGGCGTTATCAAGAGGGTATCGAAAGGCGGCTGGCCAACGAAAAGTTCAAAGAGCTGGGGTACCTATCAGTTTACTGTTGTACAGCGTTCAACGCCACGTCGAATGATTTCACGCACCATGCATCCCATGCTCCATAAGTCAACACGACAATCAATGCGATCTTGAAATATAACTTCAGGTGCCCGAAGAGCTAGAGGGGTATGTAGTGTTTGAGAGATAGTGGTTTGTGAGAACGATTGACCAAAGTCGATCATTTTGATCGACCGAGCCCAATCCAAAGAAGGCGTCCGATATGAGCTAGGCCGAACGATATACTTGGGAATTCCAGGCTCGATGTCTTGCCCGTCGCTCCTTCGGACATAGCCAATAATATCTGGTTTTCCTAGGATTTCGATAAACTTTGGTTCAGTTAACTTATCCATGCAAGGCATGGTGAAGGCCAAATTGCGAGTATGCAGATCTATATTGTGTGAGAATGGTTCAAAATACTCCTTGGAAAGTGACATACCTCCGTGTGCAACATTATGTTGGTGCAAACGATCAAGACCAATAAGACTTTGCTTCGCAATGATTTTGGCGAGCTTCCCAGGGAGTCTCCCATGGGGAAAGTGTGTATCAATTGTATCAGGAATGTTAGGGCTCAAAAATTCATATACCAGGCAATTATGACATCTATTTGGGCTGTTCAAATCGAAGTTATCAAGCATGCGCACCGTATGCTTTAGAGGAGGGTTATCAGATGCCAACTTCAGAGTTTGGAGCTCTCGTATCTCCCCAAGATGATCTCTTTCTGCAACACAAATTTTGACAGCAACATAAAAATTATCCCCGGAGACAGGCAACTTTTTGTTAGCTAGAACTGCCGTCGGTCACCCGATTTTGTACAACCTTTGATCTCTCGCCGCCCAAACTGTTGAGTAACCTCCTCATCCTAGTTTATGTAACACCTTGTATCTGCCAAATCTCAGGTATTCCCCCAAGGAGACTGGGTGGTAGCCGCCTTGGCGGTAGCAATGAAGTGGTTCCGCATCAAGGGGGCAAATATGGAGGGGCTGGTCGATCGGACTCTTGTCTGGATTGGTAGATAGGGACTTGGAGAAGACGCAACGTCGTGAGATCCTCAAAGGGGCAGTGCGTCTCGTGAGGACCCAGGCAATTGCCATGTAGGTGTGTCAAATGAATATTGACAGGTCTACGGAGTAGATTGTCATGGGATGTAAACAATAGCTAATCACATGATCTGTATAAGCGGTAAATATGAGCCGGCACATGACAGATGTCGTTTATTCCCCCTTTCTCCTCTTCCGAGTCTCCATACCATCTGCTTTTAAGAATCACACAACTCCTTGTTGGTATTATTGCCGCGTAGCCATGAATCCTTCGAACACTAGCTCGAGAGGTCCTATTTGCACCTGCCGAGGCTAAGACTGTTGGCATTTTTGCAAGTTTTAGTGCAAAGGCAAATAAACTTCTGCCAACATGCTGGATGGGCTTGGACCTGGGGTACAGCCTATGTGAAATGCGCAATCGCTACAAATGGCCTCAATTAACTGGCATGTTGATACATCAACATCCTGGCTGCGGGAATTAGACTCTGCAAGAACTACACCGCAGTTTACTAGATCATAGCATAACCCCATGGAATTCCTACTGAGGCTATATTAGGGGAATACATGATGCCTAGCAATCTGGCTAAACGGGAAATCTAAGCTAACTAGTCAGGTGTGGCAGAGTTAGTTTAGCCAACTCCCTGCTACTTATTTCTCCTGTCAAAATATCATTGTTGTGGCGTTCACCGGCAAAGACAATTAGAGTCACAATATCTACCCCTGACAGGTTAGGCGTAATTTAGCCTAATTTCCCCATGCTACCCCGGAAAGTCGTCTAAAGCCAACGAACCGGCAGATGTTCAGCTTCAAGCCGGAGATTGAATTGCCGGGCCTTTGCAAAGTCGGGTTAGCTTTCTTTTATCAAGAGGGGTATATTGCTGTGTTGCAAAATCTGTCCGGTTTAAAATGAGCTCTTTTCCGCGTTATTTGCTGCAGTGCACTCTTGATTCACATTCTTCATTCGCATCTCGAGTTACATGTCGGTCACAATGCGCTCTTTCATTGCAATCACAGCATTACTGGCTGGTCTCACCCAGGCTGCACCCAACCACCAAGATCGCACCAACTACAACCTCAATGCCCTTGCTCAAGCTCGGGGTAAACAATGGTTCGGAACAGCTGCTGATATCCCGGGGACGGGTGAGACAACCGACGCTGCGTACCTGAAGATTCTAAAAAATCAATTCGGTGAAATTACTCCAGCTAATGCGCTCAAGGTACGCTGAACCGTATATACAAATATGGCCCTCGAGTGATTCGCGACTAACTATGATTTATCCTCGTGGAACCAGTTTATGTATACAGAACAAGAGCAAAACAAGTTCAACTTCACTGATGGAGACTATTTCATGGATCTAGCCGAGCGCTACGACTCCAAAGTTCGCTGCCACAATCTCGTCTGGATGAGCCAGGTGTCAGATTTCGTCACCTCGAAGACCTGGACCGCCAAAGAACTCACTGGAGTTATGAAGAACCACATCTTCAAGACGGTGCAGCACTTCGGCAAGCGATGCGCCTCGTGGGATGTCGTTAATGAAGCTATCAACGACGATGGCACCTTCTCGTCAAGCGTCTGGTATGATACCATCGGCGAGGAATACTTCTACCTTGCCTTCCAATATGCGCAGCAGGCTCTGGCCCAGATCGGGGCCAGTGATGTCCAGCTTTACTACAATGACTATGGGATTGAGAGCCCCGGTACCAAGGCCGAAGCCGTTCTGGGCCTTGTTAAGAATCTGCGCAAGCGAGGAATCCGCATTGATGGTGTCGGTCTGGAGTCGCACTTTATTGTCGGCCAGACACCTTCCCTTGCCAATCAGCTGGCCACGAAGAAAGCTTATATCAAGGCTGATTTGGATGTTATTGTCACGGAACTTGATATTCGCTTTGCGGAAAAGCCGTACTATACTGCCGATGTACAGAAACAACAGGCTGCCGACTACTACCTCACCGTTCAGAGCTGTCTTCAGTCTGGACGTCGCTGTCTTGGTGTCGTTGTTTGGGACTTTTATGATAAATACTCTTGGGTGCCTGAGACCTTCGCTGGTCAGGGAGGTGCAACTCTTCTCAATGATACCCTCGAGGCTAAACCGGCGTATTACGCGGTTGTTGAGGCGCTCCAGGGCAAGAAGTGCACTGTTTGCTAGGTTATTAGTACTGGGTCAGATGTGAGAAAATGAATTTCGGAAAAAAGGAATCTTCACCAAAAGTCTTCTATTGGATCCAGAGTGGCTAGAACTGATTCTCATATCAACTACTCGGGTGGTTTATAATTTTTGTCCATGCCCATTCTATTGAAAGTTTTGCCTCACTAAGTGGATAAATCTGGATAATCTCATAACTATTAAGCGGTATTTATCCATGTTTAGGTTCACTTTTGTGCCTCTGTCTCGGCCTGTGCCTTCGCAATCGCTCCTGGGGCAGCTGGCATGAGTGCACCTGGAGGTGGCTGGTTCTTCCCTTTGAACTCGTCGCACATTTGCTCAAATGTGACCCACTCCACTCCCTCGTGGCTGTTGATATACTCAATAAGTCTACACATGGTTTATTAGTTTCACATTGGCCAAAAATCTTCAACTGTGAGAATTTTGAACATACCTTTCGTGCATGAGCAAAACATGAGGCCGACCAGAGACATCGGGATGAATTGTCATAGGGAAGACAAACTCATCGTACTCTCGATAGAAATAGTCGAAATGATCCTGTATTAAGCAACCCTGTCAGCCCAACGTCCCATTATTCCTGGAATTAAATACCGACCTTCCAAATATCCTCAACATCCCGCGGATTAACCCATCCATGACTATTCGCCGAATTCTTGATAAACATCATCGGCGGCAGATCATCAATATACCAACTGCCCGGAATCTCCACAAGACCAGTAGTATTACCCCTGACAAGGGGCTTCATCCACGTCTCCGCCTTCTGCTTGTAGTCAATCTTCGTCCATGTATCCCCAGTCCGCAGCCAGTACATCTGGCAATCCTCATGGGACATGGAATGATCATATTCAATCCCATACGCGAGCAAGAGCTCAACCATCTCCGCACTGGCCTCCCACCATGGCGCAACAATTCCACGCGGCGGCTTTCCGCAGAAGTCTGTCAGCATCTTGTATGTCTTGTCGAGGATGTCTCGCTGTTGTTCCGTGGACAAGTCGCAGGGATTCTCGTGCGAGTAGCCGTGTAACCCGATCTCGTGGCCGGCATCCCGGACCATTGCGCATTCTTCCGGGAAGGTGTCCAGAGTGTGACCTGGGATGAACCATGTTGCTTTGATGTTGTATTTTTCGAATAGCTTCAGTACGCGGGGTGTGCCGACGTGCCCGGCCCAGAGACCTTTGGGGGATTTTATTAGTGTAACGGCAGTGATCTGTAAGACACATGTGCTTACCTCGACTGATATCGCTCACGCTGTCTTCTCCTCCGTATGAGCCTAGCCAGCCAGCTACTGCATCGATATCAACGCCGTAACTGACAAGAACACGCTTTTTGCCCATGGTTATTATAATTGGGGGTGTTGCTGGTGATGGGGAGGTTGAAGTTTGATCTAACAGAAAACAAAATATAATTTCTTTGAGGACTTGATTGAAACCAGGTGTAGGAGGGGTATTCTTGACGTAAATATATAGTCCCCTACCCCCAACAATGCACTGCGACAAAGGTGGGGTGATCCCTGGACACTTTGAATCGCAATTTCTCAAATTGGAGACATGGATGGTCATAATATGATGATATCTATCTTCCTCCCACTCATGATTCACTCCAACTGCCCCCATTCGGGTCTGTTGCTCTAGCTTGTGATCGTATCGCTATTCGACTGAGTTGTTTATACTTTGCGACATTGCTAAAAGGAAATAGAGCAAAGTTACTACCGGGAATATATATACAATCAGAGGGAAATTATGTGACAACTACTTTGACCAGCAATTGTAAATGAAGGAAGAGAGCTATTCGTACTAATTGTTCCGTCTGGCACTCGGGCCTCAGGCAAAAAGTCCTGTCTAACGCCCAAAAATATCTTCAACAATAACTTCAAAAATGAATGATCAATGCTATATGATATACTAGACTAGTTAAACATACAAACTCATGGTTTACCCGAATTGTCAAAATGTTTTTCCCACAACGGGCAGCGATCCCGATCCTTCAAAGTTTCCCTTTCATCAAACCCAGATGCGAAGTTCCTCCATAAATTTGCTGTTGCAATATAGCCGTGTTGATCTATTAACCAAGTGTTAGGGAATGAGCAAAGAGTAGGATAGCAAGGGGTAGGTACATGTTGAGGGCCAAGGTCGCCTACTTCCTTTACACCAAGGAGGCGCATGCATGTTTTCATTTCATCCGATAGAACTGAAATTGAAAGTTCACAAGTTAGCAATACCATAATAATCCACTTTTTTGAGGAATACAAACTCTGCAATGTTCGCTCAACACCATCAACCCCACCAGCAGCGAGACCCCAAAGAGCCGGCCTTCCTATCCCGACAGCTTTGGCCCCGAGACATAGCGCCTTGACAGCATCTGTACCGCGACGAATTCCACCATCTACCCACACTTCAACCTTATCGAACACATCCGGGCAGTATCTTCGAAGTTCAAGTAGAGTATGCACAGCAGGAGGTGCTGTATCAAGCGACCTCCCACCGTGGTTGGACAGCACAATCCCCCTCACCAAAGGTGCATACTGAGCCGCCAGAGTTGCATCTTCGTGTGTCTGAATTCCTTTGAGCACAATCGGTTTAGTAGTATGTTGTGATAACCACCGAAGAGTTTCCGCCCAAGTAAGTGATGGATCTGTCCCAGCAAAGAGCTGGGTGCTGACACTTGCTGCTGTGTTGGCTTGAATGTTGATTCGCTCATCGTCTTCTCGTTTACCCGATACGGGTGCATCGAGTGTCAACACGATAAACTTGATCCGATCTAGCCAATTAACGCGTGCTAACATATTTTCACTCAATTGTCTGTTCAATTGGACATAAAGTTGCCATCCGAAGATCTGTGTTGGGGGCGCGTTCGTGACGATCTCCTCTGGAGAAAGTGAGGAGTTGTTTGCGATTATTTGAAGACCCCCAAAAGAGCGACATCCTTCGGCAATCCCCTTTTCTCCTGCAGGATGTCCTAAACGCGCCATTGCAGTTGGACTGACGAAGATCGGTAACCCGACTTTGTGGCCCAGGAGGTTGGTTTCTAGTTCGCAAGTGCGACAGTCAACAAATATCCGTGGTCGAAACAGAATTGAACGATAGGCCTGTGTATTGAGGTACTTTGATATCTTGTCGTCGGCAGCGGAAAAGTAGTATCCCCATGCCTTTTTGCTGATGACCTTTGTGGCAGCAGCTTCGATCTCGTCTAGGTTCAGCAATGTGCTTAATGACGCTTGGGTGATCTCTTCGGGCGTAGAATCTGTAACTGGCGACTCTTGTGGCTCGACTGTGCCCATAAATGACTGTTCAATGTCCTTTAGGGTCTCAGAAGGATGGATCATGTCGAACTCCTCGGTGGCATCCCGTCCTCCCCAACGGAGAATTGCCTGTGTTCCTCCAGGATGACTATCCAGAATGCGTGTAACCTCGTGGAAGTTAGCTAGTTTGAATTTTCCTGATGAAAGATTTAAAGGTCCTTACATCATATACTTTACCATAAAGTATAACCCAGCAACTATCTTCAGTGTTGTGTCTAGAGACTGGGTATGTTAGTTCGATGATCCCTACTCCCAATCGCTCTCATCCGGCAAGACCAACTAACCTTCCGAAAGAGTAAACATTGTGACTCGATTGAGTAGTTTGGATTAAACAGATCGATAGTTTCTGTATCTAAATAGGCGTGGTCTCAATTCCTATAGAATACCCTAGCCTAGCCTTTCACTCCCATGACATTGACACCGCATGCCCCCACCCACACAAAAGTCCATTTAGATCGGTGATTTAATATATTCAAATTTTAATTGGATTGTGAGTTAATAGGTGTAAGCTATAGAGTCAGCTATAATCTAGGTATGGATCAGAGCTCTTATCTTGCAATTGAATTAATAGCACCCCCACCTTTGACCTGCTTCTATGTTGTGGTGGATACCTATAATCCGTCCCAAAGCGGTTTAATCATTTAATGACTTTGTTTGGTTAAATGCATACTTTCGAATATCTTGATTGGATGTTTAAATTTACGGGGCGCTTATGATTAATGAGCGTGAAGGATCCAGTAAGAAGGTATGACTTGACGTAATAGGATAAAGTATTGATGCATTGATCTAACCACAACAAACTAAGTAAACCTATAGTATAGCCATATATCCAAATTCCAATCTATGATGGTACACACGAAATGCCAAAGCATCTTCTCAGCCTGGCTATTACAGCGCATCGTGTCCATGTGTCTCAAAGGGCAATCCTAAACACAACGCACCGACAACAATCCACAATGCCGCACTAGCATAGATTGGCGCAGTTGTAAATCCAGTCTGTGATGAGATAATACTAGCAATGAGTCCTCCAAATCGAAGCAGGGCGGCCGCTGTTCCAGTGCCAGTGCCGCGATGAGGAGCTGGGAATGACTCCGGAGTGAACGCGTACATAATAGCGTATTCTGTAATACTTGTTAGCTATGAAATAAAACGTTGGATTGCATGATATCCCACCGAAATTGCCCAGAAGACTGGTAATGCAAGAAAATGCCAAGTCGGCCGATGGAGTGTTGACACCGACGTATGCGAAGAGGAACACGCCCGTGACAGCAGCTGAAATTCCCATCATCCATCTTCGGCCCATGCGGGTATTTACTGATACTGCAGCGGATAATGGTCCGACTATTCCGACGGCAGATGTGATGCAGTAGTTCCGATAGGTTAGGGAGAGAGAAGAATGTTCTGTGAATTTGGTTGCCAGGTAGGATGGCAAGAAGGCGAAGAACAGCGGGTATGCAATTCCTGGATATGAGTGTGAGTAGAGATATTACAGCAATAGGTCATCCTGTCTGACTTACCGACTGTCAACCAGATGGCCCAGATTATCAATGTCTGTCTTCCGAGCTTTCGAGTTGCAAATAGCGCACGGTAGTGCTCCCCCCGGAAGGCTTGCATGTTCTCTTTGACGATTTCCTTTGCCGTCATCTTCTTAGACTCTCCTTCTTCACTGGGCATATTTCCAAACTGAGCATCGATTGCTTGAAGCATCTCAAGTGTCAGGGGTTCTGGCTTGCCATTCTGCTTGGCAACGTAATTGATAGCATTGACCGCGTCCTGGTCTCTTCCCTGGGAGAGCAGATATCTTGGGGTTTCGGGAAGTTTGAAAACGAAAATGCGAACGAAGGTAAATGTGAGTGCTAAGCCACCTAGAGTGATGAGTGTGTATCTCCTAGTGATTGGAATTAGCGAGGAAATATGTTATGGATCTTGTGACTCTTACCATCCCATGTTCTGGCTTCGAGAGCAGGTCTCTGGGGTGGCATCTGTTGGACAACTGAAGTGGGCTAAGAAGACCCAAGAAATTAAGGACACAATCAGTTGGCTCAGATTCCACCATGCCGAAAGAGCCGTGAGAAGATATTGATGACTGTGTTCTTATTAGCAACAATCACCATCAATATCGCCAACAACATGTTTTCTCACCTTCCTGGGACGAATTCGAGGAATATCATGGAATCAACAGGCACATTTCCACCAGCAGCAGTTCCAATAACAGCCCAAAGTGCACTGAATGCGATGAAATTCATCGATCCAGCAGCGGCACAAAGGAAAACACCAGCAATGAGTAGCGTAGAATTGAAAGCTGGCTTGCGTCCGATGAGATCGCTTGACAGACCCCAAAACGACGCACCCAGAATGAGTCCAACATAATAAGCAACGGAGCTGTAGCTAACTTGCACAATGCCGGAGAACTCTTGCTTGATAGGGGGTTGGACACTTCCAATGCCTTGGGAGGCAAACTATTCGAAATCGATGTTAGGAAAAGGGGTAATCAGGAGAAAAGGAGTGACATTGCATACATTATCGACTATCCATCCAAAACCTGTAACCACGAAGAGTTTCCATTGAAACCTAGTAGTGTTAATATCTCAATGCCTCAAAGCAGTGCTCAAAATTTGCGAGGTGTCAATACCAGCCCATGCCAATCTCCTCCATACATTTTCCCACCAACTCAGACTTCAAGCGGTATGCCTGAGTAGTCGAGGATCCATAGAACTCCTCAACCTCATAATCAGCAATAGTCGTCAATTTAGCAACTTCATAATCCGGAGTGCTACTCTCAGCTGGTTGACTCTGCTTCTTGTCGACTTGGATTTCGTCCATCTTGCAATTGGTAATTTGGTGAGGAATTCCTTGCAGACAGATCAGCCAAATGTCGTTCTCTTTTAGGGCTACGATGTGCCTGCTAATCCGATGATCTTGTCTGATTGTCCATATACTTCAGATTGATACGGAGGAATCCGGCGACCAAGAGTGGAGAGGAAATAATGTGCCATCCCACTTTTGGGATCCGGGGATGTCTTGGATATGTGATATCACAACAGCTTACACCAGGCCGAGACTTACCTTACTTTGTGGCGTTACTGCACTTAGCGCTTGTCAGCCCATTAAGTCAACCAATCAGATATAGTTATTGAGTTATTTTTCGTGTTGTGTGCTATAGACTGTGCCAACAGTGCATTGGCCATACTCCGTACCTCTTCTATGGTTTCTGAGGTTTCATTCTTTTCGGTAGGGACATCAAATAAGAAGAGATATTTCAATGAATTGGCAATCTGAGTAGCACTAAGCGCCGACCGCAGCAACAGCTGGAATAACATCCGCCTTCTGTGCATCCAAATCCTTCTTGAATGCCTCAGCCCGGCCGTAGCTCTCCTTGTAAGACGCCGTGACCATATCCTGCACAGTAATCGGACCATACTTGGCCGGTTCACCCTCCTCACGACAGTTTGGCAAGCACTCGCACACATAATCCGGGTTTCCACTGAAGAAGAACGGAATCGAGTATCTCTCTCTACCGGATTTGTTGATCACACGATGGGTGTTAGATTTGTATTTGTCGTTCGCCATGCGCATGAAGAGGTTACCCAAATTCACCACATAGGCACCGGGAACGGGTTTGACCTATCGATCTTTGTCAGAGTCAAGCTTAAGTGATTAATGTAGTTGGAACTAACGTCTAGCCATTGTCCCGATGGTGCATCTAGAACTTGTAGGCCATCCACCTCATCCTGCAGAAGGAGAGTGATGCATCCGAAATCGGTGTGCGCTCCGATTCCGCGGTTCAATTTCTCGTCGGTATCCTGCGGCTGCGCCGGATAGTGAAGGTATCGCATTGTCGCAACAGCTCCGGCTGTTAGGGGGTCGAAGAAGGATGATTCAACCCCTAGTGTTTGAGCCAGAACTCCCAAAACATCCTTTGCCAAATCGAATACCGCGTGGTAGTATTCCATAGTTGTTGTTTCAAATTCCTCCTTGTTGGGAACAGTCGGCGGCCATTGGTTGGGGCCGCTGTTCAACTTCTTCTCCAAATAGTAGGGGTGGTCTTCGGGGATTTCCTCGCCGATGTACAGGCCTTCTTTCAGCTCGGGGCCGGTGCCCACTTCTAGCATTTGCGACCGGAGGAGTTCATAGCCTCTGTTAAATGTAGTGAGATCTATTCAGTTAGCGGAATTCACGATGAGTGGACAAGGCTCTTACTCTTGTCAATTTTCAATTTCTCTTCCAGAGGGAGATCAAAGAAGCGCCTGGAGCAGTTCATAACGCGGCGCTGCAAGTCCAGTGGGACGCGGTGGCCGGTGATCTGGAAAAATCCGTTGTAATGGCAACATTTGCGCACCTCTTCAATCAACTTGGATTTCGCGTCGCTGTCCTTTCCATAGAATGGAGAGAAATCCAAAATCGGTGGAGCTGAAGGTACAGACATTTTGTTGAATGATTTGATGCGTTGTGCTTGTGTTTGCTCGTTAATCTCACTTTGGCTCGAATATATTTCCTCGGAATTGAAAAAGAACTACCCCATGACTGTTCAACCTCGCAGAGAAGTCCGACATCTCAACTCCAACTAATCCAGCTCGTCCAGCTCTAGCTGGAGCTCTAGCATTTGCGATGAAGGATGGGGGTAGGGACAAGGATGCACCAAGAATGGGGGTCAACAGTGTATTTACCTGCGATAAGGCCGTGCGGGGAAGATATGGGGTGAACAAAGAACAAATGTACTAATTCTATCCTATCTGGAGAATAAGGAGATACAGCGATTGGTCATATTTGGACATGACTTGTCGAACTATTGTACTACATGCGTGAGCGAGCAAGTCAAGGGGTTGGAATGCTGTACGAGGGAGATGTTGCTCAGTATAAGAACCCGGTCGACTAGCCTCCTCGCTATATATTTTACAATGAGCGGTTCAACAATATATCATAATGTCTGAATTGAAACCATCCGAAATGGCCAAGGTGCCCGACCCTGAAGTAAACATTGCCGAAAGCACTACGTATACAGATCCCGAGGCCGAGAGGTCCTATGTTAGGAAAATTGATTTCATTGTGCTTCCAACACTATGCTTGGTAAATCTTTCAACATATAGACTAGGCTATTGGGGATCATTGCTAACTTTGCGGCTTGTGTCATCGCTCAGATGTACTTCTTTGACTGTATGGATCGGGTACGTACTCATATAATGGCATTATCTCCTCAAAACGTGCTAACAATCATCTCAGAGCAATTTGGCAAATGCAAAGACAGATGGTCTGGACAAGGACTTGAATCTGAAGGGGAATGACTATTCCCTTTTGATTCTGCTCTTCTATATTCCCTTTGGGTTGTTCGATCTGCCATGGAATCTTTTGATTAAAAGATTTTCAGGCCGACTTATGCTGTCTATAAGTGAGATCCTTCAACGCTTCTACAACCTTGATAGGACTTACTGACATCCATATGAAAGTGTCTTTTGTATGGGGAGTTCTAGCACTATGCCAATGCGCCGCTAAGGATTTTGGCTCTCTGCTTGCGATTCGCATCATATTGGGTGTTTTTGAAGCTGGCTTCTTCGCCGGAGCTACCTTCTACCTCACGTTGTTCTATAAGCGCGGAGAAATGGGATTCCGCTTGGCCATCATGCAGTCCTTTGCAGTTCTGGCATCTGCGTTTAGTGGGCTTATCTCCTTTGGAGCTTTCCAGATAAACAACCCAGCAGTCAAAGGATGGCAGTGGTTGTTTATTATTGAAGGATCGATGACACTACTCACCGGAGCTGTGGCATTTTTCCTGCTGCCAGATGGGGTACGAAGCGCCTGGTTTCTGTCTGACAGAGAGAGGGCGGCAGCGACAGCACGTCTGCTACGGGATACCTCATCGGAGGTGAATACTCCATTCGATCTCAAGTCTGCCTTTGAGACATGGAGCGACTGGAAGTTCCCAGTGTGGTGTTTGATTACCTTCACATACCCTGTTGCCTATGCCACTGCAATGAATTTCTTCCCGTTGGTGAGTATTGAGGCTCGTATCCTCGGTAGTTGGCTAACGAGAGCAGATTGTCCAACGACTGGGATACTCTGTCATCAAGACAAATCTCTGGACGGTAGCGCCAAATCTCGTCGGAGCAGTATTCCTGCTATGCGTGGCCAAGTCATCCGACTATTTCCGTGAACGAACGCTCCACATTGTCTTTTCCTTGACCGTTTCATTGATCGGAATGATTATATTAATAGCCATTGATGTTCAGAGCAACAAGGGAGTAGCATACTTTGCTTGTTTCCTAATGGCAGCAGGATCATATATTCCATCGTGTCTCGTCCACGCATGGCACAACAATAACAACGTACACGAGAACTCGCGAGCTGCCAATACGGGCTTTTTTGTAGGACTGGGCAATATCGCTGGAGTATTGAGCGCGGGCACATTCCGAACTCAATATGCACCAAAGTGAGAAACTCCGCTGTCCTATGAAAACTCATCGCTAACTGAATAGGTATCTGCCAACTCTCATCGCAACTTGTTGTTGCAATGCAGTTTGCATTGTCCTTGTTCTCGGATTGGGAGGCTGGATGAGAATGGAAAACCACCGCCGGGATAGCAAACAGGGACTAACATTGAGAGAGGACCAGACTGATACTAGTCAGTTCAAGGAGGGCGAAAAGAGTCCAGAGTGGAGGTATTTCCCTTGATATTATGTTCAGCAAGCTCCTACATCGGTTAAGGCAGACGTGGCACACGCGACCACTTTTCTCTGATATAATTTAAGCATCTAACCCATGTAACTTTTACCATACTCCGTTTGTTGTACATGCTGTGTGGAATCATACCATATTCCCTGGGATATTTGGAGAACCCCAACGTCCGCAAAATCCCGGCCCTAGTGGTAAATCCCAGAGCTCTAAGTGGCTAACATATCCATTGGCACTAAATACCCTCGATAAGAGCTTTGCATATCTCATAAAAATCATACCAATCAGACATTAGCGTCATGCGGCCCCCGCATTCTTATCAGTAGACCTCGGGGTGTACTCCGAGGAAATTATTGTCAAAAACATTGAAGTAGGCGGTTGGATCTTGTTTCGCACACAGGCAACGTAACCATGAAAAACCAGGAAAAGCACCCCTGTCAACACCCAGGTTGTAGCAAGAGCTTCACGCGTGCGGAGCACCTGCGCCGTCATGCGCTCAACCACGAACAGGCGCGAAATGGGTATACCTGCGAGCGTTGTTCTGTTCACTTTCAACGCTCGGATTTGCTAGGTAAGATATGCTAATTTTAGTCGTTAAGCAGGTACTGACATGGGTCCAGCGCGACATATGGAGCGACATGAGAAACGGGATCTCGAAGCCGGAGGACCCGGGCAGGGGACATTGAAGACACGAAAGAGGACCCGGAGAGCTGAGGACGGTTCTATTATTGTTCGCCCTTCACAGCGACAATTGAGGACAGCCGCTGCAGCTAGATCCCCTATCTCCGCCAATAGTTCCAGTCAAGAGCCGGAACTACGAGATGAGGAAGAGTATTTCCATGATGGTGTCCCCTTGTCACCACCTGGCTCAGGCACTGACCCAACGTCAATCTCTATGGATGACACAGATCCCTTCCTAGCTTCTTTGGTGCCAGCTGGACCTTTTGAGCAGTATGTTGAGCCAATGCCTGGACAGTTTGATGCGGCGGATGGATCTTTTGGTGTTGAGTTGAATGGTATTGGCGATTATTTTGGAATGGACACTGGTATGGATGACTCCAGCTACTCACTCACAATTAGCATGCTAACTTTAGTAGCAACCGACTTCAATCTCCCATTTGCAGCAACTTCCAACTATAATTGGCTCTTCGATGTATCCTCGCTCGACGATGCTTTTCATCAATTCAACATGCCTCTCGGATTCGACACAGCCCCTATGTTCGAACAATTTGATTCGAATCCCGCGGAAGTAATGGAGAAATATGATGGTCCATCGGCCTTACTCATGGCGTCAATTATGGACAGAGGCGAGATGTTCGGGGAAACCAACTCACCTGCAGTACCCAGCCTCCCCGACCTGGACTGGATGTCTGGTGCGGCGACGCTGGATCCGAATCCCCCAACGAACCTACCGAGAATATCCGAGGAAGCTAGAAAGGGGATTCTAGCAATAGTGTCACACGCACATCCAACAAGCCTTGATGGACATCCCACGGTGCTTGACTCGCCGCTCCTGACACTCCCTGCACTCCAGGCATACTGCGATATGTTCTTTGATCGCTTTAATACCACATATCCTCTGATCCACCAGCATACATTCGACCCAAGCACCGCACCACCAGTGTTCCTCGCCTCAATTTTGTTCATGGGTGCGACATACAGCACGCGCGAGGCCCACCAATTAGCAGTAGAAGTCCACGATGTCCTCCGAAGCCAGCTGCTCTGTCATCCGGATTTCTCACCACAAGCTGACCTGTGGGTTTTGCAGACTATGCTTCTGATAGATTGTTTCGGCAAGATGCGAGCTGGACCCAAACAGCGCGAGCGCGCACAGCTGTTCCACTGCGTGTTGATCAAAATGATCAGGCGCAGCAACTGCTGTGGTATACGCGACTTGTCTAACGTGGATCAATCAGGGGATCTGGATCAACTGTGGCGACAGACTATGGAGGAAGAACAGCGTAAGAGAGTAGCCATACATTGCTTCATGTGGGATACGCAGCATGCAGTGCTATTCTCGCAGTCGCTATGTATGTCTGCTTTCGAGATAAGATCTTCATTGCCCTGTGGTCCTGCAGCCTGGGGTGCGTCCTCTGCTCGAGAATGGTCGCAGCACGCCTTCCGAGAAGAGAATCGCCCATTCCTTACCGTGTTGAAAGGATACATTACACCAGCGGCTGTTGCCCGACCGCGAGATCTGAATGTCTTCGCTCGAATCGTTGTGCTGCACGGGTTAATGTCTGTATCTGCGGATTTAAAACGTCGCGATCAAACAACCCTACGGTCGGAGACCCCCGAGCGCGTCGGAGCTTGGACGCCGCGTATGGGTCGGTCCTATGATCTGTGGAAAGTTGACTTCGACGCCGATTGTCTTGCTATTAAACTTGCTCAGACTGCCAGTCCTCGTCAGTTCACAGGGCTCAAGATATCTGGATATGCCCTCTACCATGCAGCGTATCTCGCGCTGAATGTGGAGGTGCTCGATTTGCAGATTGTCGCTGGTGCGTGTCAGATCCTCGGCCGCACAGTGACTGAGGCTGATCAGGCACGGTCGCTGCGTAACATTACGAGGTGGCTGCAGGAGGAATCTGGGCCATCTTGTACGACTGCGCGACAAGCGGCATCTTTACTCCAAGATGCAGTGTTGAGTCTTCATGACTGGGACCAGGCAGATTCCTTCCATTTCCCTTGGTGTTTGTATCTATGCACATTGGCCTGCTGGGTTTTCCATCGTGGACCCAATCTTACCTCTGAGGAGAACCGAGTGAACACCGATCTGTCTTCTTTGATCGTGATGCTAACGAATTGTCCCAGTTTACCAGAGCTAGCGGCTCTATCTGGCAAATACTGCCCTCGCCCTCTTGCAGCGGCTATGGCTAAACAACTAGCGACAGTCCGATGGGCCGTTGTTCACGATGCTATGAAAGTTTTGATGAGATTGTCATGATAGTCTTTGTATTTGATAGTCAATATGTAGTTAATCCAATCCGACATGTTGATCTGAACAAGCGCAGTCTATCTATGTCTATATCTATTCAGTATAGAATGGATAATCGGTATAGCCCTTCGCAGCAGGGTCAGCACCATAGAATGTCGTGCGATCATAAGGAGTCAAAGGTAAACCCTCCTTCAACCGACGCGGCAGATCAGGGTTCGAGATGAAATAACGGCCAAACACGACAGCATCCGCTCCACCAGCCGCAAGCTTAGCGCCCGCATTCTCAGCGTTAAAGCTTCCAGCTGCTAGGAGAGAGATCCCTGACTTCTTGAGCGTCGGCCGGAACACATCCAGTGACGGTTTATCCGAAGCCAGGGAGTCAATCTTGGCCGCTTCATCCATAACCTCGTCGAAACGGGGCTCGACCATATGCACATATGCGGGCCGGAATTCCTCGGGCAGTTCAGCGATCTTCGAACACAGCCAGAGCCAGTTGGCGTTGGGGTTGGAATCCCGTGTATCCTGGAAATAATTGTAGGGCGACAGACGGATACCAACGCGGTCGGCTCCAATTTCGGCGGTGACAGCTTTGAGGACTTCGAGGATGATACGAGAGCGCTTTTCGATGCTGCCGCCGTATTCGTCGGTGCGGGTGTTGACGTTGTCGTGGAGGAATTGGTCAAGCAGATAGCCATTGGCACCTGGTTCGTTAGTCACAGTACCTAAATCAGACTGGAATTTCTCTCACCGTGAACCTCGACGCCATCGAAACCTGCCTCACGGGCTCGCTTTGCCGCAGCAGCGTACTCCTTCACTGTGTCTTGGATTTCCTCCACAGTCATAGCGCGGGGTGGCGAAGCTGCGTACTCAGATCCATCGAGAGCGTTTCCAGCGATCGGAATCTCACTGGCTCCAAGAACTTCCTTTCCTTCAATGAGGGAGGAAACAGTAGCGCGGCCAACATGCCACAGCTGACAGTATATATAACCACCCTTAGCGTGCACAGCATCGGTAACCTTCTTCCAGCCAGCGATCTGGGAAGAAGTAAAGATGCCAGGCACTCCAGGGTATCCAGCAGCCTGACAATGTTAGTTTCATAAACCAATCAAACTGCTCAAACTGAAGAAGATCCACATACAAGTCTGCTAATCGGAGTAGCCTCGGTCAACATAAACCCTCCCTCCGAAGCTCGCTGCGAATAGTACTCGACATTAAGCTCATTGGGAACATAAACACCCTCGGACTCCTTGCCCGCTCTCATCCGCGTCAACGGTGCCAAGATGACGCGATGCTTGAGAGTCAGAGCGCCCAGACGGACGGACTCGAACAAGGGATCGGTGATTGCGATTGAGCCCATTTTGCACGAATATATTGATTTTATGATTCGCCCATTTTGGCTTTGGCTAGGGTGATATATATAGCTTGGAGGGATAGTGGGATGCCATTTTTGGCGTTTCCATTCTTGAATTACCCATTGAAGGTGGGATCGTTGATCTGCTTGAATAGTGGGATGAAGCTTGATGGCTGAGGGTTGATCGGCAATCAAGGAGGCAGATTAACCCCCACTATAAAGATCCCCCACCCTAGAACATACGTCTCCACTTCCCTTTTGGGATGAATATCTTGTTGATCTTCTTGATTGTGAGTACTCGTGGACTTACGAGATCGAATGACTAATTGCTTTTTCTCGATGCCTTCAAATTTTGTAGTGTTGATAGAATCTTTTTGATTGTACGGTATACAAGTAAACTGTCAGCATTTTGACCACATTGTTCGAAATATATATCCCCATATTGAACAATATTTTACATTACTCTGTTGAAAATTAGAAAAAGATATGAACAGGCATCGTGCGATGGATCTCTTTATAACAATTAAAAAAAAGGAAACACCCGAAAGAGGACCAAAAGTCACATTTGACACATTGTAGTTATAGAAAGGATATATAGTTGTTCAACATGTAATTATTCCAAATTCGTCTTATATTTTATAAAAACACATCCAATGAAGCACTCTAATGAAATATTACACCATGAAAGAGAAGTAATCCTGCACCCACTGCCCTATAACACCCACTTGTTCGAAATCCCAAGTATCAATAGCTCCGACATATCCATCTGGCCTGACAACAGCGATCCCAATCTTGTCCCGGTTCAGATCCCCAAACCACTTCTCTGTACAACTTGGCCCTCCAATATTGTCGACATATAGAGTCCAGCGACTAGTCTGGAGTATCTCTGGTAGATGAGCAATCTCAAACTCAGACTGAGCAGACTGCGTAACCATCGCAAAAGTAAAAGCACTGGAGACAGCAGTGTAGCGTTGAGCCTGAACAAATTCATCTGAGGGAGAATGTCCCCTTGGATGTTTCGCATATGACTGATCTGCTTGAACATTGACACCAGCAAGAATAGATTGCAGCTGTTGGCAGACATTGTCCAGGGATGCCCCCGAGCGGCGAACATCCGGAACGAAAATATAGATCTTGAATTGACCCAACAGTGGAACATCCAACTGGATATCGACCAGGTTAGCATCGATATAGCGAGTGACTTTAGCTGGGAGTTGGAGCATTCCAGGTTGTAGACGAGATGTGGTGGTTGGGGCTTGTGTCAACATTCCTGGACCGTATTCGGCTCCGAGACCGGATATGAATCGAATGTTATCGTCGAAGTTCTTGGCTAATTCTGCATCGCCGGCTGCGAACGCTTTGCAGTGCTCCACGTCGAAATTGATGAGGTCGTATGCTATCTTTTGTCTTTCTTCTTCGTAGGTGTTCAGTAAAGATGGTTTGGCCAGTCCGCGGACGAGGAGGTTGAGCTTCCATGCCAAGTTGAAGCTGTCGTGCATACTTGTGTTGGCGCCTTGGGCTGCAAGAGCGGAATGGCAGTGACCAGCCTGTCTTTTTATTAGTTGAGGGGTAAGGTATCCAGATTGAGCGCAACATACATCACCTGCAATGAATATCTGTGCTTCCGAGTCCATGAAGCGTTTCGCAACCCTTTGCCCCACAACATAGGTTCCGAACCACTCTACTGTCTTCCACTCTAGCTTGAATGGGTTCATTGCCTCCCTGGCGCGGCTCATAACATATTCAGTCGTGGCCTTTGATTTTTCCACTCGCTCCCCGTCGGTCGAGCTCAACTCAACATATAATCGAGTCATGCCTTTCTCGCGCGGAATCCACAAGATCGATCCAGCGGAATGAGACCGCAACGCGACTTTGCTCCATAGATCAGGGAAGTCCGTATCAATCACGCCTACTTAGTCAGCCAAAGTCCCTCTCAATTGAGCGAAAAACCTACCATCTAGCACTCCCCAAGCCGCGTTTGTTAATTCTCCCTCGAGCTCAGCATCCGGAATAAATGATCGAACCTTCGATCGAGCTCCATCGCATCCAACCAGATAGTCCGCTCGAATCTTATGCGGAGTATTTGTAGTAACATCCTCATACACAATATCCAATTGGGTTGTTCCATCCACACGTGAACAAGACACGAACTTGCTATTCCGCGTGACGAAGACTCCCCGTGCCTCCATATCATCAATCATGACCTCCTCAACCATTCCCTGATGGGCTAACAAAATATATGGATCGGAGGCACCGACATGCTCGGGGTAGTGGGTTTTGCGACCTGTGCGTTTCAATGACTCGTTGGCGGTTGATTCCTGGGAATTTGTTAGCTACATCCAGGAGCATCAATTGAGTCAAAACACACCCAGAAAGAAATATCGTAAACCCGTGCTCCGTTCTTAAGCAATGGATCCGCCAAACGAAGTTGTCTGAATGTCTCGATAGTCTTCGGCTGCATTCCGTCGGCCTTGCCTGTGGATGTCTTGTCGGGACGATCATCTAGAATCACCACGGCAATTCCAAAGCGAACGAGATTACATCTTCGAAGCTGTTAGTATTACCTTAATTGAAGAAGAGCGAACTTGACATACGCTAGCATCAACCCCGATGGTCCCGCGCCCACCACCACAACGGTAGTGGAAGCATCGACAGGGCCAATCCTATAGCCTTCGTGGTCTGCACTTGGTGACATTATGAAATTCAATTTGTTGATTGACTTGATTGACAAATTTCCCTTAATTCTTTTCCATCTTCTCTATTTATTCAAATCGATGCTGCGGGGGAAAACCCCCACTCTTCACTACAGGTGTTTATCACCATCGTGTCACCCCACCGTCCACAACAATGTCTGACCCGGTCATGTACGAACTCGCGTCACTTGCGAGGAATACACATGCCCCCATGATATCTTCTGGTTCGGCGATTCTGCCGTTCATGGCTTCGGATTTCCATCCGTCGAGGAGATGGGGGAACTGACCATTAGTGCATGATCTAGGTACTTTGCTTTGGTGGGGACTTACTGCGGCCGTCATTTCTGTTCGCACGAATCCCGGAGAGATGGAATTGACTCGAATACCCTATTGTACTAATTTAGCGACCTTTGCTAAATGGTTATTTGCGACCGACTCACATATTCGGCCAGCTCTTTCGCGATCGCCGGACACATCGATCTCACTGCGCCCTTTGTGCCACAATACGCCGAACATAGCTGGCTGCGCACAGCGATATGACTCGCCATACTGGCGACTAGAACAATGCTGCCGTGCTTTGTCTTGTTCGCGATCATTTGCTTGGCTGCGAGTTGGGCAGTAAAGTAAAGTCCGAGTACGTTGATAGACAGTAGATCCTGATGATCTTTGTAGGTAAATTCTAGGAATGGGAGATGGCGATTGATACCGGCGCATGGAACGCAGATATCCAGAGAATTATTAAAATCCTTCTGGAAGCTGGCGAAGCCTTCTTGTAAAGATTCCTGAGATGAGACATCGACTCTGCTGTTGTTAGCGATGCTACCCCCAAATGTACAATCTACCCACTTGTAATACGCAGTTCGGACACCGCAATCCTTCTCAATATCATGGAATCCATCCTCTGGTGAAACAACATCAAAGACCGCTACATCAGCGCCTTCTTCGGCGAGTCCCCGCGCAAAGGCTAGGCCGCAACCCCGAGCACCGCCCGTCACCAGTGCCGTGCGCCCTTTCAGAGAAAACTTGTTCGGTTAGCTCGGATCATCAAGGAAGAAGTGGTAAGACTCACTCTTGACATATCTTTGTAGCTGGATACTGTCTTACTGTGTAGTGATGCTCTTTCCCCTCAGACATTCCTGCCTTTTAAGCTATCGGATAGCGGCATAACCGGGACTAAGCTAACCCCCATCTTTGTCCATGGTTGGAGTAGAGTCGAGTAAAGGATGGAGGGACCATGTCCGATGGGCCTATCTATCATAAGTAGTCCTGTCTCACAGTACACCGGACGGTATTCAATAATCGAAACATCCACCGTCTGGGTTCTGTTACACACACCTCACAATGGCCCCCCAAATCCCCATCAAAGAGCAAGACATCCGCTCTACGTCATGCCAACTGAAAGTCGTAATTGTCGGCGCAGGCCTCGCAGGACTTGGGTCTGCGATCAGTTGCGCGCTCGCTGGGCATGATGTCGAGGTCCTCGAGGCAACACGGGAGATCAAAGAGGTCGGCGCAGGTATCCAGGTCCTACCCAACAGCTCGCGTGTACTCCAGCACTGGGGTCTCGAAAAAGCCTTAACGCCACACATGACCATTCCCCGAGTTTGCAACTTTCTTGGATGGAAGGGGAATCACATTTCATCTTTGGACTTTCACGCATCGGAGAGTAACTACCCCGGTACTTGGTATCGTGACTTCCATCGTGCGGACCTGCAGCGATGTTTAGTTGACAGAGCGCTTGAGTTGGGAGTTAGGATTACCTGCAATGCTCGTGTGGCGGATGTCACTGTGTGTGAGGATGGGACCACAGCTACTGCCACCACGGCGGATGGGAGACAATGGGTTGGAGATCTTGTCATTGGTGCTGATGGAGTGTTTGGAAAATTGACGGAGGGATTGCTGGGTCGAGTCGATCCACCGGTCAAGACTGGCGATCTCGCATACCGTTTGCTGTTGTCGACGGAGGAGATGAAGAAGGATCCTGATCTTGCTGAATTGGTAACAGATCCCCAGGTCAACTACTGGTTGGGTCCGGATGCTCATGCAGGTATGTGCTTTTTTTTCATGATTAGGTATTCATAGCTAATTTTATAGTGAACTATGTGCTTCGCGGTGGGGAGTTGTTCAATATGGTACTACTGGTACCCGACGATATTCCAGAGGAATCGTTGGCATCAACGATCGAAGGGAATGTGGAAGAGATGTGTGCTTTGTTCAAAGACTGGGATCCTCGGTACATTCGATACTTTCCTGCGAACGTGCTCAACTACTGACCGTAACAGGATCCCCAAACTCTTGAAACTCTGCGAGTCAGTCCAGAAATGGCGTCTTTGCATCCGGTTTGGAGACTTTGACTGGACTCATCCCTCCGGGGCGTTTGTGATGTTGGGCGATGCAGTGCACGCTACATTGCCATACTTGGCCTCTGGGTATGATTGCCTTTGGTATTCGGTTTCACGGTTTCTAACTGCCATAGTGCTGGAATGTCCTTTGAGGACGGCGCAGTTCTAGGCGAATGCCTCTCTCGACTCCCGAATAGCCCCGGTATCTCTAAGACATCGGCCGAGTTCCTGACTGCGAAGCAACACGCCCTTGCAGTCTTCCAGGAGTGTCGCAAGCAACGGACAAAGATGATTGTTGAGCGGGGAAACATCCAACAATATCTCTACCACCTCCACGACGGCGCCGAGCAGGAAGAAAGAGATCAAAAGATGCAGATGGTCCCTACGCCCGAGGGAGAAGCGTTGGCCTGGCGAGACCCAGGTCTGGCACCTAAATTGTTGGGATATGATCACATAGCAGACGTACGTACCAATCTCTTCAGGTCTGAACTTCACTAATCGTTGCTAGGTCGATCGTCGGTGGGGTAAATCAATAGGAACTAGCGTTGTTGAGTCGAGACTGTAATTTGATATCACCCATTTCTCCTCATCACTCATCAGGATATAGTAGCACATCGGACAAAAGGCGTTGTATTGTCTGCACTGAACTAGGCTTGGAAATACGAGGGAGGGGAAGGCTCCACGCCAGATAGGATGCAGCAGCCCGATGATTTATTATCATCTCTTCCTCCTACGTGTCAATGGTCAGCACCAGCCCACTTAGCATTCAGAAGATAGTGCGAAGTGTAGCATAAGGCAATTTACATTATCCAGGCAGCAGAGCACAATATCAAAATCATGTAAAAGTGATCAGAAGGGGCACGTCACTGGTTGTTCCACATCAGTATACATCTTTAAGAAAACGCATTATTTAGATAATTTACAAATTACAGGAGTTCATTTAGAAAGTGGTAGTACTCCTATATAAACTGCAAAAACTTAAACTCTATATACTAAGTAGAAGGTTAGAATACAGCGATTACAAGATGCCGGGCGAACCCCCTTAATGTGCTATCGGCTGGGTTGGGCTTTGGGCCCGGGGTACGGGCCTATTTATGGGCCTTACGGAGCGCTACTTCTGCCTACTGCTTGCTCCCTTCGCCTTCGCCGTCTTCTAGTTTCACACACCGCCTTCCTATGAGTCTTCCCATACAATACAGTAAGCGGTAGGTACCTGCAATTTGTATGTACACTACTAACAAAATTAAGTCACTTTTATCTAATTCTTCACCCTTTCATATACTCCATCGTTAAGTCTACCAATAGCATCCAGGTAGAATAAACATTTTGTTCAAAATTCATGTTTTTTTTATATATAAACTAAGAATTAATGATGTAGGGGCAAAGCACATGGCAGACTTCCAATGACGTAAAGAGTTATATTGGCAGAATTCCAATTAAGAAGTTGGTGCCTGCCCTTTCAGGCATGAATATCGATCCAGCGAGAGAGCAGCCTCATCTTATTGTTTGCTCTATATAAACAAAACCTCTCTTTTAATAAAAAATGGAATTCAAGTGAGGGTATTGAACTCCAGGCTTAGTATGGGTATAGGATGAATACAAAAAAGGATGAATGCAAAAAAAAGAAAGCATTCAGATGTCTGGAGGGCCCCGACGTTGACGTTGCCATTCGGCTATATATATATTCTATGTTTTATTTAGTCTGTACTCTTTATAGATAGAGCCTTTCTTGAACAACAAGACTGCAAAACAATCGGTTGCTAATTATAATTACTATGAAATCAATACGCTGCTATATATAAACTAGAGGTACTCACTAAAAATCCCTTGCGTCATACCTTCATCCCTCTATTTATCAGGTTGAACAATTAGCTGAGAGTGGTTGAGAGCTTTGAAACCCTAGTGTACATAGATCTAAACGGATATTAAAAGGTTCTTGATACAGCGTCTATAATATGATAGGTCATAGGTCAATTGAATTCGGTTATATCATCCATACCCTAGCCAGCGCATTGGCCATGATGGAAGATGGAGAAAGCAAATGGAAGTCAGGACAAAAATGGACCAAACTAAATATGATCACTGACTTTGGATTAGGTCGCTCTGTATTGATTCATACTTGAATTGGACTAACGGAGTTCTCCGATTTCTGCTCCAATTCCAACCTTGTCATTTCTACTCCATGACAAAACCTCTGTGGAGATACTAGATCGGATCTTCTACACGAGAAAAAGGACGATAGAGCGAGCGAAATTAATAGCAACTGGCGGATTATATGATCTGGTCATGCATATCATGACATCAATAATTTACAACGTGACGCAATATGCTATTGACTTGAGATAAGTAGCAAAGTACAAAGCTTTGAATCAGTCATCATACATACGTAATGTGCTTCAACCTTCTTTTCATCGTGATTTTACCACCCTCGCCAATCTCTTGTCTTTGGCTTTCCTAAATCATTGATAAATACCATTGCAGTGCAGAACTATGGGATCAGAGCTTCACCCCGTTCTGGGGTTTCCAGTGTCAGCAGAAATTGTCTCCGTTTCCTTGATTGATTGGTACATTCCTTCCATTGATTGCTCAAATCTCAAGCTTTGGGCATGAGCTGTACGCTAACTTTCTACAGCGGTGCTCGTCTAGATCTTCCAGCAGAACATTTCTTATCTCCAAATATAGAAGGCCACGAGCGTCTTCGAATCCCTTCGTATTCATTTCTAATAAACCACCCATCGAAAGGCAGGGTATTATTTGATCTATCCCTACGAAAGGACATTCAGAACCTTGCCCCGATCATGGCAAACCATATAAATAATCCAAGCATAGGATGGAAAGTGTCAGTGCCCCAGGACGTGCCCGATACATTGATCGCGAATGGCATTGAACTACACGAGATAAAGTCTATCTTTTGGTCGCATCAACACTTTGATCATATTGGCGATCTATCCAAATTCCCGAGCAGCACAGAGCTAGTTGTCGGGCCGGGATTCACGGATGCATATACCCCAGGGTATCCAGATAATCCAGATTCCCCCGTGAAATCGGCTGATCTGAAGGGGCGTCGAGTAAATGAACTCGATTTCGACAATGACCAAGAGTCTATTTCTATCGGACGGTTCAAAGCCTTTGACTGGTTTGAAGACGGCAGTTTCTATTTGCTAGATGTCCCAGGTCATTCGGCTGGTCATATCTGTGGCTTTGCTCGTGTAAAGCCTGATTCATTTATCTTAATGGGCGGGGTGAGTGTCGATAGACACGTACTAGCATCGACACTGACAGACATTAGGATTGTGCCCACCACCCTGGAGAATTTCGGCCCTCGAAGATTGCTCCCATTCCTAAACATCTTACTCCTTTGCATGTAGCAGTGCATTCGAAACAGACAACTGTCTGCCCAGGGAACATGGCTGAAAAAATCAGTACAAACTCGGATATTGAACGGTCACCAATCTATAAGGCTGCTGCAATATTTACTTATGACGTCGACAAATGCCAGTGGAGTGTGGAAGGTATCCACGAACTTGATGCTTGCGAAAATGTGCTCGTGATCATAGCTCACGACGGCGGGATTTTACCTGTACTCCAGCAGGCAAACGGGAAAGAATCCTCGTTCATTTTTCCAAAAGGAGAATTGACTGGATGGCAAGAAAATGATCTCAAGGAGGCTGTTAAGTGGCTTTTCCTGTCTGATCTAGCAGTTGTTTCTTGATCACAACAAGAAACCTGTGCGTCCCTTAGGTATTTTGCTCAATCGTCTCCGCACGAATTCTACACAGATTATATCTCCAAAGAAATTCACGATACTTGGATAACTACCTAGAAGGGGATCTGAAGAAACCTTTGTGCTTGCTTTGCTCAGTTGTATCAAAATATCCAGATCACCACCAGTTTAGAGGAACCATTCCCAGATAGCTTATGCCATTGCTATCAGCATTTGCCATATTGCCCATAATTATATGCAATTTTTAAACCCCCGTTTCCATCCAATGTTCTCAATTCCATCGCACCAGTCATCCTCCGAGTGGTAATCACAGCAAAGAACGGGCTGTGTCTCCTTTCCGGGGCTGTAACATATGGATACATCTTTCATGCTCCTCGGATCCTGGTTCAAATTTCTCCCTTAAATAGAAAATCCTTTGTGGAACTGGCTCAGATAGGTGATCGTAGGGTGAGAAAATTCCCGCACTGATACGCAGCTGATCCATTGTCATTCCCCGCTGTTGATCGAACAGGAGTCGTAAAGCAAATCGGAAATACTCTGGATTAGCGTGATCACTTAGACCTTCATTAGCCAAAGTCTTATTCGGAGGAAGGTGAAGTAAAGTGCCTACCCCACGAAGGTTGTCGCTTGGCTTCCGGGACGATAGCAGCCGTTCAAGCTCCTTCATGCGGTGCGTCCGCGTGCTTCTGGCGATGATAGACTGGAAAATATCCTGATTTGTACCGATCATCTCTTCTGGGTCTCTAAGAGGAAAAAAAATCATTGGCTGTAATGAGCTAGGTGGTGCTGGGACAGAAAGACGGAAATGAAGGTCCTATCCATCTGAGGCAGAAACGCGGTCTCAACATCTTCCGTTCATGCGTTGTGATGTGTGATTAGTCCACGTATGTTGGATCACGTTGTTTATCCTCTAGGTCCACTGAAACTGCTCCAACTTGGGTCGCATCATCACCAAGCCGCGCAGGCTGTGTCCGGTTACGGGCACATCGGTCGAGTATGTCTGAGGGGCCCGGTTGGTTTAGGACCCGTCCCCGCCAAAGCCGGGTGGGAGGGGTTCCCAAAGCTGTCTTTATATGGTCCTTTCAATACTTCGCTGTGGCACAATATGGGAGACTTTGGTTTGGTTATTGCTGGTGATGAGAATGGAGAAGACAGAGAGAGAGGAAAACGTCTGTTTTGAGACTGCTAACTGCTAAGGGGAAAGAAAGAAGAAGAGGGAGAGGAGGCTATTTATGTAAATGGCACAGCAAACAGGGTCAGGTGACACCCCAACAGCTGCCTTGACCAACAGGAGCTGCCAAATCGGGAAAGTGCAAGTTTTAGAGTCCATCGTGCCAACCCGGGTCCCTAGTAGCAGATGGGTACTAGCTGTAATGACTATAGGCTTTCACCTACAACTTCAACAAGGTGATATCTAGAAGAGCATCAACGATATAGGCTATATTCGAATTTTCTACGACTTAATTTACTGCGTACACTAGTAAACCTCCCTCTTTCAATCACTCGTTCAACCACCCTTTTCAGCGCTCTTTGTATCCCACTTTTTCGCCCTCTTCTGATCATATAAACGAAATAAGAGCAATGCGGCAAAAGAAACGCAATGACTGAAAGATATAGTTTTAGCATAAAATAATGACTTGATTTACAGGCGTCATTGACAATACCTGCTGGCCTTTTTATTTTTGTTTTTATTGCTCGGGTGATTTATGGGCTGACTAGGAAAGTACATGGGACCAACTAAGTACAGGAATAATGTTCAAAAGTCGATGCAGACCTTTCCAATGTGCTGTCCGCCTGTCATAAAGTCAAGAGCCTTGATAACCTCATCACGACCAAACTTGAAAACCTTCTCGACTGGGATCTGTAGGTTCTGGTTGCCAATAAAGCGAACAGCGTTTTCTAGCATCTCCTTGGAGCCGACCATGATGCCACGAACAACTGCTCCCTTGCCCAAGGCAAGAAGAGCGACGTCAGGCATCTCGTCTTGAGAGGCAAGAGATAAGAATCCGATGCTAGAAATAATTCCACCGTATGCGATTGCTTCCATAGATTGTTTCATGGTTCCAGAACCACCGTTCTCGAGAATGAAATCGACACCCTGGCCACCGGTGATTTTCTGAGCCTCAGCTGCCCAGTCAGGGGTCTTTTTGTAGTTGATAACGTGATCGACTCCGTACTTCTCCTTCACGTAGGCTAGCTTCTCATCGGAAGAGGATGTGATGATAGTGATTGCACCCGCCGCCTTAGCCAACACCAGGCCGGTAATAGAAACTCCTCCCGTGCCTATGAAGCAAATATTAGCCATTCTGTCTAAAGAGATACTCCAGGAAATTTAGGTAAGTATAGCATACCCTGAAAAAGAACGGTCTGACCGGGCTTCAATGGCATGTTTCCATAGAGACAGTTCCAAGCGGTCACACCAGTACAGACAACACTAGCCCACTGGGCATAGCTAAGGGTGGATGACTCGGGAATTTTCACCACACTTTGGGCGGGAATCGTGATGTACTCCCTCAGAACTCCATCGGTAGGGCCGCCTAGACCGGTCTGCCAGGTCTTTAAAGGCCCATATAGAGTGGCTGGATCGAAAGCAGCGATAACTTTGTCCCCTTGCAGAAATCCGGTGACGCCTTCACCAACTTCGACGACATCACCCGAGGCATCGGATCCCGGAACCACATTGTCCTTCACGGGAAATGGGTACTTGCTAGTGGCGATAGCAATGTCTCTGTAGTTGAGAGCAACACTGCGGACTTTGATGAGGAGTTCATGTTTTCCGACAGTGGGACGAGGCTCGACATATGTTTGGATGTTGTTCCAAGAATCGCGAGTGGTGTGGCGAAGGACGGTGTGAGAAGACATTTTGATATGAAGTGAGGATTTCAGGACTCAATTCTGGTTGTTTGGTTTGAACTTTACAAGGTAAGAGACATATTGGCAGCAGGAGAAAAGGGTCTATTTAACGTTCTCTTTCCTACGTATGTGCTAGGAAGTAAAAATATGGAGAGTTTACTAATCTGCGATTTCATAACAAGGATGTAGTTTCTACCCCATTTGAAATACTTCGCATTTTTCTACCCCAAAGCTTAAACATCTGCTTACATATCAATTTTCATTGGATTGCAAGAGAAAGACATGTGGAAACAGTGGGACAAAATGAATGATGACTCCACTGCACTCAATCTGACGTCAAATAGAGTAGATACCGGGCATATATGGAGTAATTACCCCAGTTTGTTCCGAGGAATGCGATCCCACCTTATTCCGCCTTCATGTTCCATGCTGGCTTCCACATATCTTAATGGCATTATTGGGCTAATTGAATTCCTTATGTAAATCCAGGTGTTAGGCCTACACTTAATTGCCCATACCGAATTTAACAGAGTAGCTACGGTTGGGTTTGAAAAGGCTAGACTAGCGTGGAATGGAGTAGAACATTGTGAGAGGAATTGTGAGAGAACTGAGCTAACTTTCCAAAGTATTGCTCTTTGTTAAGCATAGTCACCGGCCTTGATGCCTTATTTACCAGGCATGTGGTAGTATTTGAGTACCTTCCCTTCCTATTTGATTGTAGAGAATCAAGATTTCTTCTCTCTTTGCTTTCTAGTAGCTGTAACAGTTCTCCTGCTGGGTATGCCTGAGAGGTTGAAGTTGTTCAAATTAAATGGTTGTATCCCGGGCATCAGGTCGAAGATGCCATCCTAGAATCCAGGATATCTGCAATGATCGTAACGCTCTCACCTATCACCTGAGAAATGTCAAATATATGGAACCCTCCAAAGGTCTCGGCCCACAGCCGGGCGGTACATGCTGCTAGATGGCGGACTGCATCCGCATCATCGTTGGCCCAATCTGAAAGCTCAGTGATATCCGCCTCTCTGATAACAGTGTAAATCATACTGAGAAGCTTGCGCTCATCGTCTCGCAACTTCTGAACGCCGAACAGCTCAATACATCGAGCAATCTCTTGAAGCCATTGGTTGAGAAGAAATACACATTCAAGATTGCAAAGCGAATGCTGCATGCTCCAGTTCAGCATTTGGGTGCGTGCTGTGAACTGTATCCCCGACCGGACGGGAATACTCAATGCGTGGATGCATTGCAGAACTGCACGATCAAGGAAAGGAGAGCGTTCACTGACAGCAGGTCGGCCATCAATGAGCCCGTGGGCAATTTCATCGGGGTTCCGAGTACTTAGTTGACGGTGCGGCCCTGTATTGGCGTTGAGACGAATATATGCTAAGCGCACAAGGGCTGTTGCGTTGAATCCCATAGGACCTCTTGGAGATAAGGGGTCTAGGGTTGATTCATAGGTGGCCTCCCAGGAACTTTGCCACGCTCGCAGTGCCGATTCCAGTGCCTGTACAAAGCTCATTGGAAGAGAGCCTGTAGATTGTTCTGTGAGAGAAGTTGTGTTGCGAGCGAAGAAGATCTCTTGAAGTAAGCCGTGAATGAGGACATAATTCGCGAAGGCAGAAATTGCCACCGGTTCATGGATTTGATGGCCTTGGAGAAGTTGCTCTAAGGCCTGTTGAAAATTTCTGGAATCAGGCGTATGAAATTTTCGCATGTGCCTCCATTCTTTCGAATTGGGTGAATTCCACTCTTCGCCGCAGGATGGCAAACTCAAAAGTACTTCCTGGTTCAAAATCATAGGAGGTAAGTTAAAGGCTATAGATTGCAAGTTGAATTGAGCATATGCCACCCATAGCGTTCGACGACGCTCCTCTTGCTCCACCCATTCTTCCCAAGAAGGTATATCATGGCCTCCATCAGTTGTGGAGATGCCGATTTCACGCACTAACACAGCAACTTGGCCGGATATCGCAATCGAATTGCCTACCACAGAGCGATCGCCCCATGATGCCAAAGTCATCAAAACTATAAGTCCTTGCAACAAACGTAACAAAAGCTTCGGAGTTTTTCTAGATGAGTCACAGTGTGCAGCTTGGTGTCCATTGCTAGTAGCGGAGCTCTGCGGGTGACCTCGCATATTCGAAGGGCCTGTGTAGCCAGGGGAAGTCTTTGCCAGGTTTGAAATCACCAGGCCGTCGCGTTGGTCGAGACGCCAGTTGATAAGTTTCCGTGCGGCGTGGTAGATCATGTACCCCTTTGCATGTTCAAAACGATAGAAAGCTCCGACCGCCGCCAGCGATAAAATGAGCTCTGTGCCAAGTGATGAAGGAGAGAAGGAGGGGGTGTGGAGGAATGGCATGTGATCATGATAGCCGCGAAAGAACCCTTCTAGGAAGCGAGAGAGAGTATGTCGGGAAGGCAAAGAGAAAGATGAGGGAAGAACAAGGGCGAGTTCTTTGATGTCATTTGATAGCGCTGCGTATTCCGAAGGCGTCAGTTTCCAAGGGGAAATTGAAGGAGCAAAATTCCCTTTTAAGTGGCGGTTTTGCGATGGATCATCCTCTTCCTCGGCAGCGGGGAGGTGGTTTTCGTGGTCCGCGTTTGGTTCTGTGAAAAAATGCCGCGGTTCCGGTAAGGATGGCCCCGCTTGAGCTTGTAATTCATGTCCTGAGTTTATACCTAGAGAATCGTTGGTACTTTGCTGCCCATGACCTACTCGTTCAGAGCTTTGCCGCTGCTCCGGGAGAGGAACTTGATATTGCTGGGAAATATCAACCAACGAGAGGTTCGTGTCGAAGAAGCTGGCTGGTAGAACCTCCGAAAATGGACGCGAGTCGTTCCAAAGAAAGTCCAAATTATCATTTTCATTCCACGGGAATGTTTGGCTGGCGGTATTCTCCGCCGCAGTTCCCATGACATCTACCTCAGGAGGGAAAGCAATAGTGCCATTCTGAGTTCCCAGCTCATCTAAAGTGTGCAGATGTGGGGATAAAGAGAACCCATCCTCAGTGATTGTTGAGCTAGGTTCCTGGGTACCGTCAAGCTCGCGAGTACCGAAAGAGTTACATGATTCACCATCCCGCTTTGCTATTGAGGATGGGTTGTTGACAGCCAAATCAGAATACTCGATGCCGTCAGTGTGGGAGAGTCGACGATGGCGCGTCAACATATCTCTTAAGAGATGGTCAGTGCCCAGCGATGATTTATCATGTCATTGAAATTCTGTCTTGCTTACTGTCGTGCGAATCTCCCACCACATTCACATACGAAAGGCTTCTCATGTGTATCTCCAAACGGGTTAGTCAGTTGACAGGAGGTTATCACGTAAGTCGATATATCTTACGGGTGCGCTCATGTCGTCGCAGATGCTCTTGCCGCTTGAACTGCTTTTTACAGAACCTGCACGGCGGGACAAGAGACCGAGGTCGGCCCATCACCAGAGGCACCGAGCGGCTAAGGCAACCAAGGCAGAAAACTTGTGTAGTTTTGATAACAGAAATATGACTGGAGAGCACCACTATGGAAGACTGAATGTGTGGCAGACCTTCAAGGCGTAGATGAGCCGCTAGTGGCGGGCGTTAGCACGCGCGGTCGTGCTCATCATGTGGCGATCGCTAAGAGAATGGCCCGGGCAAAGATTTAAGGGAATACCAAGCTTCCAGTTGGACTACCCATAAATTATGGATGAGTCAAATACTGACCAGATCAACCCTACCGCTCCAGGGAATTAATCAAGGTCGTAGGGTCGTCGCCTTCGACGATACATACCTAGTGCACCGCGCTGTTTGCACTATTTGCACTATTTGCACTGTGTGCCTGTATCCAAGGATAGTTTGCACTGTTTGGACTGTTTGTGCCCACCATCAAGAGTGGAAATTTCCCCATCTCTTTGCAAGCACTATCAACATCCTAGCGTACGAATATGAGTTCATCCCCGTTAGAAGCAGAACTGGAAATTGGAATCCCGTAAGGATATGGGCTAAAGTTGAACTTCTACATCGCCGGCCTATGAGTACATCATTTCGGTGGGGTAAGTAGTTAGGAACCACGGAGCAACGTTATCGGGTCAAAGCTGTAGACCCCCATTTTTGATCTTTTGGAGTCAACGTAGGGTAAAGGCCAACTCATGATGGTGGAATAAATAGTATCTTATCGTTTCACACAAGTACATCCCCACTTCCCCCATTTTCAATCCCCTCACGACATGCAAGACAACCACGCTATATAGACGGGATAGCCCTAGGGCCTCACACCCCCAATTTGACCCAAATTACATATTATCCATTCAAAATGTGGCGCATTTTTGGCTCAGGAACCACAGCAAAAGAAGACACTCCACGTGGTCTACCAGCATCATGGTATCGTTCAGAAGCAATGTACCAACTGGAGAGACGGGCAATCTTCTCCAAGCGATGGATGCTGCTCACCCATTCCAGCCGCTTCAAGAAAGCGGGAGACTATCTGTCGTTCACAATCGCCAATTTTTCCTTTTTCCTCATTCAGGACCGAGACGGCACAATCAACAGCTTCCATAACGTCTGCCGTCACCGCGCATTCCCCGTTGTCCAATCCCCCTCCGGCACAACATCCATCTTGAGCTGCAAGTACCACGGATGGTCCTATGGCCTGAAGGGCAATCTTGCCAAAGCTCCCCGATTCGAGACAGTACCTGCTTTTGATAAAACCCAGCACTCGCTATACCCAATTCATGTGCACGTCGACAAGGCTGGTTTTGTGTGGGTCAATTTGCAGGCCGGCGAGACGGATGTGAAATGGGAAGATGACTACGAGAAGGTTGATGAGGAGCCTCGGATGCAGGACTTTGATTTTGCCGCAGAATTCAAGTTCGACCATTACTGGGAGATGGAATTGAATGCGAACTGGAAGGGTGTCATCGAGAATTATAATGAGTGCTACCATTGCGCTACTTCTCATCCGCTTATCAACGGCGTTTCGGATTTGCCAAAGTATCGGGTTGAGCCCAAGGCCCGGTATATGGAGCATCATATCTTCAATAAGGAGGGTTCCGATAGCCAGTTTCGACGGGCGATCACGTACTTCTATCCCACAACTTCTGTTACGGTGACGTGAGTATTTCATTCCCCCTTGGAGCTGGCGAGGGGCTGCACTAACTGAACTAGTGATAAATTCTTCTATATCCAGCGGATGATTCCTGTATCTGCCACTTCGAGCAAAATTGAGAACGAGGTTTACCGTCACCGGGATGCCACGGATGAGGAGTTTGAGAATATCAATGCGTTTTACAGGCAGGTTCTTGACGAGGACAAGGAGCTTTGTGTCGGAACGCAGGAGAACCTGAGTGCTGGTGTTTTCACCAATGGTGAACTACATCCTAGCAAAGAGAAGGTAGTACTCCTCCTTAGTCATCCTATTACAGCAGCTAACCGCGATATTAGGGACCTATACACTTCCAAAGTAGCGTCAGAAAAATGGTTATGGAACACCGACAAAATGAAGAAAAGCAAGGAGGATCGGAGATTTGGCCGGCCACCCCGAACGCTCAGTTGTCCAAGAATTCAGCAGAGGAGGAAAGATTTTGTTCACAGTTGGAATCGTCTACTTGTATGGCCAAACCGGAACTGGCGTGGTAACCAGATACAAGGTTCTTACTCTACTTATGTACACGTTAGCTGAATAAAAAGCGGAATTTTGAACTGCGGCATATGCTTTCCCAGTCAATTTCCATGTACTATCCCCTGAACTAGTCTCATATAGCTTATATTAGCCTAGGACAAGAGTAATAAGGAACATAATGACAGGAAAGGGGGTTGCCCTACGCAGGGACGGGTTCTTGGTTGATCTCCAAGTGGTTGTACTTAAATATCGTGAGATGGTTGCTTGTTTATACATTCAAAAGGCATTAATACATCATCTCGGGGAAAGATTGCACATGTCACAGCGTGAAATAACCACATGAATTTGTTCTTCCTCCTCTTCTTACTCTTATCCTCGCCTATCCAATTCTTACCGTCTCTCATCTACCTCCCTTTTTATCATTCAACGTATGATAGCCATCTATTTCTCCTCTCTCCTAATCCCATCGATTTATTCTCCATTCTACTCTTTTCAATATCTCTAGACTTCAAATTTCCTATTCAGACAAGAAGTTCGACTAGGACGAGGGTTGCGTGGAGCTCCGGACACAACGATACCTGCTCGCGAACGCATGCCTTGCGACCTCTACTACGCGGTCCAGATGAACAACTATCAAAGGAGGTCGTGGAAATCAGACTCCTTGCATCCCCGTCTTCTTGAGTTCGTCGATTGTATCCAGTAGTTGGGCTGCTTTTGGTTAAGATCTACCATTTCATTTCTATTCTCCGAAGAGCACTGACGCGTTCCTTGCATAGCTATCAATTTCTGTTGGGCCGTTTGACGCCTGCACTCTTCGAGGGCTGTACCTATTGCCTAACTATGAGCTGCGAGCACTGAAATGGCTGTATAGTATCCACGCGATCCCGATTATCTTGTTGAGGAAAAAGCCAATGGCATCTGAATCCTCTGTTATTGGCTAGCTGACCGAGAGTGCTCCCAGCTATCCCAATTTGTTCTCTATGGAAGGCATATATAAGAGGGTTGGTCGGTACATACAGTAGACCACATGAGCCTAATTAACGATGGATTCAAACAAGGGGTTTTCCACCAGTATTCCTATGACTGTCAATTTCTGTGATGCGTACTACCAGATAAATTTTAATCTCATGGCCTAGATCTTAGGCATATTCCAATATCCCCGATACATCAGATAAAAGAAAAAGAAAGGCACGTGGGCCTGTATCATGTATTCGCTAACCAATAATAACACCCAAAACAATCAATAACCTATCGATTCAACCCAAGCGGGTTATCCCCGGTCTGTTTCTGCCCCCCAAGACTGGACACACCACTCTGCACGCCCTGTCCTGCACTCTTCGCCGTATTACCAACGCCCTCCGTCGCGCCCGACACGGTCTGTCCAAGGCCTGATGTTGCGGTGCCCACGGTTGAGCCGAGACCGCCAACTGTGCTACCTAGTGTGTTTGTCACGCCGCCGACTGTCTTGCCCAAGGTATCGCCGAGGCCGCCGAGGAGTCCGGCTGTCGATATTTGGTTAGTTGGGATTGGGCTTGAGTTTGGGTGTGTGCATAGGGAACGTACGGTTCTGTTCGTTGGACATGGTATGAGATTGTGGAAGATTATGTATAATTTTTGTTGTAGGAAATGTAAATATCGAGTGTTTTGATATTCATTCAGTGTTATCGAGATTATGGTAGAGTTGCAGGCATCACTGTCTTTATTTATATCAACACCACGCCCTGGAACCGGTTACATAGCCATGATATAATGGGTGCAACATCGGCTACTTTCTGGCAGCCACCGTGATCGAGTTTCATATCTTGGATGTATCCATCTGACGTATGGCTCTACCCCATGTCCTTCGCAAAGGGATAATGGGACGTCCTTATTGGTTGATATTCTCCGGTCGTCTGTGGGCAGTGGCTGACAGACTGTTTCTAGAAAGTCTGTTATATTAAATGACTGTGGCGAATGGTGCATGAGTGGTGAGGGCTAGTTGTTGTGATGTTGTTCTCTAATTGGGAGAGTCCAGGGGTATGATGTCATTTTCTATCCGAAGCTTCGATTGGGTGGACCTGGCCAGGATATTTTATATTAACTGTAGCTGGATGATCTCATGTCCGACAAATTCTATCGGCATATTACAGACTAGCCTTTCCGCGAGACTCATATGGCATGAACAAAACAAGAATGCCCGCTGCGATGAACAGTGCCCCGCTAACATAAACAGGAGCAGCGGTTGTGAGATCAGCGAACATGGCAATGATAGGAGCCATAATACCAAAGATCCGATTCGCAGACGCGGTCAATGCGTTCCCTGTACCCCGGTCCTTGGTGAGAAATATCTCGGGCGTGTAGGCATATAACACGGCGTACATGAGACTACTCATGAAATTAAAGGCACAGTTCCAACCTAGCAGAGCATTCGATGTGGTAGCTGTTGTCGACGCAAGAAGGAAGGCCCCAGTGATAGCTGTCGAACTGCAGAGAGCACCCTTACGGCCAAAGCCTGGTAGTTCAACCAGCACTCCACCAAGAAGGCAGCCTGGGATTCCCATCACGGCAATAATCAACGAGTTCCGATATGTGATGTATGTCGATCCATCACCGAATTCAGCACCTCGGGACTGCTGGATGTATGGAAGGAAGGCATTGTAGAGTGGGAAACCGAGGCCAATAAATGCCCAGACGAGGATGATCAATGTTGTAGCCCATGCTCGCTTGGGGGTATCGAAAAGAGCGCGGATATGATCAAACTGCACGGTTTCTAGACGTTGGCGGACGATGTCTGCCGCGGTGAAATGCTGTATTTCGCCCTGGTCCAAGGCGTCAACTTCAGTTCTGGTCAAATCAGATGTCTTCCCATTCCTTCTGGCAACTTCGTGGACAACCTCCACAGCCTGCTCATTCCTACCCTTTCCCATGAGGTATTTGGGCGACTCGAAAATCGTGAAAAACACAAACCGACCGACGAACATGATCATCGCGATACCACCCATCGCGATCATGAACCATCGCCACCCCATGTTATCAGCTTTCGTACATCCTTCTGCTGAACCGCAAGTCCTATACCCAAGCAACGGCCAACCGATCAATGTGGCCACCACCTGTGCCAAAGCCCAGTCAATCGACAAGATCGTCAACAGGTACTGATGTGATCCAGGTAGGAACTCAAGGAAGATGGCCGAATCAACCGGCAGATTCCCACCGACGCCGATAGACCACAAAGCCGCAAACACACAAATGGCTGCGAAATTGGGCGACCCTGCCGCAATCAGGCCAAACACCGCCGTGATTCCGATCGTCAAGTTGAACGCCCATCTGCGACCGAAGACATCGCACCCGAATCCCCAAAACACAGCGCCGACCAGCAACCCGATGTTTTGCGCGAGTGTCAACAGTGGCGCTTTCGAGGGATGGAACTCATTTGATACTGCGGGAAGAATCAGGGAGGTAACAGTGGGCCACAAGTTGTCGCTCGCCCAGCCAAATCCGATCACCACGAAGAGCTGCCATTGGTATCGGCCCATTCCGATCGTCTGGATTGCGCGGTTGAGAGCCTCAGCTTTGGCTTTATAGTTTGCGTCGGGACCCTCATCTCGAGGAACAACTGGACCCTGTGTCGCCGTTGGCTCGACGCCAGGCAATTTGGTCACTTCTGACATGTCGTGTTGAAATCAGGAAAGAGGTAGGAACGTGGCAGGGTGGTATAAGCGTTTATACCCTGACTGCCCGCATTCCCCCTCTAACCCTCATCAGGTGGGAAACTCCATATAAACAAATCCCACGCAGCGGCTTCTATATTAACTTTATTCCAGGATGTCTTTCTTTCGACTTCGATTGGATGGTTTGATGGCGTGATTCATGGGCGCTTTTATGTCAGATTTGGGGTTTTTCAAAAGTGCATTGCCCCAATTCAGAAAGGGACGATCTTTGCCCTGCATTCCTACCACATTGCAGGGGTCTGATATCACGTGGGAGGCTTGAAGCATTATATAAAACTGAAGCTTGAGGTATCAGATGAAGGATTACTAGCATCTAACAAAACTCACACTTTTGTGATCCCAATCTCGGCTTCATAGCTCTCTCCCAATGCCGGACAGGTTTTTTAAGCACATCTGGCCCTAGAGTGTCCATATCTGTTGAGAAAGAGTGTGTGATTGGTACGTACTAACGGGTGTGACACTACCTAGGTGACACTACTCCGTACCTAGGTAGTCCTAAAACCCACGCCCTATGTGAATCACGGCGTTTGATGGAGTTTTGTTGTTTGACCCGTCCCTTTGAATTGAGCCTCGTCTTTGTGTGAAGGATCCCGTCGATGCCTCAGGTTTCAAACTTGTATAACAATTAAACAGCTTAATAGATCTAGCTTCTCCCCTTTCTCTTTTTCCCTCCTCTCTCTCTCACATTGGTTATGCCAACTAATCATTCTTCAACTTTTTCTCTCAAAGTTCCAACAAAACTATGGCTTTTTCCCTTCTTCCACTAGAGATAAAAATTATCATTCTCGGGTACCTCATCGCTGAAGCGGAAGAGGAAGACAGGTTGAAATTGGCACCCTTTGCTGCCGTCAATCGTGAGTGGCAGGAGGTATTCGAAAAATGCATTTTCGAACACATCAACCTCAGCACGCGAGCACGATTGGCACATTTCAACCGCCGATCATGGGTGAGGACGAGGAGCCTAGTTCAAAGCATCGACTTGACAGTCGAGCTGGAGCGGTATTATGACCATGGGGACGCGCACTGCCGTTACGAGAATGAGGATGAACAGCGACGCAATAACAAGATCTTTACAGCCTCCATCCAGTCGCTGTTCGATACTTTGAGCAAATGGCCAAGAAGAGACGGTAAGGTCTTTGCAGTTTATATCGAGACACAGTCGCCAGATGATAAAAGTGCCCAACCTCCCGAAGCTTGGGAGGAGCGGCGGTTGCGTGCGCGAGAGTCCCACGATTTTCTAGATAAGAGATTTGAGAGGTCATGGCTCCAATTTGACGAGAACCTTGTTGGTGTTCGATGCGCATCTGTACCTCTGATCAATTGCCTTGTGGTCACAGGAGGCCAGATCAGAAGAGACGATTTGAGGAAAATCGAACCTGTTTCATGTTCTCTCATCATGGAAAAGTTACCTCGACTCCACGATCTGACGCTCTATTTGGATGACCGTTCCACGTGGAATCCAGAACTCAGATACCGCCACCGGAAAGGTTTGCTATCCAAGGAAGGTTCGTATATAATAACGTATAAGCTAACCGCAAACCTAGACTTCGCTGACTCAATTCCCCGGTGGCCTCGCAGCTTAACCTGCCTCACCCTTGACTTCCCCTTCGATGAACCTTCCGATGAATTTTATCCCCCACCAACCTTAACGGTGGAAGGAAATCCAGACCCTCTGAGCTCACGCCTGCATGAACTTTCACAACGACTGAGGGAACTCCACGCGGATCGAGGTGTATTCGGAAGAGAGGTATTCTGGCCCCTAGTTACACTGGATAAGGATAAGGACAATACCGAGCTTCCCACCTGGTCAGAGCTAAAGAGGATGACGTTGAGCTACGTGCCCATAACACCAGGTGGGACTCGCATGTTCGAAAAGAAGGAGCCAGAACAGATCTTGACGTATCAAGATCCCACCATCGACCTGACAATCTACGAAGAAATGGATAACACTGATCTCGATTGGGTTCCCCCTGAGCAGCGCAGGAACAGATGGTTTCGCAGAAAGCCCAATCACGAAATGTTCAATCAATATTTTCTAGCAGTTGGCAAGGCTGCTCTTCGGATGCCCAAACTGATCATTATGAAAGTCGAAGTGGTAGAATGCATCAACATGCTCGGGTTTCGGTATGAAGTGAGGGACGGAGTGGCGAAGGTGACTTGGTTATGTGATTGGGATCTTCAAGCATTTGAAATAAGCAACGACGTCTTGCAGATCTGGGAAAAGGTTGCTTATCAACACACGGGACGTGATCTTGAACTTAAGGTTGACGGATATTGAGTTAGAATTGCACTGAATTGCGGACACGGGCTCCATATCTTCGTAGTATGTTGATATTAGATTATGGCACGGAGAATAAAGCACTTCTAGAATGAAAAGACCACTTAGCCCACATACTCTTCGTGTCTTCCATCAGTTTGGCGTATTAGATACATTGCTAGCGATTGGAGCAACCTTCCTTCACCATTCAGAGGGCTTTGGCGGAAAGACCAAGCAGTTTACCCGGTCATATGCTTTGAGGCTCTTAAAAAAAATTATGTATCCAGTATTGTGGTTTTCCAGCTTTTTGCTTGATTAATACAATTCCCTGCGAGTGATTTAACCTGGCACGCCAGTCTTTTGATCCAGCGGTGAAGCTCTTTCGCTTTTGGGCGGGGCGCTTACACATACAATGGTTATGGCTGCTCTCTATCGTTGCCTTTCTTCGAGCTCACCTCATTTGGGCCCTGTATGATGGCTTGCCTGAATCCGTAAAGGCCTGTTTTCTCACCAACAAAAAGTTGGAAAATATCATTGTGACTGCAACCAATGCGGAAGTCTTGTGCACAGACGGGACCTCTCTGAGATGCTTTATTGTCATCGGTGCAGAGGGCGTCCATTCAAAGACCAGATCAGTGATGCGACAGCGTGCTCTTGAAGCGGATCCAGCCCTGTCACCAGCTTGGGACTCTGAATTGGAATCTGAATTGCCCTATACAGCAAGTTATAGATGCCTCTGAGCTTCCTTCCACCTCAGTTCACATCCCGGCGACAGCTATGAGACTCAAGATCAGGATCGCTCGGTCGTTTATATGATGGCCGTGAGAAAGGCTGGGTATTCTTATATGAAAAGCCTCAACAGTCCTCAAAACGAAAGAGTCATCTACGATGACAAGGACGTTCGCTCTTTTGCGGCAAATTTCGCAGAGTGGTCCCTCACCGAAAAGCTCAAGGTTGGAGATGTTCTCCAGGATCCTTCTCTTCTCACTGGTATGGCAAACCTGGAAGAGGGAGTGTTCGATCATATCAGCTGAAGCGGACGACTAGTCCTTGTAGGCGATGCTTGTCACAAGTTCACCCCTGTTTGTTATCTCTCAGATGCCACAGGCTCGCCATCCCATAGTTACTGACTATATAGTCAGTCTCCTTTCCTAGTTTGTACATTAACTCTCCCACAATCTACATATTGTACACCATCGTCTACCATCGTATACATCAACAGCCCCAAACGTAGGGCTGGGTTTTAATAACGGCGTGCAAGATGTTGTATCTCTATGCAACCAATTTCATGCGCTGTTGACCTCCGGGGCCATTTTTCGAGTCAGATGGAATTGTAGACACTGTAACTCTTCAGGCTGCCTTTGAGGATTATCGACGTGATAGGACGGAGCTATTACATGGCGATTACGATCTTTCTATTGCGGGGTGTCGGAAAAGACTTGAGGTGATCTCCATACCCTTGTTATCTGAGCAAAGACAAAAAGTCGAAATTTCTTCGCGGGTCTGGGGATTCGTGGGGAAACACGGGAAAGTGACGTGCCTAATACAATAACATCAGTAATCAACCCCGAGCTCCACCTGTATACTCGAGTACAGACCACGTAACTTTGTTTTCTGGCACATCAGATAGACCAGGTCGAGAGATATGGCGTACAGTCATATAGTTATGTGAGACTTAAGGGTGACCAAAACACGGAAGAGCCATCCGACTTCCCCGTCGGTATCTCGGTCTGAGAACTAAAGATGATGCTTCAAGATTGGCCGATGTGATCCACAAAAGAGCCACCAGGTTACGTAAAAAGCACATGCACTGGGTTTAAAGCTAACCGCCACAAGCGCTCATGTACCAGGGAGATTATGTGTCAAAAGAAGATGCATTGAACACATTGTTTATCTTCTCTGGCAGCACTAATAATGCAACTGCTTTCCTAAAACTGTCGTTCAACAAACCCACTGCTAGAAAAGAAAACTTTCATGTCCGAATACAGCGCTCAACAAATGGCAAGAGCTTGAATATTCTGGACTCTTTTCCTTTCGCAAGTTTGGGACCTTTTTATATTTCTTTTCTTTCTATTTCATTTCCGCTTGAACATCGCATAAGTTGAACTCAGAAACGTTGATCAGGGCAATGGATACGTTTCTTCTTGATTTCTTTTTCGACTTCGTTTTAAATACCAGGCAAGTCGGTATACTTGATTCCTCTGCAGACCATGCACCAGGCCCTATTTCTAATACAATGATACATAGGGCTCAGTACAACCAGGCCGTTGCCTTGGGACCGGGCAATCATCTATTTGATCTGATGCAGAGGGTTAATTCTCTGCACTGCACTGAAAATGGAGAATTCAACCTAAGCCCACTCATCATTTCGGCTGCAGTTCATATATGGCACGATCTTGATGACTGGCACCCGGCAGGAACAGATCTCATAAACGAGCGTGGCAACTTATACGAGTCCTATAAGTTTGCGTTGTTTATCTGGACCTACATCATCGTACACCCAGATGACATTGGCGGAGAAAAGGTCCAAGACGCTTTGCACTATGCCATGTTCAATATATCGGAAGTCGAAGGCCCTGACCTAGTGCCGCTTGTCATTATTCCGCTCTTTTTGAGCGGATTGGCAGCTATCCGACCTGTCGACCGAGATATGGTCAGTGAACAGTATGACCGAGTGGAGAGTTACTCCGAACATGGCAGTGTCACACTCTCCAGAGATATTGTCCGATCAAGCTGGGAGAAGCACGATGATGGGATAGAGCGAAGTTGGGATTGGAGGAGATGGCGCGGCTCATCGCTCAGCTCATAGTTCATCTAAGGGAGGAACTATCGAGTCACTCATCTTGCAGTTGACCCATAACATCTGTTTGGTCATTCGCACTGCGAGCCAAACTCTGCGTGCTCATGTATTTATCAGATTAATAGTCCAAACGACTTACAATATCCCAGATATCCTAGGTCGTTTCAGAGAAAGAAATATTGGGGATCATGTTCAGAGTTCGGTGTTCATTGAGCAAGAACAAGATCTCCCCGCACGGGCCCGTCGCCCATCTGGAAAAGATTATTCGGTACATATAATAGTGACTATAAGTTAATGGAATAATTCCTACTTCACACATACTTCACACATAAGTAAAATATGAAAACTTATTCTGTACAAACCTCAGTGTGGAGACGTCCTTTTGAGTCTATGTATTTTTAGTAGTCAACTACAAATCCAGGTGCAAGTGTCATGATCAGATTATATTTACAGAAAGATGTCTCTAATTGTAGTCACAATATCGGGAGCTTATAAAAACCAGTCCAATAATAGGCAACAAATTCCGTCGGCGACCTGTGTCAAGCCCAACCTCAATTCTTATGGTCTCTATACACAGCGTGCACCATCAACCAGAATCTCAACCCCACTGATAATTGAGCTTGCAGGCTCCGCTAAGAAGAGAGCGACGTTCGCAACATCAGACGGCTCTACAAGGCGACCGATTGGAATCGACTCGCACTTTGCCTTGATGATCTCCGCAGGCACTGGCCCATCTGCGATACCAGCGAACTTGTTCAACAGAGGTGTGTTTCCGGAGGTCGGGCAGATGGTATTGAAGCGCAGTTGGTCTCTGGCAAATTCCAAGGCCATCGACTTTGTGGCCGAAGAGACACCCGCCTTCGTAGCGTTATACCATGTCTGGGTAGCACCGGGGCGGATAGCATTCTCGCTAGAAATCACAACGGTGGAACCCGGGCCATTCTTTTTCATTTCAGGGACGAGGACCTTGGAAGCGAGATAGATGCTTCTGACGTTGACGTTAAATAGGCGGTCAAACTCTTCCACGGTCACATCGAGTCCAGACTTGTTGGGGTACGACCAGCCGGCATTGTGAACGACAATTGACGGAGCTTTGCCGAACTTTGAAATGGAGGTTTCGAGCTATACGAAAAGGTCAGCATTATAGTACTAGCAAGTGAGAGACTTGTTGAGCGTAGTTGGCTTAACTTACCGCTTTGATCCAACTTGCTTCTTCGGCAACATTAGCCTTGATCTGGTAGGCCACGTCCTCGGAGTAGCCATCAACGGGACCATCGGTGGCTTGGAGGTCCAGTCCAAGTACTAGTGCACCCTCACGGACAAAGGTCTCAAGGATTCCGCGTCCGAATCCTTGGGCTGAGCCCGATACAAGAGCAATCTTTCCTTCAAGGCGGCCTAGCATATTGATGTTTTTAAGGGTTGTCGTTTTAGGTTTGTTTGGAAGATACGAAGAAGGTTATTGACTTGATGGTAACCAGAGGCTTTTAGTTATTATTTATATGAAGCAATTCCCCCTTTGAACTAGGAGTTGAAGCATAATCTACATACGGACCACTGATCGGCTGCGAAGTCGGATGACCCTTCCGGGGTTCGGTCTAAAGTTATCTCTAGATAGCACTGCCCTCGGCCCGGCCCACTGCTCCAGATTACATACGTATCTCTTAGGCAGTTACTTGGTCTTATCTCGGCTGCAGTCCGATTTTGGGGTTATACGTCAACTTACCCATGCTTTCCCCGCAAATTGCCACATCTGCCGAGAACATTCCTATCTTATGTCCCCGCTCACACCAGAGGGCTAAAATGATGTTCCAGCCGGTCAACTGATGTGCCAAACGACTGGTTATCCAACATGCTTATCCGTTTTGCGGGAAAAAGATATGCGTTTCATCTTTGGTGGGCTCGTCATTACTGGAACTCCATATCCTCATTATTTAATTAATAGTTACATATGCAATATTACACATCCCAAAAGACTCAAATTTGTTGAATCCCCAACACATACAATTTTACTTTTGTAGGGAAAGAAATAATGCGGAAAATGACTCGGTAACCTACAAGTAGCACAGGAGATAAGTATATACATATGGGTATTGTAGAGATGGATATAGTGACAGTATTAAGTTCGCGGTCCTGGGGCAGTATTGCCTTGTAACATGTGCAGATTTCCTGGACATGGATTCTCGCAGCATCATTCAACCATCTGAATGCGTTGTTCACCAAATTGTCCATTCAAAATATAGCATTATGACCAGCACAATCTTATCCCTTCTAAAATATCTCTTTCACCTCTCACAAGGCTGTTTGTATATTTCCTTCTATTCTGTCAATCTCTATGGATAGCCAGACTGCTATTGTGCCACCTCCATTTCCGTATCTATTGAGGTAGCTTAGATATCAATCCCGACGGGGTCAGGGTAAACGAAGCCTCCATCTACCCAGAGTGTGGATGAAACCATAGAAATAAAAAATTGATTTCGGATGTAGTAGCTGTCATCTTCAGAACATTCCCACAACATGATAAGATCAAATTTGACGGTGCTATCTGGCCCAATACATACATAGTATACCAAATGTAAGAATTCGTTCTCGACACCTAAGAGTTATCACCACATGAGAAGACTCTCGATACCGATCCATCATCATACGAAGCTTGTATACTCAAGATAGATGAGTAAGTCCCTCCAATCATGATAAAAAGTCCCGAAACTATCAGGAAAATTCCACCTGCAAGTGCCAAGGTTTGTTTCCACCCATTCCGATATGCTTTGAAAGCAATAGGTAACCAGATCATTGGCGAGATTGTTTTTGCAGTTTCCACGCTCTGAACTCTTTCGCTCGCTATGATAGGTTGTTCTCCCAAATAAAAGAGGACCATGAGACCAGGGAAGACATTGGTAAAAACAGGATTAAAGAGTGCGCCGACCAAACTGAGAAAATCGTCGAAGAAAGGCACAACGCCGACAATAATGAATCCAAAAACAACAGTGATAGTCATTGACCCAACCCAAACGGCCCAGTGGGTGACTGTGTTGGATTGAAGATGCCGTGTACCGCGGAGAATTCTGACGAACCAATATTTGCCCGCAATGTGGCTCCATAGAATGGCCGTCACCAATAATCCGGGAAACGCAATACCGTAAGAGATCTTTTTAATCAAGACCCCAGCTGACCCCAGAGCGGGGCTTACAAGGTATTGGCCAATCTTGCCGTACATGATGGACGAAATGGCGATGTTGGTTATAACGATAAAAGACTGGCCACAAAGGAGAGCTCGCGTGAACTTGTGGGGCTCCTTCATCTCGGCCGCAACGGAGAAAAAGGTTCCTGACGCACCCAAAGCAAAGAGCTGGGTAGATACTGCTGCCATAGCTTGGGTAAAGTTTGCCTTGGGCAAAACACGAATGTCTAGGTTGAACGGCCCGGGTGGTGCCCCCGCAGGCCTATCTCTGGCAAGACAGGCGATGGCAGTTATCCAAATAGCGAAGATAATGCCGGCCACGCCGATCCAACTGATCCAGGCTACTTTTTCCAGAGAACGGAAACCAGTTCCGACAATAAAGGCAGATCCACAGGCGACGGCGAGAAAGGCCATAGTGCAAGCACCATGATCAGAGAGTGCGTTGAGTGCCACAGACGTGGTGAGCATACCTGCTCCGGCGACGAGAGCGAGATAGATGTAGTAGATAGCCCCGATTAATTCTCGTGCTCCTTTTCCAAAAAGCAACTCAGCGGCGTCACCGATACTGTGCATGTGGGGATAATATTGCCTGGCATTTCCACTAACGTAGCCCGCCACAGTTGTGATAACAGCCAGAATGACGAAACTCAGTACTCCAGGGAAGAATCCCAAGACATGAAAGGTGGATGGAAGACTGAGAGCACCTAGGCCGATCTGAAGTTTGGCGATTAGGATAGCAGCCCCTTGCCATGAGACGCTCCGGAAGTCAACATCACCCCCCTCTTCGCTGTTGAACAAGTCTTGCGGTGCCTGGAAGGGAGCTTTGGGGTTCTCATCAGGGGCCAAATCGTGGAAAGCCCCATTGTCGATATCATGTCCGTCATCTTGAATTTGGTCTTTCTTGGATCGATTCATGTTGTAATGTGAGTATGCATAAGATGATAAATTTTCATGGTAACCGAAAGGGCATTTGAACGCGCAATTTAAACACCCATAGAACATTTGACTCGCGGTGGAGTCGAATAAGCTTATCATCTCGGGCCGATGAAAGAACCGGGGTAAACTTTGCGGGGAAGATCGTCATTTTACCAGTAGAAAAACATCCTCTACAACGGACTTGGTAGCCTCGTGTTTTTGACATAAGAGTAGTACACCCTGGGCGTTTAAAAGCTTCGTCGTCAAGTCAAACTTGTCCTGTTGGCAAAGAAAATAAAAATCGTCTGTGATCTTTGTCTGCAGCTGAAAATGAAATTGACGAACCTTCACGATAAGAGCACCAATAATGTGATTATCTGTTATATCTACCTAGAGTAGACGTAGATTAAAAAGTAGATAGCTAGATATCCATGGATTTCATTCGTGCTTCTCGCCTATCTATCTATCTATTACCACATACGTAGCGATGTCGACAATGTTATCTCGGTCCGAGAAATTCATACCACCCTTCTCGGGCCGAGATTCCAAACCAGCGACTCTCTCCCCCCATATCTACCATCCTGTCGATGATTTCTTCTTCTTCACTTCCAGCTCAAGGCCAACAGGTTTACCCTCCGCAGATTGTGCAATCATGTTTGTTTTCACCAGAAATCATCTGCTTCACGTGGCCAGGCGACGACCACTTCGTGGATTTGCTGCATCAGCTTCAATATCGCAAGTCATAAAAGGCAAAGCCAACCGAGCCAAAACGAATTCTTTCTGCTCTAAGAATATAGCATATGCTACAGGTGGGACAAGTTTAGCTATCGCTGGGCTATTGTGGTCTGGGCGTGGCGAGGGTGAAGATGTGGAGGATCCACGGGATAAAATGGCACTTTCATCAGTTCCATTGTCCAAGCTTCTCTCGGGCTGGGTGTAAGTCCGAACTATGAGTTTATTTGAAGATTGGCTAACACTGCATTTCTGCAGTGCTTTTGCGTTTTGCTCTTCGCCGGCTTGGGTCGATATGAGCGAGTCTCTGTACAGCGTATTATCGGCAATTCCTATTCTCGACTCAGTCACCAAAGCCGTCGTCATGGAAACATTCTTCAATCAATTCCTGGGTGGTGAAACGGTTTCGGAATGTCTGCCTAAGATTGAGGCCCTCCGCAATGAGAAAATCGGTACCCTTCTCGGCTACAACATCGAAGCTGAGCTTAACGGCTCAAGCAAACAGACCCAACTTATCCTTGAACAAATACAACATGTTTTATCTTCCATTGAGGCTCAAGGGGAATTGGCGCGAAAGTTCTGGCCTAACACCAGCGCTACTGGTGGCGACAGCCGTTGCTGGGTTCGAATCAAGATCACGGGTCTGCTTCCCAACCCGAGTGCGCTTTACCATGGCTCTCGAGCCATTCTCAAGGCCAGAGAAGAGAAGGGCCTGGATAAAGACGTTCCGTATCCGGGATTGCCCCATGATGGTGACTGGGAAGCGGCACTCAAAAGTGTAACAGACTTGGACCGGAAAGAGCTGTTGAACCTCCGTGCAGTATTGGAAAATATTGCTACAAAGGCAAGACAGAACAACGTGCGCATTGTGATTGATGCGGAGCAGACTTGGTATCAACCTGTGATTGACTCTTTAACCGACGAACTTATGCAAAGATACAACTCAGAAGGACCCCCAACTTGTATAGCTTCTTTCCAGGCTTATCTGCGCAGATATCCCCAGCTTCTCGACCAACAGATTCAGCGTGCGGATGAGAAGGGTTACAAGCTGCTTTTCAAACAGGTTAGAGGTGCTTATATGGTCACAGAAGCTGCCAGATGGAAAGAAGAAGGACGGGAGGGTCCTGGGCCGGTTTGGGAAACCAAATCAGAAACAGATGCCTCCTACAACTATGGGGTTGAGAAGACACTCTCCACTGTAGCTGAGCAGATACAAAAGACTGGTCACTCCAGAATTAGTGTCGTGTTTGCCACCCACAACTCTATCAGCATTGACCGCGGGATCGAGTTGTTAGAGAAATATGGAATGGCCAAGCGCCAGGGCGATACAAACAAGCTTGTAGTATCCGGTGAGACTGCTGGTAGTATTGCCTTTGCGCAGCTTTATGGTCAGTTATTCATTTTTCTTGGATTGCTTGTGGTAATGATTCTAATAATTTGCAGGTATGAAAGATGACTTGACCAACAAGATTACCGGGTCTTTGACGGCTGAGGGGGGATTTCCACTAGTTGTTAAGGTACATACTTTTCTTCCCCTCGATGAACGATGTCATTCATGCTAATTTATACCTAAGTCAATGAGTTATGGTGACCTCAAAGAATGCCTGCCATTTTTAGCGAGACGGGCCACCGAGAACAAAGCTGTTCTAGCGGGACGAGGCGGTGCTATTGCAGAGAGAGTTCGACTGGGTCGTGAAATTCGGAGTCGGTTGTTGCCTTTCACAAATTGATGTAGGTCTGTGATATTGAAATGTAAAGATCGTGTTTCATAGTTTCTTAATGTGATACTCAAGTTACCATGCAAACTTGAGAGGAGTAACTTAGACTCCTCGTTGTTATACGTCATACGTGAAGTGTTTATAGAGTGTGCTCTGCCAAAGTACAAAGTTCATCTTCGATCCCAGACTGACGAATGTAAGCAATATGGCGATTGGTAACTACATGCAAAATCCACTCCTACGAGTCAGCCAGGGATTGAACACCCGTACAGCCGCAGAATGAAAACATTACAGGTTCTCCAACAGGGCATGTAGCTAGGCGCAACATCATAGAAGATTACATAATCAGTTAGACCACCCGGACGCCCTTGTCAGACAAGGAAATTTGGTGAATGTCGCTAGCATGTACTTTCAGATATTTGCCATGATAAACAGTCCCGGCTATGCCCTGCTAATCGTTGGCCAGTTTATATCCAGTGATCCGGTAGTTCCACCACGATAAGCGCCAGACTCGGGTAGGGCCTCCGTCTATTTATCTATATACCGGGCCGAGATCTTAACCGACTCGGTCCGAGTACGACGAAACGTGTGACTGGTGCAGATTATCTCGAGGGCATAGATAAATATTTGGCTTGGTCGAAACTATTGTGTTTTTTATTCAATTAAATTATTCCAGATTATTTCAAAGATGGGAATTAACATCAATCAGTTAACGGTTGCCATAATCGGCTGTGGTAAGTGAATCATATCGTTCCATCAGCTCAAGCATAAGACGACTGACTTTGTCGGTAATTAGGTACCCTAGGAACCGCAATTGCTACTGGTATTCTTGATCCAAAAGATGAAGAAGCTTTCCAAATCAAGCGCCTCATCTGCACTGTCGGAACCGAGCCATCTCAAACCCGCGTCGAAAATGCCCTCTCTGATCACAAATCGCGACTCACAGTTTTCACAGCGGATGACAATATTCGCACTATCCAAGAAGCAGATGTAGTGATATTGGCATTTAAGCCCTTCAAGAGAGCCGACGTCTTTGCAGTTCCCGGATTCAAAGAGGCTTTGCAGGATAAAATTGTCCTTAGCATCATGGCCGGCATTACTATCGCTGAATTGAACCGCCTTACCTTCGGAGAAAATGGCGATGACTCGAACAGTCAAAGGTCGCTTCAGTCTGTCCGTGCGATGCCCAATATGGCAGCTAGAATCCGAGAGGCTGTGACATTATACACCGCGAGTCCCGTCACCACCAAGGAGAACCTCGAGCTTGCATCTTGGGTATTTCGCCAGGTCGGCGAGGCCCATCAGATTCCTGAGAAGTCTTTTGATATATGTGCAGTCTTGGTCGGTTGTGCCGGCTCGCTGCTGCTCCTTGCCATCGATGGATTGCTAGATGCTGCTGTTGCCGAGGGTGTCAGGCGACCGGAGGTGCAGAATTTGGTGGTGAACAGTGCGATTGGTATGATGAAACTGGTACCTGCAGGAGATCATCCAAGTGTCCTACGAGAAAAAATTGCCTCTCCTGGAGGATGCTCTATTCGAGCTCTCTTGGAACTTGAAAAGCTTGGAATTCGTTCAGCGTTCACAAGTGCAATCCTAGCAGCGGCGGAGAAGTCGAAAAAGATGTCCTCTACACGTTAAGAAATCTAATGTACTTATCAAATGAATTAAAGATCGTTATCTTGATCATGTGATGATTGCCAAAGCTCCACTGAAGACAAATATTTGCAGTCCGAACAATTTCACGAAAGTAAAAAGAATAACTTGGAGCCGAATTATTTTTTGCAAATCCTGATTCTGGAAAGTGTCTCACGATCTTCCCTATGCATATAGCACAAGGATTTGGACGAGATCGATTAGTATCACATCCCCCTCATGGGTCGTCAAGGATATACAATGATAGCTCATCTACTATTTCGAGCTTGAAGCCGGAATCTGCGTAGATTTTCAACCTGGTAGAAGTTTATTAGTGGACTCGACACTGCTATTGCGATGGGTCCATTCTACAATGCCTTACAGTCGTAGCGGAGCAATGTGTAGCGCAAAAGGCTGTTCTCGGAGAAGTGCTGTGGGGGCCGTCGACACTAGGCCTCCGCAAAGCCCTCAAAGCCCATAGCCCAACCCAACCCAACCTAACCCGCCAATATGCTGAATTAGGGCCCAATTGGCACTAAACAACGCAAACATTTTGAAAAATTAATTACCTTGTATTTAGATCCCGTTTCTAGCCCTTATATTAAGGTGATATTTGATTATTTTGATTCATACGTGATTAAAAATTAGTTAGATTTATATATCACATTTAAATACGCGAGAAAATGCGTTATTTAGTTTAAATTTTAAATTATTGGGGTTTGCTTAGACAATAGTGGTACTCACATATATATATATATATATATGGTATGAAAATATATATCGAGCTTCTATTTTCGCGATATCTCGACCTCTACTTGTTGGATTCTGTTTAAACTTGAAATATATACTTACATAGCTACTGTAACTTTCTGTCCTAGATTTAAACTCTAAATACACAGTAGAAGGGTAAAATACAGCGACTATAAGACCCCATTAATAAGCTATGATGAGCTATTGTAGCCCATAGCCCACTGCTGGTTGTGCCTTGGGCCCCCATTTGTGGGCTTTACGAAGGTCTAATTAACACACTCGGTTCTAAGGTCAAAGGATTGCTTTACTTGAGTGATGAACTATTAAGGAATCGTAAAATCTGATTTACGAGAAAAAAAATTCAAGATTCCGAAAGGTTATTGGCTCAACTGTTGAATCGACATATTTTACCTATCTCCATTGATCTCTAACTATTCCGGAATATGGCACGCAGACAGAGTGGTGCTATCCGTCACATAACTGTCCTTCACACAGCGAATGCTTGAAAATCTCAGCAGAACATTCACTGAGTTTGCTTTGTCATTTGTACCACTTGAACGAGCTCCTCCAAACGGATGCGCACCAATAACCGCACCTGTGCTTTTGTCATTGATGCAGAACATACCGACCGAATCTCTCAATTTCACATCTGCAGTTTTGATAGCCTGTCTATCACGGGCGAAGACAGAACCTGCCAAGGCGTATTCGGATGTGCCATCGATGAGCGCGCATACATCTTCGAAGCCACCTGGGGCGGAATCATCATATGTCTGAACTGTAAAAAGAGGTCCAAAGAGCTCTTTGCTCATCAAATCGGAATTATTGCCACCTTCTTTGGTTTTGAAGATGGTAGGCTGAACAAAATACCCCTTGCTGCCATCTGTGTTGCCACCGTAGATCAATTCGTGACCTTCATCCTTGGCGGACTGAACAAATCTTTGAAATCGCTCAAAAGAGCCCTCCGAGCATACAGGTCCGAGAGGATGGTGAAGCTGTTTGACGTCGTCACCGTGGGTCATCTTAGCTGCTTCTAGGGCCAATGCCACTCTCAAAGAACCCTGATCCCACATGGACTGTGGGACGTAAATTCGGGACAAGGCACTGCATTTCTGGCCCTGGAACTCATATGCCGAGCGGACTGCAGCAGAAGCAATCCAGTCAACGTCACCTGCGCAGGAGTTGTGGATAAGATGGAAGTTTTTGCCTCCACTTTCTCCAACGATGCGGGGAAAACTTTTATAGATATGCACGTTGGCGCCAATCTGAGCATGAAGGGATCTTAGGACTGCCGAAGAGCCCGTATAATGAAGACCGGCGAAGTGAGGATTGGTAAGAGCGAGCTCAACAACTGTTTGCGGGTTGGCCGTCGGCAAAAATTGAATCACACCCTTCGGCAGACCTGCTTCCTCCATGATTTCGTACAGAATATAGTTGGAAAACACCGCCATGGGTGAAGGTTTCCAAAGAACGACATTGCCTAGGAGAGCTGGCGTGAAGGCAATGTGCGCTCCCAAGGCCGTAAAGTTGAAGGGCGAGACAGCGAGCACAAACCCTTCCAGGGCCCGATAATCCAATTTACTCGACGAGGATTCGAATTGTTTAGGCGGTTGCTGCTGGTAGAGCTGGGCGCAGAAGTGGACATGGAAATTCAAAGTATCGATAACTTCAGTGATGCAATCCCCTTCGGCCTGTCCACATGTCTTCCCTTGTCCAATCATAGTCGCGGCCAGGATCTTCCATCGGTATTTTGGAGACTGAACAAGGTGGGCCGCTCTTCTGTAGATGGCTGCTCGATGTTTAAAAGGCGTATTTGACCAGGTCTTTCTTGCTTCCAGGGCTCCCGGGATGGCTTTCGCCTTGATTGTTTCCGCGTCAACTTCGTGATATACTGCTAATGGAGCGCCATATCGATTCCAAGGATTGACTTGGTTGCTCTTCCGACCCGTGAAAATGCGTTCCCCATTGATAATGCTTGGGATTTCAGCAACTTTATTCTCCAATTCTGCAAGAGCGGTCTTCAGAAGCTTTCTTTCCTCCGATCCGGGTTCATATGAAAGCTAATAACCAGTCAATTTCATCATCTCAATGTTTTTCAGGAGAAACATACCCCATCGGCATTGACTGGCTCTGGATACTGCACGGTTGACATTGTGGCGTTTATGCGAATTGTATGGTGATTCTTGAAACTCCGATACTAATGAAGTTCAGGGAAAACTGAACCAGGGAGTGGTTTCTTATTGTTTTGAGGCATGAGGGGGAACTTCTCGGCCCGGCGAAGATGAGCATTGAGATAATATGAGTCGGGCACCATATCCGGGCGCAGGTAGTCATATCTTAGTCCCGTCAAACTCATTGGCCTTATCTGATGCCGGGTGTTACCATTTCCTGCATGGCTTCCGAGGTTCGGCTACCCCCTCCGACTGCCTAAGATTTGTTATGCAGAGCGAGTTGAGACTAACCGAGCAAATTCTTAGTGATTCTTCTGCGGTGCATTTTTCGGAGGGTAAAAAGGTGGGCTTCCGGTTCCTACTACGTCAGAATACTGGAGATACTGGAGATACAAGACCTACGCAAAAATAGACCTATAAATAGATCCTATGCTCTGTAGATCATTTTTATCTAGGGAAACTCATCGGACCCCTTGTCGGAGATTTTTTTTAACGGTGATACTAAAGGCTACTCCGCTCTAAATTTTTTGTCTTCGCGTATCCTAGAGATATCAATTTGTTCTCCATTTTTGCTCCAATATGGCTCCAACTCAACGTTCACTTCGCCTTGATTTTCTCGGCTGCAGTAATTAACCCTAGCGAATGCCTTTTCATTGCCTCGTGTCCTTTTCGTTCCTTTTTTTTTCCAAATCCAAACGCTAACAAGTTTGCCAGGTCGCATTGGCAGTGCCCTTCTTAGAGCTGTGCTTCCATCGGTTGCTAAGTCTCGGAGTCCAATTTCTAAAGCAATGGTGGTGTTGAACGATAATGAAGCACACAACCAACTTCAAAAATCGTTCAACGGCAGATTGGATCCCGCAGACCTTTTTTGCGGAAATAATGCTGGAGCAGTGAGGAATGCCGATGCTGTTCTTTTTGTGTTCCCTCCAGAAAAAGTCCATGAAGTCCTCGCAGAAGCTGAAATGAGAAAATCGCTTAGGCATAAAATAATCATCAGTATCCTTGCGCGTACTCTACGAACTGAAATAGCTCGGATCATAAATAGAAAAGAGACTGCTGCACCCTCTATGGCGGATGACCTCCGAATTCTTCGTCTAATACCGACTATGGTATTGATATCTATGATGGTAGACGATGGTGTGCAATATATAGATTGTAGGAGAGTTGATATATAAACTAGGAAAGGATGCTGACTATATAGTCAGTAACTATAGGATAGCGAGTATGTGGTATCTTAGAGATAACAAACATATAGGAACGGAGGTATATGAATCAGCAACCCTCATTGGCAAGACCAGCAACCCTCTAGAGAAAGAAGCGGTAGAGCTAGCAGAGTGGATCTTCAACTCCGTTGGCAGGGTATTTCATGTCACTCATGACTACTTTGATGCTACGACTGGTATGAGTGCATTTTCCAACGCATTGACAACGACAGCCGTGCAGGTTATATTACAGCGGGCTGTCGCTGAAGGTATTCTAAAAGACCATGCCATTGCCATTGCATCTCAGTGTATTCGAGGAATGACAAGTTTGATGCTATCGGGAACAAGTCCTGAGCAACTGCAGTGGTCTTTGTCTGCTCCAGGAAGCATCACAGGTTAAGCGATATTGCGATTACATGAGAGCCAACTTTCAACAATTCTTGAATCGTCTGTCTCTGCCGCAATCAAGAGGGCGAAGGAGTACCAAACATAGTTTGCAATTTATTTCCCTTTCTCAGAAGGAATTCCTGAATTACAAAGGTATAGTATCATATCATCTCAATGTTGTTCCCCAAAATTGTACACAGCATCTGGCATACTTGATATTAGAAGCACCATCGTGAAGCCAATGTCACACCCTTATAGATATTCAGTAATTGAGATCTATTTAATGATGAGCGGGGTACTCCTATTATCTGTTATATTTATCCGTACGAGTTTGAATTCAATATCCTAGATTGATATTTCCCATATAGACTAGCTATAGTGAAGTATACTTGTACAACCGGAAACCGTCTGCCACTTCAGTTGCAGAATTAATACTACGTTCGATGCCGGTGCAAGGATGAATATTAGTAATCTGGTAAGATTAATCGTAAAATACACTCAATGGACATTTATAGGCGAGCCTTGGGCTCCTGGTTACTTCCATGCCACCTTGCACAAAGCCCCATCTCATGGCTTCCAAAAACAGGATCATACTTCGGCTTCTGAACCGCCCACACCCTTTCAAAATTCCCTCCAGTTGCAATGAAGTCCCAGTCACCTCCACTATAGGCTCCCATCATTGTAAACCCATTCAGTTTGATCTCGGATAGTTCTTTTTTCGGATCATCAGCCTCGATACCATGTCCTTTCCCCGGTGACAAAAGCGCGAAGTCGGCCTTGGGAAAAGTATTATGTGTCTTGTGTGCCACGCCGGCTGGTATTATAAACACGTCTCCCGCTTCGGCTTCCAGCACGAGACCTCCTTCCTCCCAAGCGGAGTTATATGTGTTCTCGTGCATGTCTGCTGACATGTCGGCGACGCCGAATCGGATGCTCGCCGTTCCTGAAAGCACAGCCATACATTCATGCGCATTTGAATGATAGTGGGACAGTTGCGTGTCACTGTAGCGAAAGAGCCAGTTCACTTTCCATCCATTCTTAGTAAAAATTTGCCAAACTTCGCCTGGGTCGCAGTGTGAGGAGTAGATATTCTTTGGCAAAACGTTCTTATAATGAAGTAGAGGCCTGGGAGAGTTGGGGATGAGATTTGTAGGTAACAGATGATATTTTCTCACTTCGACGGCCATATTGATGAAGTTCTGCGTTGTGGTTTGTGGCACTGCGGGGTCCTTGACTTGGAAAATAAAGCTGTACAGAAACAACGTTCAAAACTCCGTTGGTGTGGGGTCATCATCAATTAAGTAGCTTCGAAATTTTACCAGAGACCCGAGGGCCAGCCAGAACGACAAGACACCGGTCGGGAAGGGTATCCGACCTAATAAAACATCTATCTCTGATTGGAAGAACTTGATCGGTGCCTCGGACTGGGCATATCTATCTATATCTGTATTCAGTACAATGGGGTAGCCAATGGGCAACGCTAGAAGTTAAAAAGTCTCCACTTCCTTTACAATGTTCTGATATGTAAATATCAAACCTCGCTAATGAACTAATGCACTAAGACCGCATGGAACCGCGACTGGGATTATCCTCTCCAGACGTGGCGATCTGAAGGAGGTATCAGTCCAGGTGAGATAGTCGGGGTGCCCTTCCGTTGAACTTTCAGAGCACAATAATTAGCTAAAATGAAGCAGACCATCCGAGTCAGTACCTCGGATCGATCGGAATGGGAAGATGAAAAGGGGTTTTGCGGGGGAGGATGCAAAGATCGAACTTAGCGTATAGTGTCAAACCAATCACACCTAATCGGATACCCATCCGGAGAGAATACTGATATCTTCCTATATTTGCTTAAGTTTTGGTATAAATTTTCCCATGGGAGCATAGATAAATTATAGGAAATATAGGAAATCACTTTCTATATTCATCATGACCTTTTTGAGCAACGTCCCCGTTTCTGCAATCCCGCCATTCTCGCAGGATGTCAACGAAAAACACCCTACAACCGTCACTATCGAAGACGTCTGTTCCTCAAGTGACGAAAGCATGAGATTGGGAAATGAGGAAAAAAGGGTCAACCCGAAATCCGGCATCTCTGAAGCAAAGCAGCAGACTTTCACTCCGCTTATCTCAGAGCGAGCTGTGAACCAGCCACGCCCTCTTAAGGTTATCTACATCGGTGCCGGCATCTCGGGAATTTTAGCTGCTATTAAATTCCGTGAAGCCGTGCCTGGACTGGACCTGACAATTTATGAGAAGAATCCTGAGCTAGGAGGGACTTGGTATGAAAATCAGTATCCGGGCTGTGCATGTGGTAAGTGTTCATTTCTTTCACAGTCAAAAGAAACATGCTGAACAACACAGATGTTCCGTCACACGTGTACCAGTTGAGCATCGAGTCCTGGACAGGCTGGAGCAAATTCTTCTCCGGCGCAGATGAAATTCGAGAGTACTGGAACCGAGTATCTCAGAAGTACGATGTTCGGAAGAACATCAAGTTCCAGAATCGCTGTGTTGGAGCACGCTGGAATGACACAACAGGGAAATGGTTTGTGCAGATCTTCGACGAGAAAACCGGATCAGTGTTTGAAGATTCCGCCGATATTTTCATGACGGGAACTGGACTGTTGAATGAATGGAAGTGGCCATCCATTCCTGGCCTCCAGAGTTTTAGGGGCAAGTTACTTCACAGTGCTTGTTGGGATAACAGTTATGACATGACGGTAAGTTTATGTCCTAGAACACTCTTGCGGATTCAGTGCCTGATCAATAATGTATAGGACAAAAACATAGCTGTTATTGGAGCTGGTAGCAGTGGTATTCAGATTGTGCCCGCTCTCCTGGACAAGGTCAAAAGTATGGACCATTACGTCCGCAGCAAGACCTGGATCTCTAACCAGCTTGGCGGAAAGATCTTATCATCACGCACAAACGGCAAGGGAGGAAATTTTGCTTATACCGACGAGGAAAGGCAGGCCTGGCAAAGCAATCCTGCCTCTTACATTGAATACCGCAAAGGGCTGGAGTTGGAGCTGCAGACGCTATACTCCAAGACGCAAACAAGTAGTGCTCTCCAGGCCTCTTCTCGGGCTCAATATCAAGCGGACATGGAGCGCAGGTTGAAGGACAAGCCGGAACTGCAAGAGCATTTGATTCCCGATTTCCCTCCACTTTGCAAGCGTCTCACCCCGGGACCAGGTTACCTGGAGGCTCTGACTTCGCCCAAGGTGAATGTCATCACAACAGATATTGCTTCAATTGAAGAGACTGGCGTTGTGACTTCTTGTGGCACGCACCGAGCGGTGGATGCCATTGTCTGTGCTACGGGCTTTGAGACAAACCCTGGAGGTGGATTCCCCATAATCGGTCGACACGGAGTCAATCTACGCGATAAATACAAGCACCGACCAGAAACCTATCTCGGACTTTCGACCAATGGATTCCCGAATTTCTTTCAATCTCTGGGACCGAATTCATTCCAAGGTGCAGGAAGTCTACTCATCACGATGGAGCAAGTTCACATCTATGTTGCAGAGATCATCTCGAGGATGACCTATGATAACATAGGACTCGTCGAGCCGAAAGAATCTCAAGTTCAAAACTTTACAAAGTTCTGTGAGAAGTACTTCGAGCGCACTGTTTACAGTGCTGAATGCGCAAGTTGGTACAAATCCTCGCCACCGGGATCAACACTGGAAGAACGAAAGAAAGGCCGAGTCACTGCATTGTGGCCTGGTAGCAGCCTACATGCCCTGGAAGCTTTGAAGAAAGTCAGATGGGAGGACTACAATCTAAGTTCATATGATGGCAATGATTTTGGTTGGTTTGGGAATGGGTGGGTTTCGGGGGAGCAACAGCACGAGGTTGATAGCGCAGGACTCATCGGCTACCTGGACCGCACGGAATTTGTGGATGATGTAGATACGAAGGGTTCTTACGATGCCTGACAGTTTTATCTTCGATGGGGAATATGATCTTGGGTTTGCTTTGCAGGTCTTAATTTGATTTTAATAGGGTGCAAGAATAGCTTGTATATGTGATTCTAGGAATTATAAGCACCTTCCTTACTCCGATACAGTACAGAGTTGCCTTCTTGTAGCTAAGCACTACCTAAGCCGCATCGTTTGCATTGATATGGAGTAGTATATATATTCAAACATCAAAACAAAATTTCACTCCCCTCCAACAAACCCGAATAAAAAGCTACTACTGGGCAGGTCGGCCCAATCCAGTAAGCTCCCACCTTCCAACATGTTGGCAGCTTCCAGCAACCGAGAGGGTGAAATGTCGTTAGCCCACCTGCATGCATCGGTAGCTAGGTCTTCTTGTTCTTGTTCTTCTTCAAAATCTTTCCTTGAGCCCTCAGCATGGATGTTTTGCCTTAAATAGGAATCACGTCCATCACTCGATATGCTAGGGTCCAAATTGTCGTCTTGCGAATTTCTTTGTTCGAGCTGCAAAGGGTCTGAGGTATTGATCAGAGATGACGAGGGATAATCTTTCAGCTTTACACAAAGACTTTCCAACTGATGGACTTTCCTCTTTTTGTCAAGGGCTATCAAGTTTCCATGATCAATCATCTGATCTAAAACAGAGAGCAATAAGTCAAGATATGACGTTCGGTTTGCAATCAATGGAAGGTCGACTAGTGAAGCCATAGTGACAACAAGGGCGGCGGAGACGGCGCTTTCCAGATCGAACGGCAAAAAGCACTCTATGACAGATTAGAAAACATGCTTGTGTTGGCACATAAGAGACTCTAGTTCATACCCAATAAATTTTGGTCTTGCAAAGACCCCAAGATTTGTGAGGTTTTCTTTGCTGATTCGAGACAAATTTGTAGAAGTAATTGAATAGGCGTGGGAACTTCGGTCTGAGGGTCTGTTCCTTTGGCACGAATTTCAACCAGCATGAACAAGAACGGCCGAGTAGCGAGCATGATACACTGGAATAGTGTCACTAATTAGCGGTTTCAGCACTGAATGGAAACTGACCTGATGGTATAACAAATTCAAGTATCCAGATACTCGAGAGATGCCGCTCAGAGCTCCTTGGTCAGGTACCGGGAAGTTTTCCCGAAGCTCACAGGCCACGTCCGCCACTCTTTGTAGAACTTCCTGTGTGCTTTTCACAAATGTGGATTCCATATTCCCAGTATCTCTATAGAGGGCTGTTGTGGAATTAGGGCTTATCTTGAAGGGAGCAGCTAGCTGACATACCATTCACAATTCGGCTAAAAGCTTTCGACAACTTGACATGAATGAGGAGGGTTGCTGTTTTCGGAGGTGAATCAGGAAACAAAGGTAATGGGGTATTGATGTCATTGTCGCTAATGCTAAGAGGCGTACCCATAAGCACGGAGATTTGGCGCTCGAGGATATATACAGTCCACCAGATGTTCTGACATCGCACCAATTCTTGCTCATTAGTGAATCGGGTGGAAAGATCCGTATGGTAACCATGAACCTGTAATATTCGCAGTGCTTGTCCAATCTAAATATTCCGGACCGGTCCAAGGTAAGTAATTGCTTAGACCGGTCATGCAAGACAAGGGCCTAACAAATACTTACCATGTTATGTGCGGAGGTTCTCCAATCTATAGACTGCAAGTACAAAGCAAATGCACAGAGAATCTCTGCGGAGACGGAAGGCTCCTTCCACAAAAAGCTATAGTCTGGGAGCATCATAAGAGCAGCCCTGAAAAACTCAGAGCCGGGTGGCATATTCCCACGGTTTTGTGCTCCCACAAATGCCTTGCCAAGAGCAATGATGACTAGGAAGTGCGGAAGCCACAATCCAGCCGTATGCACGTTCTCCACTGGGTTCTTGTAGAAGCGATATAGTTGGTCCATGAAACTGGCTTCATCGAATAAATGGAATATCTGCCCGGTATGGAACTTAGCTGCATTAATAAGAAATAGCGCATGGTCGATTGTAGGAAGACCCCGGATATCGGGAACTGCTTGACTGCGCATGCCGTTCCATTTTAAGTCATAGATCACAGAGTCAATGTGGTGAGCAGTACTGGGGAAAGGGCATTTGTAAAGTGCTCCGTGTGTCAGATTTAAGAGCCGTATAGTCAGAGACCAAGTCGAAGTATGTCCAAGGTAATCTAGAGAATTTGGTTAGTACATTGCAGGTACCATCAAGGACGAACGAGCTCACAGAGCTTTCCGGCTGGACCTTTTATATATTCAGGAGGCCCGGAGGATAGAGGGTTTACCATGTTGACATTCTTATGTTCATTGTGGATCAACATCGATTCAGGGTCTGCAACAGTGGGAGTCGTTGAATTCATCGGCGAATCTTCTCCTGGACACTGCGGTGTTGTGGTTGTTTCCATCGTGTGTGACAGACGTTGCTGCAAAGCAAGATTCTCTCTCTCCAGTTCACGGTTTCTGTGGTGCAACTCTGACAGTCGCTTCCTGGTAATTTGAACTTTTGTGGGTTCTTTCTCAAATTGACATGTTGCGTTACGTTGAATACAATTGCTGCATGGGCTTTCCCCGGTGCATTTTATCTTGTGCTTGCGACATCGGGAGCAGCTATCAAAGACATGCCTTAGTGATGGGGATTAGAATAAAGAGGACCACTCCCCGATTCGGTACTTACGCGTTTACCACCCTCCTGTCTGCCTTTCGTGATGAGCCCATACTATTGGTAATTTCTCAGTGTTGATGTAAAACTTTCCCAAACGTGCATTGGCACCCCCGCACCTCGGGTTTTATCCGCGTTTCGGCGCCAAGAACTTTGGACCTTGTCAATGTCCCTCTTCTTATGCGCGGCGTCTAAAAATATCCAACCATCGTCGAAAGCTCTCAATGTGCCGCGATAAAGTCATATATGCAATCCATAAATAGTCATTGAGTCATGACCAAAGAGCAACGATAAGACCGGTACTACTGTTCGTTCATGCATAAGCCGAGGGTAGAGTGCCTTATCAATGGGGGGTACACCCACAGCTACTAGTCCAAGGACGGAACATCCATCCGGCACTTGGAAAATCTTGAGGGAATGTGACCAATCCGCAGGAATAGAGTTTCTAGAAAAATCACTATCTTCCAATAATCAAACACTACTCCGTAGGATTCTCTATCCTGGGCCCTTTGAGATAAGCTATATCTACGAAGCAGGCGGTGACATCAGTCAGAACTACCGACACGCAGGGAAACCGGAATGCGCCTCCGTGCTTCGGCCATGGCATATCCGCAGCTTCTCGCTTATCTTTTGCTCGAGCGTGACAACTTCGTGAACTACTCACCTTTATGAAACCAAATAATGGCGCCGTCCACTTCTACGCCAACTAATCTACGCCGTGCACCTATGTAAGTGCATACCCCTTTACTAATTGGTTGAGGCGTCAACTCGGTGCAGCGCTAATGCGATCCCTGTAGTGCTTGTCTTCAGTGTCGGGAAGCCAAAGTTCGCTGTCTAGTTTCTGAACAGTCGCATCGTTGTGATAGATGCAGAACAAATGACACCGAATGCCTTTTTGCGCAGTCGAAAAGGACCAGAGTGAGGGTTCAGCCATATGTCCAACGTGGAAGACCAAGGCCGGAAACTACAGAGAACCGCAATCAACCTTCCTTGGATGGGAACACCTCAGCTCAAACCCAAAGAATCCCACAGAAACATGTCCATGGCGATACAATTCTCCCTTCAAATCGACTTCCTGCTGGCCCTAGCCAGAGTGCCAACTCTGCAGACAGCATCCAGCAGGTGCCGTCGCAGCCCCCCCAACCGGTAATAACTAATGCCACTCGAGCAAGAATCATTGCCGCGTTGGCTAGTATCAAAGGGAAGAGAGGGTCACCGTTCACTTTCGTCACCTCGGGAGATAGCCCCTCATTTAATGCTAGTGGGAATTCAGACAGCTGTACTCCAATCAACCGCCTACATCAAGACGTGTTTGAGCCAGAACGGAAGCCACTCCTATCTTTAAAGCTTTCTGGGCTTCTCAAACCCTTGAAGATAAGTGTGCCCATCGAGGGAAATGAAGATGACTGGCGACCGGTTGGCTCTATCAAAATGCCCAGCTATATCTCTTCTATGACCCTGGGTCACACTATTGTAGATCCGATAAAGGGAGGAATTATCAGCCCTCAGGTATCCCAGGCGTTGTTTGAATTTTTTATGATACAGCTGAATGCAAAATGGGAGTATCTTCTCGACCCTCACATTGATACTCACGATAGCGTTCAAATGCGGAATTCCTTCCTGTTCGCTTCGATTCTCTTTTGCTCGTCCAAATTTGCAAACTTTATCGACGGGAAGATAGTCTCCACTCCTGATCTGTTTCTGCAAAGCCGACTTTGTAGCTTAGCCCGGAATTTGGCGATTAAAGCCATTGCTGAGGGCAGCAGATCCATCGAGACCTTGCAAGCTTTTTACCTGCTAGTCTGCTGGAAGGATGCAGATGATGACGTCTCGTACCTCCACAGCGGTTACGCCTTTCGCATCCTTCATGACCTGGACTTGGAAGAAGGTGGTATTGACGGGCGTCGAATGACGAGGCAAAAAAGAACGTGGCTTGCGTTGTTTCGGCAGAACAGGCAGCAGAGCCTCTTTTTTCTGCGGAGAGGCTCGTTGAACCAGGGTGATCAAGAAACACCTCCTCTTGGCGACCTTAATGTCTGGCTCAGAATGCCATACGCTTTGCCGCTTGATTTTGCTGCTTGTTGCAGTGCCGATCTACGCTGTATACAATATAGACTGCGTCACTTGGTTCAAAGGAAATCGCTAGATATGCTCCCGTGTCTGGTGGAGCTCATGGATGCAGACTTGAGATCTTGGAGATTCAAATGGCTCAATCAACTTGAAGGCGAAGGACGTCAGCGGCCAGAGGATAGTCCAAACCTCAAGCAATTTTTATCTCCCGGTAGCCATCATATCACAACTCTGATCAACGTTTGGGAGAGTGGTGTCAGACTCAATGTGGCTTCTTCCATATTCCGCCAAGCTTTGATGGCTTCTTTGTCCCCATCCGTGGATCTCAACAACCCGCCAGCCAGTTCCACAATGGAACTTGACCTGTCAACTACACAAGAAGTATCGCTACAGAATCTGCCAGGGCTGACAAGTAGTGTGGAAGGTGCTTTTGGGACCTTGCGCCATTTGATGAACTTTCCGCTGGGCGACCTGAGACTAGCTCCAGATGCTGTTCTTTTACTCGCCCCAAATGCAGCATTATTCTTATGCTTGCTTCTTTGTCTCCCAGGAAATGGCATCATTGGTGAAGCCTTCCAGAAGACAGCAGTCGATCTCATTCGTGCTATTGCCCGGCACATCGGACAATCTATACAATCACCACAAGATACAGTCGCCCTACATTCTGCATACCTGGAATCGCTGGTAGAACTTTTGAACTCAACCGACCAACAAGAACTTCAAATGGAACCAGCCTTCGACATGGCGAACGCATCTGTGGGCGCGGCTGAATTGGAATTTAATGATGTGTCGTCACAACCATCTGAATTGGCTGAGGGGATTAGCATGCACAACTATAATGTGGCGCAAAACGATGCCCTTTTGACTGCTGGTGATTTCAGCCAGAATTTGCATATGCAAAGTCTGTTTAATCTGCTGGATAGTCATCTCTTCTGGGAAATGGCCTCTATGCCCGGTGATGCGAATTTCAGCTCGTAGATTTCACTACCTACCGTGGCACCTCTTAGTAGAAAGTTCCAGCTACCCCATACAGTATTGCAATTCAAGCTAACATATCTCAGTTGGCGTAGAGTACCGTATCAGTAACCTAACGAACCTTTCCCATGCCTTCATTTGATCTAGGTATTAGTTCAGGAAAACATTGACGAGCGCTGGTGGGGACACTGGTTTGGGGGAACTGTACTGTATCACAATCAACAACGACAATTAAGGAGGAGAAAAAACAGTGGACGCAGGTTTACTTGGTTGCGGCTGAGACTTGTGACATAAAATTGTTGTCGTGTACAACTCACCCCAGGCTGATGGCGGACCAACCCTCAAACCCAGAACGCCCGACCAAAATATTCTCCGCGGAGGACTTTGAACCACAGGTCATCTCTCGCAAGATAAGGGAGCCTCGTCATGGAGACGGGTTCGTCAGTACACCACGGTCAACCCCCGAGTCCCCAGGAGGGTCTACGGAACACGACCACCAAGGAAGTGTGCCAGCTTATTGAAAAAGAGAATAGCCCACGCCACCGAGTGGTCCACCGCGAAACATATAGTAAATGCGATAATTTCGACATATATATGTCAACAGCCATGTTTTTGGCTGCGTATTTGTCTAAAGCCATCGATAGTAAGTTCGATAGGAGATAAAAAAGGATATTATGAATTTTGTATCCTAGGTACACCTTCGTATGTAGACGCCATACAAAATATACCTAATATCAAAATTTATCGTTAATAGGGAATTATCGTTCACTGGGACGCACCAACACTAAAATATACCATATGCAGCCTAATACAAAAATTGAAAAAAACCTCGGGTGGCGGTTTTGACTATATTCGAAGAGAGTCTCCAGTATGAAACCTGCAGCTGCACCAAGTTACGGCCAGTACCTTTCTCCATTGAAAGTAACATTTAGCACTCCAGCCAGCAAGCAGTTGTCTTTTCCCAACCTATCCATCAACCCTCACTAAGAATAAACGTGAAAGTAGCTAAACCAGTCGGAATCCGTTTTTTCTGATGACCTCCTGTAGTGAGGCAGTTTTGAAATGGCACCCAGGAGCATCTGTGAACTGCAAGTTACCCTCTGTGTTACTCCCAGCGGAACTGTGCTGGAGGAAATTAAATACGGCCGAGTGACCGTATCTTCTGGCCCAGTCAGCAGCAATTTAACCCAGAGGCTCTCTGATCTCGATCGATGCGCCGTGCTGGACCAAGAACGTGACAGAATCCAATAGCTCTTTGCCGGCGGCATAATGAAGCGGAGTACCTATGCTACTATACATATGGAAGTAATATTCATCACCACAATTTTGATACGTGATATCGTTTAACGGATGTTGACAGTCTAAGAGATACTGGAGAACTTCTAACCGATCATCCAATTCACGCATTGCCGGATAATGTATCACTTGGCCATGCTGCAAAGATGCACCATGGTCGAGAAGAAGATCGATAATGGCGAATGGTGCCTTCTCCAAAGCGACGGACAATGGTGGCTGATCCGTGTGCTCATAACATCGGCGATTAGGATCCGCTTCATAGGCAAGGAACCACTGTGTCAACTTGAAATCGTAGAAGGAGAATCTACGGAGAAAGGGTCCATCAGTAAACCACTGAGCCACTTGTTGAGGTAGACTTACGTGAGAGCTGCGGGAGTGTTGGAGTCAACCGGCGCGTTGATGTCCCATCCGTGGGCAAGGAACACTTCTAAAGTTTGGTATGATGCGTTTATGGTGGCTTTCAGAACGAGCTACGAACTCAAAGCCACATGACTTTGGAGAAAACATTCGACTAGTTGATATGAATATCTCTCTACTGCCTCACGAAGTAGAGGCACCGCTTTTGCTTGAAGGGTCTCGTCATTGAGACTGTATCGTAATTCGGAAAGTGTAGAGCGGATTCCTTCCAGATTGCCGGATGAGAGATCCGCCCGGAGTCGAGTCGTTTGGTCAAATGCGATGAGATTGAAGTCAGAAATATTCTGGTGACATTGATGGCTAGGCATTGAATGAGAAATAAGTACGAATAAAATTCACTGAACTTGGGAAATCACGCGTTTTACGGGCGATTAATATGCCACCTTTGAGGTTATTATTGGTTCATATTGCCAGCAGTAATTTACCTAGGTAGTGATCCACCCTCACTAATTAACTAGTATACAGTTAGAATTGTACCAACTTACCTGCCATATACATACTACGTCAACGTATTCAATTATTGATTTTTGGATGTCTTTGTACACCTTCTCAACCTACAAACATAACTAAATAATTATTTCCTGTTACTAGTATAATCATCATTAAAGTGAATAAACTTAAGTTTCTAAGTTGCCCCTATCATTCTGGTGAGAGATTGGTCAAAACACCATTCCACTCCCATCGTCAGTACCCTCCATATTCGCATTCTAGCACTTGGCTCCACCCTCGGTGCCGCCGTGGCATGAGTTCCTGCCACAGTCTTGAATCTCTGTCCACTTTCCGCCCTTACACTCGACCTTATCACGGAAGTATATATTAGCAAACATAATCTAGTATTCCAACTTTGATATATTAACATACGATACCGGTCCTGTCGCAACCGCAAAAGTGTCTGTCTCCGTTCGATGCCTGACAAGGGCTGTTTGTGCGTCTTTGGGCGGGATCATAGCCGGCTCCGCAGGTGTCTCGCTTATCCAAGACTGAAGCACTGACGGCAGTGGCAGCCATAAGAGTGAAGAGGATAGCAGTGACCTTCATTGTGAAAGGGGCGTTATATCTTTGAACAAGGTTGTCTAGTTAAGGTTGGTTATAGTTTAGCGAGGCTTGATGTCTAAGAGCACGTCTTTCTTGCAGGATATGGCGATGTATTTATACCTCCTCAGAACAAATGCCAAGTCGTCTTGATTGTTGAAGTTGGACGCCTAATGTGCCAAACTACGCCTCGAAATCGACAATTCCGCCTTGGGTCGAGGTTGCATTGCAGGGATTTGATCGGACGACACTTCTAGGCCCCCGAGCTGAAGAAGAAACTGCTCATAGAAGCGTATATGGTTACTCGAATAGTAAGTATATGCGTAGATCAAACTTGGCAGTTTCGGAATACGAATAAAAATGTATGAGGATCATTCCTATACGAGGCAGCTCATGCGCATAAGCCTGCAAGAGCCATGGGGGCCAAACCCTGTAGTGGCAAACTTGTTTTTCTATAGTGAAAGATAATGATGGGTCAAGCAATTACAATCGAAGCCATTAGATGTAGACATTGCATTTCCGGTGTAGCTTATGAAACAGTAATCTTGAGCGTACAACCGAGAAATCAAATACATATCCCACTGAATCTATCAAGTACAGCAAAGTGCCTAGCATTGTCCAATGAAATGCACAAGAAACTAGGAGTCACCCCAATGTCAAGGAAAGAGGATAACACAATGTTGTCAGCCAAGACGGGCCCCGAGGTCTCACGCCTGATGTTTGGGCTCCCAAGGCTGCCCAGCTTCCAAGTTTGTCCAATATATTAATATGTGCGTGATCCAAATATGCAGGAGAGCTGGGAAACGAAGACAACATTAATATCATTCATATCTGTTGGTTATGCACCTGCATTACCTAGATTGTCATTACTTAGATTGTTTCTTGTAGCGGTCAGATACTAGACCTACCGGCGTCATTATATACTTTATTCAATACACATCTCTCATTTATTCCCTAAACTACCTGAAACCTCTCAGTGTCCACATTAGTTATTGCTGATCTAACCCATCAAGCCCACCTGCCTGCATGCATCAAGCCATCGCGTGGTAACTATGCTATACCCATTAAGGCCACCTGGGTAAGCTGTAAGGAGTACCATGTATGTTGTACGTAAGAAAACCTACTTAGTAAGTAGGGTTACATCCATGGATGCATCCATGGATGCATCCATGCATTTCTTGGCTTTTTGGCGTTATTTGGCTTTTTCGCGGGACGGGGCGGGGCACGGGAGATCCACACGCCTCCTTACCCCATCTTTGTCAGAGACCCATCGCATGGCCCAACAGAAATTCTCGGCTTAATAGAAGTATGCCTGTTTTAAGGGGTTCATACGTAGATGGTACAAGTATTAAATTGTCAATTCTCAACCCTAGAGTCCCACACAAATCAGCTGAATTTGACATAGAAAACTGGATGTATATAGTACAGATCTGACTTCTAAATGTGTCGTTGTCATTTTGTGAATGGTTGGTCTACACCTGCAGGGGCTAGGGTCTCTTGGTGAGGACTACATAGGTCTACCCCGCACAAAATGGCCCAACACCACAACAAGGTTAGAAGTGGAAGTCAAGGCCCGAATAGGTATGCAGTATGTAGGAACGTATCCCTTCAACTTCTTTGTAAAATATTTCGTACCAAAATGAGACCATCCAATCAAAGATACAGGGGCACCCACCCATAGGATGGCCCCCAGGTTGCATCTCCAACCCAACCAGGGTTTATACAAGTGTAGAGCAGGGCCCCGGGGGCCGTAGCCCCAGGTCTACCCTTCCAGCCTTGGAATGATATGCTGACTGCGGAGCAGTGACAATTGGGTTCTACTCAGTTCAGCCCTGGTATGAGGCTTGCTTGACAAGGCAAAGTGACCTAAGGCAAATATTATCTTAACTGTGTCTGAGGCAAACGATGGTAGCCACATGATCTGCCAAAGGCTAGGGGACTACTACATCCCTCTCCAACAGTCTCACAAGATCCATTACGAGGTCGGTCCAGAGTTTGAAGTGGTTGAATTGTCCCGCTACACACGTAAGCAAAAGCTACCCCCCAAAGCTAAAGCAAGCCGGTTGCAAACTTCGACGGCAGTCGATCAGGTTATTGTTAGCACATGACACTTCCAGTTTGCTCCCAGTAGTTTGTGGCTGTAGATAATTTTTCTCTCTCTCTTCCCCTCGCAACATAGAGATTTTCAAGTGTCCTCTACATTTTTATAGTAGATCACCTAGGCCCTCTCTCAGTTATATATATGTAAAAAAATCGCGTTCACAAATTATGCCCTTTTGCTCCTTTTGATGTCGTCTATCTAAACAAGATATCTACGAAAAGAAAGGCCTAAAATGAACAACTAAAAGACTAGCTGAAAGACATCATAAGGCTGTACAAGCAGCCAGCTATTCTTGTCCTCATATCACTGAAGAAGTCTATTGCCAAAGCTAACAGCCATTCCAAATAGACAGACTCAAGACCTCTTCCCAATTATGTCCAAGATGACATCTTCGATCATGAAATGCTTTCTGATGTTTGTAGCGTGGATCTGAGCGGCCAAGTAACGTTAGTGGCGATCGGGACAGCGATCATGGGTCGGAAATCGGAAATCACCGATCCATGGATGACTCGGGAGGCAAATTAGGCTCAGACACACCGCCCTGCTGAATTTGCACATTTTTCTGCAGCAGGCTGGTACTCACCGCTCCCGTCCTCTTGGTCCCCGGCATCGGTTGCCGAAGGCCAGAATTTCCGTTTGAAGGCTCTTCGTGTATACCACGATGCTTGCTCAGTGATCTGCGGACCATTGACTGCGTATGTGAATATCAACATTGAACTTTGTAGATACTAACAATCATTCGATCTGTTGGTGACCGCTCCATCTAATGAAAGAGCCACTAACTAACATCGTGTTATATATTCCAAAAGTCTCCCCGCCGATCTGTAGCCTTCTTACTTTCTACGTCTACTCCCCTAGAGATCAAATGTTATACATAGAAAAGTCCGTTTCGCAAATTAAGCCTTTCTCCACCTTCTTCTGTTGTGTGTCTTTGAAACCGAAGAAGGCGGGTAAAATATCTACAAAAAAGACATTCAAAAAGACATTCAAACAGACATTCAAAAAGACGTCACAAATGCCGAGTATCCTTGTATTGTCTAGCCACAAAAATGCCCACACAATCATGCGCTGTCTTCTTACACTACTCGGATCTACACAATACTTGAGAAATTCTTTAGCGGTCTAAGTCTTCTTCAAAGCGTTGTCCATAATTCATAAGGAAGGCTTTCATTTTTTCTCCAAAATGCTAGGAGGCCTCAAAGGTAGTTTGTATATACACTTATAATAATACTATGTTCCATGCGTGCTGATATGCAAAATTCAGAAAAATACAAAAACAATTAGTCAGAGCCGTTCACAGTAGCAGAGGCAAGTCTGGAGCGAGCACGCAGTGCAGGACCAAACTTGAACAGAATGAACGGAATAAAGGTCAAGACAGTCGCGACAAGTGCCAACAACAATCCAGCGTATTGACTACCCATGTTGTGGAAGAACTGGGAAGCAAACAGGGGCGACACAGCACCGAGGGTGTTACGCATGAAACCCTGACCGGCAATGGCAGAGGAAGAGTGTTCTCCATAGCAATCGGCCGTGTAACTGTAGCAGGACTCAAAGATGAAGAAGATACCGATGGTGATCAGGGCCAATCCGACGACGGGACCCATCCAGTGAAGACCCTTGTACTGGGTGAAGCTGTAGATGAACAAGCCGATGGGCAGCCAGACAGCTCCGCAAAGGGCACCATACAAACGAGCCTCGGGTGCGACTTGAATGTTCGGGTTGGCGCTCAGGGACTTGTATTTGCGAATTTGGAAGAAGTGGAGACCAAATCCGATAGTGGTTCCGAGGCAGAGGGAGATGTAGGGAAGACCTGAGATTCCCTCGTTCCAGCCGCGCTTCTCTTGGAAGGTGATCGGGATGACGGAAAGGAAGAGGAAGGTCAGGAACCAGGCGAAACTGATCCAGAGACCGAAGGCGAAGACGACGGGCTCGGTGAAGAGCATCTTCACAGCCTTGACAGAGGAGTTGTGCAACATGTGCTTGAGTCCGGGGGCTTCGATATCGTTGTTGGTCACGAAACGCTCATCGCCAGTGGCCTGGCGAATTGCCTTCGCACGCTTGGCAAGACAAACACTGCCGCGAGTCTCGGGGAGGCAAATGGTAATGACGATACCAAGGGGAATGTTGGCCAAACCCTGGATACCCTCGAGCCAGCGCCAGCCGAGAGCCTGGTCGATGAAGCCAGCGTAGATGGGCGCACCGACTGTACCGAGGATGGCGATGAAGGCGAAACAAGCCATAGGAACGGCACGGTGCTCTGGTGTGTACATATCTCCGAACGTGCCGCCCACAAGAATTGTGCCAACACAACCGAACAGACCGAGCAGAGCACGGCAGACAAGGATGGTGGCAATATTCTTGCCTAGGGCGAGGCCAATGAACATAAGACAGAAGCAGACGTAGGCACCGATGTAGATGACTCGTCGACCGGCCAACTCACAGAAAGGAGCGAGGAAAAGGGGAGCAATTGCACAAGTGAAGTTGAAGGTGAATAGACCAAGCTTTCCGATTAACTCGGTGGTTCCGAGATCCTTTGCCATGCCTCCAATTCCGGAACTGTAAGCTGTTGTGGCGAGACCGATGAAAAGTGTCATCAGGCAAAGCTGGGTACTGATGAAGGCCTTTCGGCCTGAACCCCAGTTGAAGGGGTTCTCCTTGTCTCCATCCACGAAGTCAAGCACGATGAATTCTTGGCCATTGTGCTGCACAGGCTTGGTGGCTGTAAGGGGAAGATCGACGTCGACCTCTTGCAATAAGCTGCTGTCGTAGTGCTGGGTCTGCTCTTCGGAAAGTTCGTTCCGGTGCTTTCCTCCGACAATTAGACCTTTTGTCGTGTGTGTTTCGTGGGCTGGGGGAGTGTCAAGTGAGTGAACATTCTCGTTATGGGAAGCCGATACTGGCTGAGGGTTCTTGGTGGACTTCATATTGTGTGTTGTGTGGAGGGTGAAGGGAGGAAACGTGTCCAGGAGAGAATAATAAAACGGGGTTGGGTCCCTCTCCGGTATATTTAAACGTTCGTGCTCAAAATTCGCCCGAGGCGCGTCATGCTCCGGACTCCAGAATTTGCTAAGAACCGGGGCTGCGGGATTATACGGAGGAGTGGGGAAGGGTAATTCCAAGTAATGTGATCGATTATGCTGGAAGCACAAAGTCCGAGGAAGGATCTGTTGATCAAATGAATGACTTGGAACACCAGGTAAGTGGGTACAACGAAAACTACGTGGAACCACTTGTGCCTGAGACTTTTTCTTCTTCCTATGCTGGATCGGATTGTTGCTCTGATCACTGGAAGAAATTTTGCATCAATATTGTCTCCAATTCTTTCTTGTTACATCTAATTCCCCTTTCTTCATTCTGTGCTTCAACTTCTGAGGCACGCTTTGACCGCGTGGATATTCCTACACACGGCGTCGGAACCAAAAGGGATTCATGTTTCGGACAATTGCCGGGTGGTTTGAGTTTTACATATATCGCCGACGATGGTCCGAAAAACTTCCCGAGCCGAGTTGATATGATTGGTCAGTGGTCCCACATTTCAGAGATACGGTCGGCATGCCGTATTTCACTCGGATGATGTACCTGAGTGGAGGAGGAGTGCATAGGAGTTCAGGAAATACCAATTGACAAGTGATGAATCCTTTGTTAAGTGCTATACTAGATATTTACATCGCAACTCACTTTTTCAGTGAAATTGTACCCATTTACTTGCAAACTATTAAGCTTCGGAGTGACCCACTCGGGACCTGTTCCTCTTCCCAAGATATTTCCCGGTGAGTCCGATTGCAGCAGAATGCCCGAGATTTGCCACTAAGTTGATGCCGAGGATATGATTGGCTGGGTGATCCTCGGTCCTCCGTATCCGTTTCTATGACCATTTCCAATAATATCCTGTGCCTGGACTGACGTTTCCTGACCTTCCCCAACGGGTTCATATCCCACCCCAACTCTCTTCGAAACCGCCGAGCCCGCTAATCCTTTTTCTCCTTGGATTTAGATGTGTCCCATGGGGAGATGAAAATGTTACTGCAAGAAAATTCATCTAGTCTCCACTAGCTTAGTTGTCAACCGGCCGATCCGGTCATTTTGTCGGGGCTCACTCTCTTTCTCACGCCGTGCTACGTGTCTTGCATAAAGCGAGTAACCTTTGTGCAGTGTTTCTCACCATAATCCCGTGTAACTTGTTCCATCTTTGCAAAAATCATACGAGTAAACCGGCTCCATGTCCATTGTTTTACCAATGCATTTAGTTTCGACTCGGACCCTTTCCACCATCTCTGTACAACATATTGATAAGCATTGCAGCGAGGATCTAATTTCCCCCATTTCATTTAGAAACCCCAACCAGCTGGCAAATTACACACCATGCAGCAAGTAATGTACATCCTTGTGGATGATTGCATTTAATATAGCCTCGAGTCTATGGACTATGAATTGATCGATGGGGTTCAAGACGTGTTGTAACTGCGGAAGAGCTAAACCGTCTTCCACATATCCATTAGGGTCACACGACGAGTCATGGGGAGTGTAAAAACACACTATCGGCGACGTTCCGGGCACGTATATATTGCAGAATCAATTAATGACGAGCTTCTGGAACCCAATTAGGAGTACTCCGAAGTCTAGACAGTGGCGTGGAGACGGGTTGACAGAAGGAGTGGATCAAGAAGAGAGTTGGATGGATTTGTATATGATTCTTTTTGCGTCGATCAGGGGACTAGACCGAGAGATGTTGCCGAAAATCCGGTGTGTCTGGTGTCAAGTGACTTGCAAAATGTTCTATGCGAGGTGACACCGAGCATATGATTCAGGCCCTCGGTGGGATGATGGAATGGCCGTTTGTCGACGTCGTAGATCATTCTGCAGCCGTTGTGGAGGAAGATAATAGTCGATTGAGGAGGTCAGTTGACGTTTCAGCCCCGGGCATCCACAATGAGGTTCATATTGCCACTTGTTTATGCAGAATCACAACTGCTTCCTGATTTGGCAGTGGCGTACCGTCGCGAGCATTTCCAAATCATATTTTCCATACTCGATTGTCTGACCTTCTAACACATCAAGTGAGATGTTGTCTCCGTTGTCAGGATATGTATCACGAAGGGAAGGTTGGTGGCAACGGGCGGTCACAAAAAGAGGTTGGGCGTTTTGAACAAGGAATGTGCGGCGATTTCCCGATACGGACGAGAATCATGACATGAACTACAGGGGCTTAGCTGCCGGACAGAAGTTGGGAAAGTGCGACGTTGAACTTTGTAGGATAACCAGATGGCGCATCAGCCAAGTGAATAAACACATTTAGGGAGTTTATTATTATTTCGATTATTCGAATAAATGACAACATGGCAATTCTTGGGATACCTTTCTCTTGGGACATGTTAACAATGTGCCCGACCCACATTCTTTCGATGATGTAGAATTCACTTTGCATAACATTCCACCCTATATTGATTGGAGATGTTGACAAGTTATTTTTGAAATACCATCTTAAAATTTGCAAAATCAGAGGCCTTAGTTAGCCCTTAGCCTTGCCGTCTTGAGCATAGAAGCGCCTTCATTGAAGGATGCTCATAAACCATTCAGAACCACACGTGTTTCGTCAAATCCGTAGGTAGGACCAAACAAGACTGATCTAGTAATGCGCGACGTCAAGGCTCATCTGCATTGATGGTTACAAATACCCCCTAGAATGTGGAATTAGCTTCAAACTGGCGAAATCCAGGGTTCTCAGGGGCCAAATACCAAATTGAACACACGCAGGGGTGCTGCCTGCTTACAAGAACTTTTGAAAAAATGTCTCCGGCTGCTAGGTGCGTCTCCAAAGCAGAGTTATTGTACCCCGTGGGGAGTACTCCGTAGTTCAATGTTAATCAACTGACGGACCAATCAGCTTTTAATCCTTATTTGATAGACAACGGCCATTCGACAGCGAATTGCCTATTTATCCGATGGTTGGTTATATCCTCTAGGAGTATATAAGTCCAATATATATCATTGTCGAGGATTAGTTCAGTCTTTTACTTTAAGTTGCCTGCTCAACGTTCCTAAATACATAGATTTCACAATGGCGGAAAATTACGGCTCCGAATATACCAGCTCCAAGCTTACTTCCCACGGCTTGAGATTCTACAACTGGCCAGGAGCTGGTGAGCAGGCCGCGGAGCATTTTGGTCTCTCCCATGCTGTGATCATTCCCGCAAATGCTCGTCGCGTATTGATCGGAGGTCAACTTGGAATTCGAGATAACGGCTCCATCCCCACAGACCCCGAGGAGGAAGCCGACATCGCATTCGAACATGTTGAGCGTGCCTTGAAGGCTGCTGGCTTGGGAGATGATGCGTGGGAATATGTCTATAAGGTTTGATAACTATGTTGAATGTGAAGTTAGGTGGGAATACCGACTGATCAATTTCTCTATAGATCAATACCTACGAGGTTGCAGCAGAAGGAGTTCCGGCCGGTATTGGGAAAGCAGCTCAGAAGTATTTGAAGAAGACCCGCCCGGCGTGGACTGGGGTGTATGTTGCCGCGCTCGTGATGCCAGGTCTCCATCTAGAGATTGAAGTTGAGGCTTATCTTCCAAACTGAGACTACTTGCTTGTTGTAATGATGCAATTCTTTAAGCCGTATAAGTCGTGTGCATTCTACTATTTCTTGTAAATTGATAAACTAGCTTCAGCTAATTAGAGTATATATGTGGAGGGTTGCTTTTCAGCCAAGTTCATCCATAACTTCATCTCATATCTGGATAAGATCATTTTGTTTCTATAACTTTTACTGAAGCCATGTAATTTCAACCAATCAGCATGTTAGCTCAGGGGAAGAGCGCCGGGCTCATAACCCGGAGGTACGTTTCACCGCAAACAATTTCACCCACAAACATCAAACTAACAATCACAACAGGACCCTGGATCGAAACCAGGACATGCTATGTCTATCTTTTTTTTTCTGTGTCTTTTTTTTTTGCTTTACGTATTCTTCTCATCTTTGAACATACTCTCATTGCTGTTAGTATTTTAATATGTCATATGTCATATGTGGGGGAGTTTATTCAAACGTTCGTTATTTTCATCACCACCCGTGGACAACGCGATGCATCAGAAAATCCAACCCTCCATCCTTTTGATCACCTTGCACACACCCCTGGAGCTATAACTTGTCAAGTTTCTATGAGTTAGCCAAAGACATCATCTGCATTGACTATTGGATATGGCCACACGTAAGGTTCTTTCAATCATCTAGAAGCCTTGTTTATCGTGCTTCTTCCCCGCAGCATCATACCGATGTAACATATGGGGTTGAATTTATATTGTAGAACTGTGTAAATATATCATCAAACATCGCTCAGAGGATACTCAGAATCCAGTTCTCCAGCTTAATTTAGTTAACTACAATCTAAAAACACGACCCAAACAAGTTCACAGCACCACCTCCACAGGTAAGGCATCCATCCTACCCCAACCACCACATGTCGCTCACATTCTAAGTACATACTCGGTTCTAATCTCATTTTGTCAGTTGTGCACAACTAGCCTTGTATAACCTCGCTGCACATGCTGAGGTGACATCTAATAGTGAACTCTACACCCTATGTACTGTTCAGATTGCTCTCATTTACGCAGACCCTGGTACGTTGACGCCTCTACATCACTGCCTTCCTTTGCCTTGAGCAGACCCTCCGACGTCTACTCGTGATCAACTCTAGTCTCCTTATCATTGATATTGCTCTCACTTCATCGTTCAGATTGCTCTCATTTACGCAGGCCCTGGTACGTTCACACCTCTATATCACTGCCATCCTTTGCCTTGAGTAGACTCCCTAACATCCCCTCTTGATCAACTCTAATCTGCGCATTCTTCGAATCGGTCTCATATCTCCCTCTAATACTTTCGCTATTGATGCAAAACCATGGCACGCACGACCAGAAGTGGCTCCGCTCGTATACCGGTAGCCAGCACGGAGAAGGTACGGGGTCGAAACAATATTCCTTGCATGGTTCACACTGATACTATTTTGAACAGCAGGCTCCTGGGAAGCATGGGCAGCAAAAGTCATCTGCTCCCACACCGGTGGCCAGCACGGAGAAGGTACGGGGTCGAAACAATATTCCTTGCATGGTTCACACTGATACTATTTTGAACAGCAGGCTCCTGGGAAGCATGGGCAGCAAAAGTCATCTGCTCCCACACCGGTGGCCAGCACGGAGAAGGTACGGGGTCGAAACAATATTCCTTGCATGGTTCACACTGATACTATTTTGAACAGCAGGCTCCTGGGAAGCATGGGCAGCAAAAGTCATCTGCTCCCACACCGGTGGCCAGCACGGAGAAGGTACGGGGTCGAAACAATATTCCTTGCATGGCTCACACTGATACTATTTTGAACAGCAGGCTCCTGGGAAGCATGGGCAGCAAGAAACCTCTACTACACCGAAAAAGCGGACATTGCCTTCATCGTCCCCGCAGGCCAAACGACCGGTGTGACCCCATTCGTGTGCACAAATATTGATTATTTGCACTAATGTGACATCTAGAAACATGATTCCTCAACCGCTCCTGAGGCTGCATCACCGAAGGAAATGAATGCGCAAAAGGCTCGACCAGTTAGCCTTTTTCAACACCCTTCGACGTGGCTTTCCCTGGAGCATAAAGAGACATCGCTGGCAGCATACCTTGGCTTTTCTCATGCAAAAGAGCTAAGGAAAGCTCTTGTTCAGTTTCCGATAATGGCAGCATGGCCGTCGTTTCAAGGCCCGGCAAAGAACCTATCAAAAGGGCCAGTGTTTGCCATATTGGACAACAAGGGCGAACGAAATCGAATCGCTGAGACTGAGGACCCGTTCGGGGCGTGGCCCGTTGAGGGAGACTTTCCGAGACCGTCACGCCAAAGTAAAGAAACCTCGCAAAACAATCGGCAGAATCGAGCGGCTTGGGCAATTCTGAAGGCTCTAGCTCTCTGGAAGGAATGGAATCTTCTTTCTGAAGACGATAGAAAGGAGAGGAACTCATCGGCTATGCGGGATTTTGCCGCGAACTTTGACGTGGAAATGCCCTCCAAAGTGCCTGTTACCAGCCCAGCACCACTATTCGGCCCACTGATTGATCATGGGGAGACGGAGTTGGAAACATACAACCGGGCATGGGAGATGATGAAATATCTTTCCAGTCTCATGCCTAAGGATCGAGACGAGAAAGGAAAGTCGTTGTATCATCAGCGCGTTGTCTACGGACTTGAAGGTGGAAAACTAGTCCAATCATCTACACGCATTCACTGGATGGACACACAAGCGAAAGAAGCGGCAATGGCAATGTCATCATCCCGTGAAGCATCGCCACCGAATCATGATTCCGCGACAGCCGAAGAAGAAGCCGATATATTGCTCCCAAGCGTGGATATCCACGTGGTGTGGAATGAGTATCGGCAGTTTGACGGATCAGATGCCCTTGCATGTGTCTTGGAAGATGCCAAAACTCGCGGTTTTGCAACCCCACCCGAGGACCAGCTTCTTGAGCGAGACCCGGTTGGCTTTGAATCAGGAGAAAGCTTTAGGGATTACCTCCGGCATTTACTCAACTGCGGGAATATCAGGATGTGTGTCAAAGGTTTTAAATTGACTTACGTCTCTGGTGACACGAAGATGAAAAAAGGAATTGACATACGCCGGGCGCGCTGGCGTGATACCCAGCAAGTTTTCCGAGATTCTGATGAGAATTCAGACTTCGTGATTACATTGGAGGTTGAGGCCATTGACGAGGAAGATGATGAGGCGCCTCTGTTCGAGTCCGACTACATCTTCCCTGCAGTCCGACAAATGGCACAAGAGCGGATTCAATATCCTCCAGCTCCCAATGAAGAGGACCAGGCTCTCTTGGATCCCGCGGAAACTACCGAGGCGATCGAATCAAGTTTCGATGAGAGCCTCGAGTACGCCCAGTTCATTGGAGTATCGTCTTCGTGCAACGCACCGTCGCGAAACTTCCAGTCGGAAGAAACAAAGCTCGCTTACTATAGTGGGTTTGATGTTGATACAGACGACGGTCGCCGGCAGTGGCGAAAAGAGACCATCAACGCAATTACAGAGAATTGCACACTAACTCGTGTGGCGCCGAACCGCCTTACCGTGGCTTCAAAAGAGGAATTGAATGGCCTCGATAGTGCCAACATGCTAACACATGACGAAGCACAAGACCTCCTGGAAAAGACTGTAAGTCATGCAAACAAATCAACTCATAAATAAATATTCCACTAACGCACAGCTAGGACGACGCGGATTATTACACCATCCACCAGGCATCATCCGGATCCCAAGAGCGCGTCGGTCCCTATCTGGACCTCTCCCTTGAGTTGCTTATGTGCACAGAAGTCACAGGTGCCCCAGGCCAGTATTTATCCAGTCTCGTCTCCCCAGCTCAAACAACTTGCCAATTTTTCCACTACCAGATAGTGGCAGCAGTTGGGATTCTCTTGAAACTTAACGGGCACATTCACGGGCGGGCTCTGTTGAAGGCATGTGGGGTTGAAGCAACCAGCAATCGAGCCAAAAAAGCCATCAAAGCTGCGGAGAAGCTCACAGATCTCCAGACCTATGGTTCAATCGTTGCCGATAGCACCGGGTTTGGGAAGACTAAAGAAACTCTCCTCGCACTGCTGATCCAATGCTTAATCTCCAAGGTTAACAAGCCTTCTATGATACTTGTACCTGCACCGCTTGTTGCCCAGTGGCTGAAGGAAGCCAAGGAATACTGGCCAGGATTACGTGTGATTCTATCGCATGGTGACCCAACCCTCCAGAAGGAGGTTGGCACTTTCCGGTTAACGTCGAAGCAGATGAGGAACAAGTCTCCACCCCAGTACCTCCGATATATCTTTGATCAGGAGAATCCTGATGCCCGCATGGTGGTGATTCTTTCCTCGTACGAAACACACCGCGAGAGAACTGCAGAGCTTGAGCGCACAGAGCTGTGCCCGGCTGTCTCGTATGACCCACCAAGATACGATGACAGTGGAAGTGAAATCCTCAAAGATTTCATCGAGTACTGGGTGTCGCCAAATCATACGTCCGCATTCAATGTCCTTGTCCTAGACGAGGCCCACCGCGTGAAGAACACACAAACAGCGATCTGGACAATTTTGAGCCAGCAAAGATTTGAGTCGAACATTCTGATTACCGCAACGCCAATGTTTAATTCAATCGATGTGAGCTGTTGTCCCATCTCCTTATAATACATATTACAGGCTAACATTGACAGGATCTTGCGGGCCTGGTTGGTCTGCTCGGTGCACGAGGTGTTGATCGCCTCAAATCTCAATTTGACTCTGACGCCGAGCTAGCAAAACAATCCGGGATTTTAGAGAAGACGCCTCTATCAAAGCTGAAAGAATATTTCCAGGATATCCCCGCAACATCACCTCTACGACTTAACCTTCTCAAACCCTCTATGCTGCGCAAGATCGCGAAGGAGGAAGGATTCAGCATATACACAGCTGTTGCTGTGTATTTTGCCCTTGTTCTAAACACTGTGGCCCTACAAAGGTCCCAGGCTTCGTCCCTTAGGAATTCAAATGGATCCTTAGTCCCGTTGAAAAGCAGTTTCAAAAAGATCAAGTTTCGCACTGCAGAGGCTCGCCTGTTACCAACTGAACAACAAGAGTACGAAACATGGCATTATGTGTCTGCCATGTGAGTTCATTTTCAGTCAGATCATGATTCGGGACCTTACCTTGCTAACGTATCTGCTGTAGTGATTACGCGAACGAAGCCGGTTCTCCTCAGCAAGCACGCAAGGATGAAAAAAAGCCAAAAGAGGTCAGACTCTCTAACACAACTACTATCCAAGAGGTCAACCGGCGAAGGTTCGGTGCCGGGGCACGTCATTTCCGCCGCCTCGAAATTGCCACATGTTCTACAAAGTTAGCGCGATTTGATGCATTCTGCGAGAAGGGAAGCTTGAGCACGAAGACTGAGCAGATCGATAACTGGAGGAAAGCCGGTGCTCGACCAGAATACTTTTACCGGATCTGCAAGGATGAAACCCATTTAGCGCTCAAGAAAGCTGAACAACTTCTTAAGTTTATGGCTTCGGGATCCCCTCGACTCCGGGTTATTTTCCAAGAGCTTCTAACTTGGAAAATACTAGAACCTCTGAATCCCGGAAAGTGGTGCCACCACCAAAAGCTTCTTGTTGTTGAATGTCTCCCCGCTACAGCTTGGTTCATAGAGCTTGCATTACGGGCTCTTCTTGTCGGGGTTCGAACATTGCATGCCGGCTTATCTACTTCTGATCGAGATACTCTGATTCATAAGTTCAACGACCCAGAGAGCGATTTAAAAGTCCTTATCATGACATACGATGTTGGGTCGGTTGGACTCAATCTTCATCAGGCTTGCGGTCGTGTTATTCTCTCAGCACCAGGGAAGTCATGGAATCATGAGGCACAGGCCGCAGGAAGGTGTCTTCGAGTATGTAACTATTGGAATATTTATTCCACGAGGAGCAATTCACTAATATATACAGATCACCTCAAAGTTCAACCTGACTGTTATCCGTATCTACACACCTGACTCGTTTGACACTTTCCGCTTCGACCGACAAGCAGAAAAGGCAAGCTTGCAGCTTGCCGTTAACGCCCGGCAACCTGCAATCCAGTCGCTCCTTGTGAAACTTTTGCAACAGTTCCAGGTTTACGTTGATGACTTTGTGACCAGCGCTCAGGGCCAGGCTATGCTGACAGAAGGCCAATCTGAGGCTAAGCGTAACAACGCTGAGCTTGCGCATTTCATCCAAGAGGCATGTCAAGGGCACCAGAAGGCTTCGCAAGGAAAAAAAAAAAAAAAACAACCTTCAGCGGGTCTTGATGAACTGGGCCCCTCAACCGCACTGAATCGCAGTGACCGTAACCGGACACAGCCTACGCAGCTTATTGATGATACAACTCGGCCTGGAGCAGACTCAATGGAACTAGAGGATGAACGATGTGACCCAACATACGTGGATGACTCGGACAGTGAAAACGCCGAAATGGAGGACCTACACGAAATGATCGGCACCAATCAAGACATTTTCCAATCTATCATCGCCAGAAGCACACGGAAGTTTAACCGTATGAAGGAGATTGAACGGATGCTATCGTCACGGCAGCCAAGCGACAACCTTCGTCGGTTAAGTACTTTGCTCCTCCTTCCCCCAAACAAGACCTGGACTGATGAAGATCTGAATGATGACGCCCATCCTGAGTATTTCCGATTTGCTCTACGACTGCTGTTTGATCAACAGCGAGGAATCGCGATGGATCAGCTACGTATCGGTGCGGGGATTTTCTTACCATACAATCATCTTTCTGAGCTAGTTCGACAAAATATCTCCTCCTTAAGGGAGGAAGTCGAACCAGGATCTGAGGAGCATGAGAGACATTTACGTCGCCTACAGCCCCGGAAAGGAGATACAGCCCGTTCTTTGCTGTGAATAGTATTCGGATGACTGGTGCGACGGAATTGAGGATATTTGATGGAAACGGGAGTATGAAAATGGCAAAAGCTGATCGCAATGTCATAAGCGATCTGGCAGGGTTCCTCCACTGTGGTGAATCGGATCTTTTGAATAGCTTCGTGCGATAAGACAAAACCCCCCAAAAAAATCAGATCCGAAACCAATGTGTTTTGCAACCTTGAATATTTATTCTATGTATGAGTCTTGTAATTAGATTCTTCTATAACCCACGAGGATATTATTAAGTCTTCACACGACCTGGTGTTAATGGACCACTACCGCTCAGTCTTCATTCTGTCAAGCCCGTTGTGTCATCTATATACTTGATTCGACTCTGGCCCTTGGTATTTGTTGTTCAACCCTAGATAGTACACCGGCCATGCACCCTGTGTAGCTAGGACACCAGTAAATCTTTAACGAACTAGTACGAGTGTTGCCTTAAGGTTGTAAATCATTTGACACGTGACCGCCCAAATAGACCCCACTCTTCTCCCCCCACTCTTCTCCCCTCACCCTCCCCTCACCGTCCCCTCACTTTTCTCTCTTCTCCACTCTTCAGTCTTCAGTCTTCTCCTATCAACTGACACAACATGGAACCCGCTCAAGTACAGCTTGCTCGCCCTTTAGTACCCTTGTTACGGAATGGTGGTACAACACACCCGTCTGTTCACAATGACCGCGTGGCTTTGGGATATATGGGACACTGGGTCTCGTTTGTGCAAGACGTTATGACCTTGTTTCAATCGACACCAATGAACCATCAAGTCCCTATAAATAATGAATTTGAAAACTACGTCGTGGGCAGTGAACTTGGTCTTTCCGGCAGATTCGTACGAAACCTTTGCGATCCCGTCATGCAAGCATTGATGCCGCTTCCTGAAATGTCCTCCGTACGATTCGCTGACATCCAAGCCCTTACCCTCTCTGGCAGAATTGTTCCAGATGTCGCTTTCGGTCTTGTGGTGAATCCAGAATCCTCTGCTTCCCTCGACGGCATTTCCATGGTTGGCGAGTTCAAAACACCCTGGACAGTGACTATCCATGAAATGCAAATCAATTGTCCAAACCCAAACCCTCGCTTAGAAACTCTGATAGGTATACCCTTACCACCAACTCATATTGTCATTCAATCAAGGCTGACTTTTTCTCACTTCTAGGACAAGTCGCAAGCCAAATGCGAATGGCATGTGTCAAATACGCCTTCCTAACCACATATAACTTCACTGTGTTTATCAAGAGAGCAAGCGACCTTTCGTACCTCCTCTCACAGCCTTTCGGATATGATTGTCAAGGTCCGTCGCTCCGAGAAATGTTCGTTGGATTTTGTCTTCTGTCCATGTCGGATCCAAATTACCATGAAAGTAGTGCGAACACTGCGATAAAGGTAAGTACCCACTTAGGTGACCATCAGATATGCGAGTAGCTGCTAACATATACAAAAGTTAAGAGGTATCCCCGGGCTTCGAGTATCAGAAAGGCTATACACTCTGCGTTCCCAAGAATTACCTCCCCCAGGCACCCCCCAGACTATTACACCGACCAGCGTGGCTGTCGAATGTGGCACCACAATGCCGGTAATTGTCAACTGCGTGGAAAAAATGTCACTCCCTGATAATCAGGACAAGGCAGTGTGGTTGGCAGACATCAATGGAGTTCGACGAGTTTTAAAATGCTGGGTTCCCGACTTGGACGCACTGTGAGTTACGCTGTGTTCTGTCATTGGCTTTTACTAATAATCTCTATATAGGTTTGACAACGAAGCTGCTGTTTATGATCGCCTAGAAACAGCCCACCTAAGTGGAAATTATCTTTTCCCTAAGTGCATCGCAAGAGGACAAATCGTATGCTCGAGTCTGTTTCCAGCAGGTTACGCGGTCATTATGGAATATCGGGAGGGCAAGCCACTCTGCGACATCTGGCACATCCTCAATGCAGCCGAACGAGCCCACGTTGAAAAGGAATGTTTGAAGGCCATCCACGCGCTTCGAGCAATCTCTATCCGTCTTGACGACCCTGGAATGCATAATGTTTTATATGCAAGAGAGAGTAGGGCCGTGACTCTTCTCGACTTTGAGGTTGCGGCGCCGCTCACGCCAAACACTTTTATTCCTACTTCCTACGAAATGAACAAGATATTCAAGTCAGGCTCGCTTTCCACAGGCGAACATGGCGGTTAGTTTCGACTCTATGATGTCCCTGCACTTGAGTTCTTCTTTTTGACCGGTTATTCCTTCTTTTTTGTATTATTACAAGAATCGTCTGCCGCTCATGCGGCCTTGCTATATATTATTCAATTGGTCGTGGTTCAACTTATCTGAATAGAAGCCTGTCCAACAGTACTTCCGGAGGCAGCCCTTCTCTCATCCTCCTTTCTACGGCCCACTGTTGCGCCTCCACAATGTTGATTAAACTTCCACGCATACCTAGATACTCGGCCATTCTATATTTATATCTATTGCGTACCTAAAAGCTAACACCTAGAATTGTCAACCACACTTATATGAAGCTAAAAGCCCGATTTTGGTTTGATGGGCAAGATACGTATTTTCCCAGTTCCCTCAATGGACCTCGTATAGGCAAGCCCTGTGGGTCTATTAGTCAGCCTTGTTTTGCTGCGTGTGGCCGAGTGCAGATGCTAAGAGGCTAAACGTTTAGAACAGCCCAATCATGTTCGACTATAGTTCAGCTGAGGAGGGTCGGTGCGGCGGCCGCGCGATGTGGATGGCCATCTACGAATAAGAGGTGCTGTTGAACTGAGAAAGGGGCTATTGTGTTTTATGTTGTATATTTTGTTTGCTCCAATCCACTTCTTCGCCCTGAGTTGATTTTTGGCCCTCTTAGACATATCAGCCTCCTTTGAATCCTCTACTATTCCGGTCACCCGCTTGAGAGAGCCATTCATCGTTGATACATAGAATGATATGAACAAGAGAATGAAAAGGTGAAAAACGATCCATCGACGGTTTCACGACACCGGCTTCACAATTAGTATAGCAGCGAGGATTATTCGACCGAATTCCATCATGTCTCGAGGGTCGGTTGTGCGGAACGGACCATATGTGTTCATGACCAGGAAGGCGTCGGTATTGGTTCCGATCCTCAAGTAATCTTCGTAGGTCTTGTCGAACGGAACAAAGGTGACAAAAAGCTGATGGCGGTCTTGCGAAATCAGCATGAAGCTACAAGTGAACCATTGTTAGTTGATAAAATCCCTTGACACCACTTATGGGGGTTTTAATATCAAACTACCACCTGACTTACTGTGCGTTAAAGTGGGCCATCTGTGCGGATGAATGCATCAACCACCCCGCTAGCTCGCAGGCCTCTTGGACGAAGATACTTGGTTTCTCCGACCTCCGGACTGTCTTCTTTACCTCGACAATTGCGAATATGTTCGTGGTACTTTTTGATCGCAACGCCCCATCAGTATACGTATTGAATTTGGAGTTCTTGAACTCGCATACAAAGTGCGCGCGGTTCATAACCCACTCTAGGTTCGAGTGAGCCAATTGAGAGATAGCTTGTAGAAGAATTATGGTAGCGGCATTTACAGTTGCCTCATCCTCGGCGTCTGGAAGTTCAGGGATACGTTGGGGTCTGGCTCTTCCCGTTGTACTCCCTACTTCGGCTATCATGCCCTGCATTCGGTCTCTGTCGTGAATCCTGTCGACGGTCATGGTTTGCTCTTGGAGTCGCCTCGCTGTAGTAAAGGACCCTGGTCACCTGTCACTCGTAGCTAGAATGTTATCAATAGAATCGTCGCTCTCGATAATTTGGATGTACCGGCACCATTCAGTGGACGCACTCAGGAGCGCCGCAGCGGTATCCAGGACTTGATTGGTGAACCCAAACTGGTCACATTCCTCCTGAAATGCGTAGATGGTCGTTGCTCCGGGAGAGTATGTGCGGAGCATCGCATATTGAGAATTGGTGGCCTCCGAGGCGGACAGAAGCCAGTCGGCTGGGATTGTGTGGATCGTTTGCTTTTTCAAGCCGGGTTTGCGAGCAACAAGCTCATGCCATTCTTCTTCATCTGCTGGGATAGCGAAATCGTCGATTTTTGCGAGTTGTGTAGCAGTTGGCCGTTTCTGGGCTTGGGCCTGACTAGGGGCCATCGTTCTGAGTCCTGGTAACAGTCCAATCAGTAAGGCACACGAAAGAAATCTCGAGGATAGGTGAGGTCTAGGGTCAACAGAGTTGCCCTAATATTAGAGAGGTACGATACCTGGTCTGAAGTGGAACGCAGAAGAATTGAATCGGAGAGGCTTGCGATGGGTGATAGGTAGGTTGTAAGGATGAGCTTGGTGAGGGATTTTGTTTCTGTACCTCAGTGGTGAGAGCCGATTTTGGCTGTTGTAGGTCGTGAAGTAGGTGTGTGAGGAGCACAGTTGACTTGGTAGGAGCGGGTGCCGGCTGAGTGGACTCTAGGGAGAATTGAAAGTCATTCACCCTCTGAATAGTCCTCGTATTTGGGCTCTCCCAGTCGCGCTACAATCTCCACAAACAATGCCTCGATATCTCACGAGTGCTCGCCTACAAAGATGGGATTTTCCAAGCCATGACTTAAGAGGTAAAGGTTGGTAACTACAAAATCAATTATACTTTCTCAAATATATCCAATAACAAAGCTTCATTTAAATCCTCACCGCTCCAACCTATTGAATAGTTGGTCGAGGCCGAGGATGACGAGCATGACCAAATCCGGACAATCCCCAAAATCTAACGCGTGCAGTCTGTGATGTTGCAGTAAGCGAGATTCCACCCCCATATTTTAGAAAAGTGTTTATTTACAGACCAATCTACCGGCTCCAGCTCTTTAAAAATATATTCTGAGATGAAGACCAAGTTGATAGTATTCACGTTGTCTTTGCTCCTCAGCAAGGGCTTGGCCGAAGAACCCCACCCCCTTGTTACATCCCTTGGGGGCCTTCGCGTATTACACTACAACAACCTTGGCCCTCAGAACAATGGAACCTCGGCCATTCTAGCATACGATCCCTCAAGCTATGTTGATGCCACTGCAAAATGCACTGCCATTGGCGAGAAGCTCTTTCCCTGGTCTTCGAGGCAAAACACCAGTCAAACCGAACTCGGTTATGAACTGAACTATCTCATATTTGCAAAAGAGCTAGGAGCCGATGGTTACCTGTGGTTGTCAACAGAACAGGACTCTCACAAGAATTGTTTTGCTCTCTCGATCTCTCATCGCCAGATCATACCGAAACAATGTAGAGAGAAGCTACCCGCACTCTGTACTTCAACTCCATCCGTGACAACCGATCTCGACCGAGCCGCAAGAGAAAATACGAAGCTGACCGTGACATCTAATGATTATGCCATAACCGGATATCGAGATGCACGATCCTTCCGCTTCCTCGGCGTGCCCTTTGCAAGTCCCCCAATAGATGACTTGCGCTTCGCCTCACCGGAACCCTACACAGGTCCGAAGCACATCGAGGCGACTAGCATGGCGGATTCATGCGTCCAATCTCCTTCACCCCTTAGCACTGTGTATATCGGTGGAATGTCCGAGGACTGCCTTTATTTAAACGTCTTCACCCCACTCCTGCCTCACGATGACACCAAGAGCACAGCGCTTCGCCCTGTGGCTGTTTATTTGTATGGGGGCGGATTCACAAAAGGCACTGCATCTATGATAGATTATGATGGGGGAAATTTTGCTAGCCGAAGCGATGTGGTCGTTGTCACACTGAACTATCGCCTCGGAGCATTGGGATTTCTGTCGACGGGGAACCTGACAACTGGGAGTTACGGTATTCAAGACCAGATCTTAGCCTTGAAGTGGGTCCAAAAGCACATTTCTGCCTTTGGAGGTGATCCATCCCATGTTACTGTGTTCGGACAAAGTTCTGGTGGTCAAAGCGTGGTAGCCCTGATCTCTTCCACCGCAGCGAAGGGTCTCTTCTCCGGCGCGCTGGTGCAATCAGCAAACTTCGACCTCCCGTGGTTTCCTCGTGCTCTTTACTCTAAATACATCGCTCCAGAAGTCGGAAAAGCGGTTGGCTGTGACGGAAATTCCTCCGAAACAAGTCTTCTCAAGTGCCTTCGTTCCGTCCCGGCTTCAATGTATCTCGATAACTCAACCGAGTTCCAGACTGCTACACAAACCTTCTCATCCAATATCGCAAATCACTTCTACAACATCACAAGAGCTCTTTCTGCGGTAGAGCCATTCATGCCGATGGTAGACGATACCGGATCAGGTGTCATCGACGGCCAATTCAACTCCCTCCTAGCCAACAACAAGCTCCCCATCAACGTCCCGACCATGTTTACCAACGTCCGCGACGAGGCAAGCCTCTACATGGGAATTCTCGCCTCGGCCCAGGCCCCGCTCGCTACATTGCTGAATGCCACATTCGGCGAGACTCTAGCTCAGAAGATTATCTCCTCTGGCGCGTACAACGTGGATGATTCGGACACCAATGCCGTTCTCAACGCTGCTTCTGATGCCCTGACCCACAGTCAATGGACCTGTCCACAGGCCTACCTTCTCGACAATTCCAATTCAGCTTTTCCTTCCCTATACGAAATCCAAATAGCAGATGGCCATGCGCAGACGTCAAATATGCCGGATATCTGTTACCCGAATAGTGTATACAACGCTTCATGTCATACCTCAGAGACCTTGCTCGCGTGGGGTACACTCAATACTAAGACGCAAGATGTGCATCCGTATTATGACGATCGGGATATCCTTCACTCGCAGCTTGTCCATGATGTATTTGGTGCGTTTTTCCGTGAGAGAAACCCAAACCCGGATTTGGGGTTCTTGAAGGTCCGTGGTCCTGCATATGCAACTACATTTTCTATATTTGGTGGGAAGGTTGGTTCGAATTCATTGCTTGGGAGTGCTGAGAAGGGGTTTGCTATTGAACAGCATACGTTTGATGAGCGAAATATGACGCTTTTGGGAATGCCGCCGTCTAGTACGGCTGATTTTGAGAACGAGACTATCTGTGCTGTACTGCGTGATTATGGGTTTACTTTCCAAAGGGCACGTTTTTCGGATTGAATTTATGTTCAATCGTGCTTTTGTCATTAATCCAAGTCGCTACACTGGACACTCATTGGGTCGGTAGAGCTCAGACCACAATCCAACTACAAGACGGCAGATTTCCAACCGTATCTACACGGTGCACCTTCGAGTTTACTTTCGTGTGCTCTGATCTATTTGAGCCTGTCATTCAATATTCATTCGGATTGTGAGTATCATTGGTGCGAGAAAGGCGAAAAAAAAACCAGAAGAAACAAACGCCAAATAAAAAGCTCCGCCAAAAACGAGAGTGGAATGCTAGGTCTGTCGTGATAGAAATGAGATGCCAAACGCAAGGGTTTGGGACATGATGGTGAAATAGATGTGTGGAGCCAAATGAAAGTAGACTCATATGCTCAGAACGAGAAGACATGGCAAAGAAATTCGTTCAATGTATCTGCATCAATCGTGGGAATTATTCGTAAATCGGGACCCTCCGCGAGGGAACGTATCCATCATCTTCGGGTACAGTCGCCGGGGTATATCGCTTTGAAGCGGAGCTCCGAGGGCTCGCCCACCCGGTCGTGCGGGGATGGAATCCAGCACTGCTGTATGATCGCTGGCGCTCAGACCCACTTCCTCCGCTACTGGGTCGACTATTACCTGTACTGCCCCCGCTGTAACTTCCTCTTCTCATGTCGTCTGCGGCATAAGAAGATCCTAGGTGTCTCGGTACCGCTCTTGGTGGTGGGGGAGTTGGCGATCTATAGAAAGGCGGATCTGGAGCAGTTGGAGCAGGGGCCGTGTCGCCGAATATAAATTCGCGGAATTTGACACCTGCTGCGCGTGATCGAGAACGGTCTTTTGGATTTTCCTTTGGGTAATCTCTCGGATCCCTATCTCTTGGATGATCCCTTGGGTGATCTCTCGGGTGTACCTTCGGCGAAGGCTCAGAGTTGGATTTGCTAGATCGTGAAGGGTGGCTTTCGTGCCCGCGGCGCTGTCGGCTCGGACTTGTTGGCGATAGATCTCGGAATGGTCGGCGGGTGTAGGCTTCGTGGGAGTGGCGTCTAGCACTACTATTGGGAGGTGGTGACAGATGGCGTCGCTCTTGGTTCCTATTGGGTTTCGGACGGTCCTTGCGGTGGCGTGCAGACTCATCTGAAGACATATCAGAGACATATGGAACCTCACCTGCCCCTGGGCTTAGCGGATGGCTGTGCCGGCTACCTTGGTCTCGTCCGCTTGAATGTGCTGGACGCTCTCCCCATGGGGGAGGGGATGAAACTCTCGGGGTTGAAAAACCCGGTCGGTTCGTTCCAGGCCTACGTGCAGAAAATGCTGGATATTCTCCGCTGTAATTTCGGCGGTGATGGCGATGGTCGCTGGGCCGATCGGGCTCCGCATGACTGCGACGCTTTGATGCCGCCCGACGTGGACGGGAGAAGTAGTCATCTTCGTCAGGTAGAGGATCCTTTCCACTAAAATGGTAGTGATATGTCCCAAAGTCTGGTGGCGAAGCACGCTTCGTGTGTCTTTTTAAATAGTCACGCTCCAACCGCCGACTCACTCCTTCATGCCATTCCAGCATCTCTGGGTCGGGCTCAGAGGGAAACGCGTCTCGAGGAATCGTCTTTGGAAAGGTCTCCCCATTTGCATCTGGAATATCCCACAAGTTGACCGCATTTTGCAAATACACCGAGTGTTCATCTGGGTCCATCAACAGTTGTATTGTCTGCCACCGCACGAAGCCATTCGGGAGTAGTGAGGGAATCGATGGGGGCTCGTAGGGATTGGCTGAGGGCTGGAGGCTGTGGAAACATCCTAGTGACTGGTAGATGAATGACAGAGCTTGTCCCTTAGTTTCAAGGAATAAAGGGTCGTAGTTGCCGCCGACTTTGCGGTAAAAAGTAGCGATTCTCTCAGGGGTGATATCGGTGGAGATGTTGGTATCAAAGGTGGACTTTGGAGATGTCAGTATGGTCTCCAATCCAGGTAAGACCGGTCCAGAACTTACCATCAACTGTGCGATCCCTAGACATAGCTGTTCGAGCAGTGGGGCTGGGCTCTTGTCTGAATTGATCAATGTACCCCAGTGAATATCCGCAGAAGCCATGAATGTGGGGTATAGGATAGTGAGAAGTGCATGCAAGATGCGTCAAAGCATTTCATCGCACAGGCTTCGAGGTTGGGCGCATGTCAAGAGAGGTGACAGCGTGACAGTGACAGCGAAGAGAGCGGTCAGGCACACACGACCCACTGCGGGGGAACCAAAGAACTGCGAACTATGAAAGTTGATCTGATAACTATGTTGTATCTGATATCTGACAGATCAAGTACAAAGAGACCATATCTTGTAAGAACAATCCAAATGAAAATATGAAAATATCTTCTCTCATATCTGAATATCTAGCTGAAACAAAATACATGTGACTTGATGTCATCCATACCCGTGACTCACGTACAATGTTGCATGACTGAAGCCTAATGTGGCGCTGTATGACCCAATCACCGGTTACCTAAAGATCTCAATTAATTGGAGCTTCCATTGATGGGTTCAACATAGTAGCAATTAATATAGACCTGTCTAGGCAACAGATATCTACTAGGTGCCTAGACTAGTGGAAAATAGTAGTATTTTTGATTTCTCTTCCAATACGGAAAACCCTGTGCTTCATATAGATATTTAGTAGTTTATATATCTATCTTCATATATTATAGCCTCACATCACTCCAAAATGAAGTGATAGACCAAACGTGTATACAAAGCCCACGATGAAAACCATTAGGTTGTCAAGTCAAGCAAGTTTCCAATATATACTGCCCATTTTAATACCCGATACTTCTAGTCACAGGTATTTAGATTACCTACTATAGGAGACATAACAGGATAGCTACAGGCATCTCCCTAATATTAAGCCGCAAAAGCACTCGGTCGGAATAATCCGGACCCCGAACTAAACTAAGCTACCACAAGCAATTTATCTATTGGTATGACTTAGAACAGTGGAATTTAAGGAATTCTAGGAGGGATCTATAAAGTCCCCCGGCTGGGTGCCATGTCTTTTCTTCGTCGAAGCCGACTACTGAGCGCGGTATTGGAGACTGTCTCATCGGATTGGACTGCGGTGAATGTTATCGACGGTACTCGATGGCCGCCGTATATTAGACTCATCACTTCCCGCTATCAGCACATTACCCAGGCCTCGTTCAAGATCCTCCTGTTTCGGTAGCCGAACCCGGCGAGACAAGTTGCAATACAGAGTCAATGGTAGGCTTGGAGGAAAGAACAAACCGGGCACACCGCCGGGGACTTTATGAATTTCCCCTAAAAGCTCCTCGACTTTTATCGTTCAAGACCAAACCAAGCAGAATGTAGTGCGGTGAGCAGCGTCGCAGGACCTTTCAAGGTTCATGTTGATAAATCAATCACGGCTTAGCGACCTCACGAAACCATCTGTGGGTCCTAGCTCATAAAGTTCATACCCAAGTCTGAGGTGGAATTGTGTGTGTGTGTGTGTGTGTGTGTGAGNGAGAGAGAGAGAGAGAGAGAGAGAGAGAGAGAGAGAGAGCAAGAAATACTGACATTGGAAATAAGACTGGCCCAGTTACATATGCAGGTCACCATACAATCCCAGCGGTAATTTCCGCAGACCGCTATGCTCTAGGACACGCTGAATTTACGTGTGTCTCGTATATGAAATTTCCTCTCCATCTATTCAATATTAAGTGTTTTACACTTCATTGATTTGGTCGTATATACATATATTGTCTGAGTTCTGGCATAATTTGTCAGATGTTTATGTTTGTAATCTCTGCTACATTTTATCTGATTGTAGAGTTTGAACCATCATGCAGTCCACAACGAAAGGTTTGGCCACGAGTATACAGTATCGGTAAGAGAGGGATCGAGCAAGAAATCGACGTCTGGCTGGGCTAGGAACTCTTCCATGCTCTCTCCTAGGAAGGCCATGTCATTTGCATGGTTTGTCGCAACGGTGGCTTCGGAAATACCAGAGGCAGTGGTATTCCCAAAAAGGCCCAGCTGGTTAGGGGCAATGACAGCAAGAGATTCCGTCGAGCTCTCTGCAGCTCGAGATACATCGCTGTGGAAATTACCACCTTCTGGCCCTCTCATCTCATCCAAACACTGCTTTACGCATTCTAAATTATCAAAAAATTCGGTTGCAGCAAGATTTCCATGGCTGCTCATCGCCCGGAGAATTTCGAAAGCTGCCTCGAACAACGCAAAGTCGTTGCTATTCTCGGGGTATACCAGACTAGAAATGACCATTATCAGTGCCGATGAGAAGAGATAGTGAGCATAGAAATATCCGAAGATTGGAACAGATCCGTTGGTCCATTCTTCCACAATCAACGAGTGGGTATGTCTTGCAGCGTGAATACACGCATCGCTGAGTGTTTTTAGAGTCTGGCGGATGTTCGTCTGGGCGCTATCCTCTGCAACAGACTCTGGGGATGTAGCTTGGATCAGCGCGTGCAGAAGAATCGGCCGACTGGCTAGCATTATACACTGCAATTGATTAGCTGACAACCCGTTCATATTCAAGCTATCAACTTACTTGGTTGAATTGAAGATGAAGAGATATAACATTCATTGGAACAGGACCGTCACGGTTGAGACGAATCTGTGGGGGAAGAGCACAACTCCACTCCTTGAGTGAGATGAGCAACTTTTGCTCCCGCTGCAAAAAAGACTCCGGGAACCTTTTTCGGCTGTATACACGGTCGATGACCTGACCCGTGATCTTGGCCAACTCAATACTGGCAATGAGGAATTCCGTGTCGGAGGTATGATCATTGTGGATATCACCAGGCACATTTGATGGCATGTCAACGTAGATGTCCGCGTCGGAAATTTGAATCGGCCAGCCGACCTTCGAGCCATACATTCGATCAAATACATATATTGCCCACCATAGCCTGGTGCGATGCTCACGCTGCACAGGATCTGGGCACTTGCTTTCTGGGATATTGTGGTTCAGACCCACAGTCAAGCCTAGACGCATAGCGCTGCCGACCAACAGAAATGCCGAATGGCGTCGGTTCAAGAAAAATGAATATAGTGACTGCCATTGTTAGTTCATAAGCCCTTCAATAGAAGTGATACGCATCTTACCAAAAGTAAAAGGGTTTCAATGTGTGCCAGGCTTGGTCGTTCCGGCAATATGGGTATCATCGTCATCGCATTGACATAATATGCTACGCCAGGGACATTGCATTCAAGGCTCGGGGTTGATCGTGCAGAATATACCTCTCCAAGAGCGAAGATAGCAAAGAATTTACATGTCAATACGGGATCCTCAAAGTTTTCGTCCCGATAGGCTTCTTCAAGCTGGTCAATAGTCGACTTGCGAAGAACCAAATGATACACCCGTGTCACCTGACTGAACACAATCTGAACCAACAGGCGAGCCTTAGGTAGGCTCGGCCATTTTGTTGCGGGATTTCGTATTTTCATCAATGTGGCTTCTGGCGTATATTGTGTCCGAGGCATGTGAGAAGTGGTCTCGCTCTTGGTAAGAACCTTTCGGAGTCTGGTAGCGAATGCCGTGCATGCTGCTTCACAGACATGAATAGGTGGTAATGAAGGGTCATAGGGCAGGAACCAAGCCCGTTCACCGAGCATTGGATTCCGAACATGTGTATCTGCGTCTGGCTCGGGTACATCTAGAAAATGGCGTAAGTTGGAGTCACCAGAAAGACCAAAGAAACTTTAAACACCTTCATCATGCGCTTGATATTCTCTTGGGGTTAGGAAACCAGGTGATTGTGATAATTGTCCACGCAAGCGCTGGTTTTCTGCAGCCAGTTCCTCCAGATAACTGAAATATTTAGCTTTACAATGGAGCAAGCTTAACTTAGTGGAGCATACCTCTCGTGCACTTTAACTTGACGATCTCGATTGACATAGTGGCATTCGGCAGGACAACCTGCCTGCCGACATTTAAGACATGGCTGACCACCAGTGCATTTTATTTTGTGTGAGTGGCATCTCCGACACCTTGAGACGTCACATTAGCGGGCAGACTTCGGGATAGTTTCACCGGTACTTACGCAATGGACTTCTTTTTCTGTTTTCTGATGGCTGCATCGCTGCTAGTAACCTTTGATGTGGACTTCATATTTTAATGTAAGAAATGGGGCATCTAGGAGATGGAGTATGGGATGGGGTAAGGAATAAAATTGGAATTTTGCCGGGTGTTGAGCGGCGAAATTTCATGTTGCCGAGCCAATCATCGTCTGAGATTCCTCGAGTTGCCACATTCATTGATATCTACAGTACATTAAAGTAAAAACTATCTAGTTCTAGAAAGAATAATCCATTATATCCATTATAGAGGTAATGATATACTAAATACAATACTATCTAAGCGAAACTTTCAATTGGTCCTTGCCCCATCTACATATATGCATGTCGATATTTGGAATCGTGCTTAATCATTGGTAACACATAGCATATACTATGCGGCCCAAGCGATAGATGATCACCCCATTCCCTGTATAATACGGAGTAAAGATCTCGTAGCTAGGTAGTAGGGCCATAAGCTCTTCATTCCACAAGATAGAAACGCTAAGATGGGCTTTCTACAGCAATTATTGGTTCTCTCTCACAGAAGTTACAAGAATATCCTCAATGAACTTGCCTTGATATTCAACAAATTGTATCCTTTCCTTGGGTTTAGATAGATAGTCATTCAACATTATACGGTTGTTACACAAATCAGTGGTAGATCTAAAAAGAACATATTTTGAATTTGATCTGAAGATAAATGACCAAGTAGTGCTAAGCACTATGGACGTATTGGGCTGTAAGCCTTGTAAGCAATGCAAGGGGGTGATTGCCCGAATGTGGAGGGACGTCCTATCTTCTCATCATTTTGTCTCATATGGCATGTATTAGAATCATCATCAGCTGCATATAAGTCAATAACAAACCATCTCCCCTGATCTAGCTCCCAATTGTTTTATGTATTATCAACTCCAAAGGAGATATGGATACAGTGCGTGAGTCACCTTTGGGTCAACTTCTACGAGCAATTACTGGAAATAGGGTTCTCCTTTATCCGGAAGAAAAGCCAGGATTTGTTACATCGGCAGATCCAGATGAGACAAGACACCAGGTTGAATCAAAGCAAAGCCTTGGCGGCGACTCTGCCATACCTCCAGCACCGACTTTAGACTCCCCACCGGATTCCAGTTCAGATGGACTACACGCGCAAGATGAGATAAAGAATATAGTCGATTGGTACGGTTCGGACGACCCAGCGAACCCGAGAAACTGGTCGACATGGAAGAAAAGATTTGTTACTTTTCAGATATGGTACATCTCACCTCACATTTCACCTTCATTTTCACACAGTGGACTGGATATCTAACGCTTCATAGTTTGTACACATTTACCATATATTGTGCCTCATCAATCTACGTGCCAGCTGAACCGTAAGCTTATGATCGAAAAACAAGATTTTCGTCATGACGACTAAATGCCCAACAGCCAAATAATGGAATATTTCCAAGTCGGTCAAACGAAGGCTTCATTGGGTCTGGCATTATACGTATTAGGCTGTAGGTCCCTACTATACATGGCACGGGATACGTCCTAATACCTTGGTTCTTACAGATGGTCTCGGTCCGTTGCTCTTCTCACCCATGAGTGAGTTTCCATTATATGGTCGCAATATCCCATATATTACCACTTTCCTCATCTTTGTCGTGCTGTGTGTTCCCACCGCGTTGGTAGACAACTATGTCGGGCTTATGGTCCTTCGACTTCTCCAGGGCCTTTTCGGGAGCCCCTGCCTGGCAAATGGTGGTGCCTCAATGGCAGATATGGTTCGTGAAAATTTTTCTCTTAATGGAAGAGGTGTATCTCTGCTTCTGCTAGAAACTGATCAGATGTCGGAAGATAGTACTCGGACGTTTACCTACCCCTAGGACTGACTAGCTGGGTTGCTGCGGCATATGGTGGGCCAGCTCTTGGTCCGATTTTGTCGGTCTTTTCAATTGCCGCAAAGGGGTGAATCTTCCAATGGATATTGCGCACACCATACTAATGGCTAACTTTGATTTCAGGTGGCGCTGGGCGATGTGGGAAATTCTTTGGTTTAGTGCACCCATTCTTGTCCTTATGGCCGTCTGTCTTCCAGAGACATCGGCCGACAATATCCTCCTCCGCCGTGCACGGCGACTACGCAGAGTTACTGGAAACTCGAATCTTTCATCACAGTCTGAGATTGCGCAGAAGAGTCAAACATTTTACAAGCTGCTCATTGATTGCCTGATCAAACCTGTCGAGATAATGACCAAAGACCCAGCCATCCTGTTCGCTAATGTCTATACGTCACTGGTTTATGGGATCTATTACTCCTTCTTTGAGGCGTTTCCATTGGTCTATCCAGTAAAATATGGAATTGACGCCCAGCTTGCTGCTCTAATCTTTTTATCAATTGTTATTGGTTGTGTGCTTGCAATCGCCGTGTATATTGTTTATCTATATACCCACCTCATGCCCGATCTAAAAGCCAACGGCCAACGTGCACACGAGCACCGTCTGGCTCCTGCTCTGATCGCTTCTTTTGGGCCACCGGTCGGACTTCTCATTTTCGGTAAGCAGAAGCAACCTTTTACAGTCAGGCACCCCCAAGACTAATTGTCATTTCATTTAGCCTGGACTGCCAACGGAAATATTCACTGGGCTGTGAGCGCCTTCGGTATTGTCCTATACGCAGGATCTATCTTCGTTGTGTTACAATGCGTGTTTGTCTATCTACCACTTGCGTACCCGAAGTATGCAGCTTCACTATTCGCCGGAAATGACCTATCACGATCTGGTGTCGCGTTTGCGTTCATCCTTTTCTCCCGATTCATGTTCATCGACCTTGGTGTTGACAAAGGGGTGACTCTGTTAGCTGGATTAAGCATCCTAGGGATTGTAAGTCTCTTCATTATGCCGCAATCCGGATATGATGATACCTTTCACATACTAATTTATGTACAAGATTGGCATGTTTGTTCTCTACTTCTACGGTGCAAATCTCCGTGCTAGATCTAGCTTTGCAGAGCATGGCTGAACAGGGCGTATTGATGACTCTCAGCTTTACTTTCGGTGTTACTTTTAGGATATATCAGGATCGGTGAAATGAACAGTTCCTGCTCTTGGATAGCCCCCCCAGCGGCGCAATATTCCAATGTAAGAAGGATCTTTTGTATGACTCACCCGTACAAGATATACTTAGGTACATCACAAGATATCGATTTTCTTGTTCCTTGAGATAGCTAGAGGATACATACCAAATGAGATTGTAAAGGAAGCGTACTTCCTTTAGTCAAATCTTAACAAGGAATAACAAGCATATCAAAATCAAAAGAAAGAACGCTTTTGGCATTTTTTATATACAACCTTGAAGTAAAATGCGTTTTCTGAACACAAGAACTCCGAGAAATTATAATATATAAATACCCATGTCTTCTTAAGGCAAATCGAAAGACATAGACTGTTGAGAAAAAGTATGGTCCAAGTCTGCTACCATGTCATCTAGAGAGGGATTGTTCCAAGTAGGTGAGGTTGACGTTAAAGGATCGATGAAAGACTCCGGTGTCTCAAGGTTTCCATTTTGACCTTGGAAGAATTCCGGTGCGTGATCTCGTTGCTCACAGCTGCTCATTCCGCAATCTTGGATTCAAGTCAGTAATTATTCTTGACGTAAACTGAGAAGGATTCCTCATACCAGAGTCCAGCTCTAAACCTCGCTCAATTGAATCACAGAGCCGATGAAATTGCTTCGCCAACCGCGCCCGTGACTTCGCAACAAATTCGACTGCCATCGCTTCATGAGAACCAAGGATGTAGTTCATTTCTTCTGTTGCTCTGTCGCTACCCCAATCCAGACGGCCTGTTAATGCCCGGCCTATGGCACTGGAGACATTATACCAACTGTCTTCAGTAAGCCCCGCTTTTGCCGTATAATATTTGTGTGCTGTTCTTCTGGGATCGTGAAACTGCGGTTCTAGCTGCTCCCAGGCCTTGTCGCAATTACCTGTATCATATCTCTCACTGGGCTCCAAGGGGACTGTGGGTAGTCTGTTGTCTAGCCCAATCTGAGACAGGCTGATAAAGTTCGACGAGGAAAAGGTTGTTGGCCATCCGAGAATTTGTGGAAGATACATAACCAAATCACCCGGCTGTACCGCAATTTCCCGGGCTTCACCAGATGCCTTGTATCTATCTCCATACTTCGGTTCGAGCGGGCTCTGTAAGCCCATGTTGAATTGTCGATGGAACACTGGGACTAGGCGAATCTTTTGTGCAGTCTCATATGTCGGGAATATGACAGTACTTTGGATGTCACTTGTACCTTCTCCTTGGACCGGCGACTGAATATGATCGATTGGGACACCTAGCCCTACATTGTCGCGTTGGGAAAAGGTGCTTTGTTGATATTGTGGCGAGCGATGAATGAGTTTCCGATTTTGGTCCGGTCTGCACGCGACTAGAACAGCATAATATGCCGGATCTCGTTGAACCATTTGTGATATCATCATGTAGCATTGCTGGACGGCATTTTGATTGAGGATCGAGTTTGTATCTTCTTTAGTACCGCTTCTACTGAGGTATTTTCGGATCCGCTGGAACACATCGAGCTCTTCCATATAGGAAAAGAACCCGGGGATATGGAGAAACCCATCCGTTTGCCAACGCCACCACGCATCACCAGACCCAGTATAACGACATAGCAGCTCCGTATTTGAACAAAAACTTAGAGTAGAGGTATGGTTATGGTCACCTAATAGAAACGGCATGTTAGCAGATATATGATAGCGACTGAATATCTCATGTACCAGTCATGAAGCGTAAATTCGCCGTACTTGGAGAACTATAGCACCGTCGGAAACAGAACGCCTCCAATTTCTGAATTACTTCCACTCTAGTTCCATCACGTGTATCCTCTCTAGGAATAAAGTGGGCCAGGCGCATCAGATGCTCCGAGCAAAAGCTACCCCACGATATTGTGTATGCCCAGCTCACCAATGCCGTCAGAAGCTTCGTATCGAGCGTCGCTTGAGGGGTAGTGATTAGGGCAATCAGTGGCAAGCATATAGGAATACATCCGCAGCACTGCCACCCATTTGGATCTTTGTTGGTTCGTAGCCCTTGGGTGGGTGAGACTCCCGATGGTAAGAGCCTCTGCGAAGGTGTGTTTGGGAGGGGCGAGGTTTCCGAATGGTTGGTGGAAGGTGAAGAGTCAGCCTCGCCGCTGTTATCGTTACCTTTGTTTTGAGCCGAGCCTGAGGAGGTTCGGGATTGTCTTGCTTGAAACACCGTAAGCCGCATTCTTAAGGGCTCAACTAGAGAATATTATGACTTACATCCCCGTTTCGCCAAGCGTGTCTGTGGTATCCCTAAACTCTCCAATACCCGTTGAACATCACTTGCCATAAGTCGATTTCTAGTGCGTCCACGTTCTGGTCTGTTCTTCATGCTGTTTTCAAGCAGTAAGAGTGAGTCTGGGTGATTTCGGTGTTTGCTCAAACATGCTGTCAATGACAACAGATGTTTGCTCCAAGTTAAGGGACGAGTATGGATCGGAAGAGCTTTTTCAAAGGGAATTTTCCAGTAGCGAAGGATTGTTTGTGTACTTGATCGTTTCGCTAGCTCCGATTTCTTATGTCGCTGCACGATCGGTCGTACAGTCTCGGTATATCCGATGGCCTTCCGGTAGTCGCTAAGGCTCTCATACCTCGTAGACCAAAGATCATTCTGGCATATCCAGTGCCAAGCGGCACTAATAGATGAAGCAACATGCTCATCAATTTCGGAACTTTTGGTCAAAAGGTCGGTCAACACATCCAAGTGTTTATGCTCTGGTTTCCCATGCAATAGAGTCGCGATAAATGATTCAGAGGAGTATTCTACATCGCGCGAGAGACTTCGTACCACATGATCCATGTTGAAATATTGACTTTGAACTTCAAAGAGCTTGATATATGTAGTCTTAATCGTGTACTTTGACTCTTTTGCTATTGTTTCAAGAAAATGTGACAGTTTATATACCTAGAATCCTAACTCAATTTGGGGTATTGACTATCTGCACTACTGCACTTGGGCTGGCTAGCTGCAGGGCACTTCATTGAGTTACTACACACGTCATGTAGTGGCGGGTGGTAGTCGCCATCTCCAATGAAGTGCTAGTGAGCCTTGAGAATATATCCGGGACTGTGACATTCGATCGCCCATAGATTGAGGCTGCTGAACAGTAGCGGCGGATATAAACTAAGAGTAGCATGGCTACCTATTACCTAACTTTCGCGGCACGAGAGATCCGAAATCATGCACATGCTGGCGTCTTGAGTGGAGAGATCGGCATTGGGGGAGGACAAGCTCGTTATACTGCATTAGACTCTGGAATGAGGGTTCTCGTGTCAGACTGTGAGCTTAGTCTGGAAAACGAAGTCACAGGTTATTTCCGAGGGTACCAGGCCTTGACCCCGTCATTCCTACGGGGGTTGAATCTAGATGCTTCTATCTTACTAACATTTGTCATAAATCTTATTGTCTATTCTATGCTCCCCTATTACTTAATGAAAGGTACTTGGCTGTTCAGAAGAAAAAAAAGAGGTGTTAACTTTTTTTGGCTGTTTATTTCCTTATTTCTTTTCGTTTCCTTGACAAATAGAAGTCACCAAAAAGGAAAAAGTGTGGTAATCTATGCAATATTTTGGTGCACCAATCAAAAGCATAGAGTAGCATATCTTTAAACAGTTGGAACCTCGGATGCACTCCGTTATCAGGTTTTCTGGCATTGGCAGAGATATCATTGACTCCCTTAGGCCTCCTACTTTGTTCATTAATCACACGCCACCCGGACGGAGTCCAGTGCGTAGTCCAGTGCGTTTCTTCAGGGAGTTGACGTAATGCCAGTGCATTGATCTCCATGTCACTGCACCCAAAAAAGGAAAGTTATTTACCTGTTTCTGAACTCCGATAACAGTTTTTCATATCTGCACAGGGTCTAGTCTTCAAGGTAACACAACTTATATCATTCCGCTCGGTCCCCTTCCAATGATGTGGAGTTCCCTTAAACAACGTTGGACTGTAGACCTGCATGGGACCAATTATGAAGAGTCAAGGACGGAAATTGGCCAGGGTCCAGGCTGCCACTCATTGGTAGAACTAATTTCCTTCGCAGCTTAATGTGCATGAACAAACGCACGGCCAACATGTTTATCAATATCCTTCTTTTTAAGTCTTTATGCCATGAGGATTTCGATGCTCGTTGTTATCTTTCCGTGTTCCTTTTGCCTTCATAAATCAACTCATGGACAGTAACTTCCAATTCATCTTTATGCGGTGAAGGTGGGGTGATATATAGTAACTGTAATATACAATATCCAAAAAAGGTAAGATCATTATATTCCAAAAAGCCAGTGCTGACGTGTCCGTCGATCAGTGAAAGATGAATTAAGAAGCGATAGGGTATCGAGACAAAGCCATGAACATTATAGACCACAAAAGATAAAAAGATATAAAAAAAAGAAAAGGCTGACATCGAATCCTGTTAAAGCTCGGCAACAGGCGGCTTAAACATTACTTTTCACCTAGCTTAACTCGGGAAGACGTGCATTTGCCGACCGTTCTCCACAACGCACAGGTTGTACTTGGTATTTCTCATTGTATTTCTCATTGTATTAGAATGGATAGGAAATTGCAAATTTAGAATCCCCTGGAATGACTCGGTAAATTTGATGTATCCGATATATCCGAATAACTTTGGTTCGGGAAAATGATATTTCACCGTGACATTCTCCAAACTAGAATGGAAGACAATTGGTACTTAAACATTGCATGTCGTAGGTAGATGGTGGGTTAACTAAACATACAAATTCACATGATGAAGTTCTCAAACGTGGACTTCCTGGTTAATAGCTTGTCGGACTTGCCGACTTTCAAAACCCACGACATAATCGATGGCGACATCATTTTTACGCCTCATCAAGAAACCAACATTGAAGACATAAGCATCACATTTCAAGGTATACGAGCGATAGAAGTAGCACTGCAGTGGCAATATTAACACGGCGAATAGGCATGACACGGACCGAAGTCGAGAACATGAATACACATCTTGCTCTGCCCCTCAACAGGCTCTTGAAAACCTTCCTAATCATGGAATTGCCGATTTATGACTACTTTTGGGATACGAACACCCTCAAACCTGGCAAGAGTTATCGAATGCCCTTCAAGTTCGTCGTCCCCGGGGAACTTCCCATTCACGCCTGTCATCACCAATGCGCCAATCACCAAATCCAGCAAGAACACATGCAGCTACCTGCAAGTCTCAGTTACCGTGCTACAAACTCCCATAAAGTTCATGACATGTCACCAGAAATGGCGGAGATAGTCTACAGTATCAACTTTACGCTGTGGCAGCGAAATGGCAAGGCAGGAAGGTCGAAGAAAATCCAAGAAGCAACACATCCTGTGCAAATCATCCCAACACGAAACGAGCATCCGCCCATCTTTGTCCCAAGTAAGAATAAATACTATCAACTACAATCAGAGAAGTCTCTGTCTACAGGAGTGTTGCGACATGCACGTGGCAAACTCGCTGCCTGCTGTATCCAACCACCAGCTATTCAGTTGCAAAGTCTCCAACCAAGTACGGTCGCGTCAACTTCTCTGAAGATTGATCTTCGGTTTGACCCTTCTCACTTGGGTCAGTTGCCACCAACTCTTCTGGCCGCCGAATTCCAGTTGCGGGCGATGACTTTCTTTGGGCTAGATGCATGGCCAGATTATCCAGATTTGACTGATATTTCTACATGGGGTTCGCGGCAGGAATTTTGGTCTGAGTATGTGGCATTGACAGTGAACAAGGAAACAAAATTAGACTGGGAGGCTCAAGAAGAAGGGGACCGCACCATCTTCACTGCAGCGATTGAGGCTTGCGTGACACTGCCTGCCCATAGACGATATCCACCTACTTTCCATTCGTGTTTGGTGTCTCGAGTTTATGCCTTGAAGACAACGATGTTCTATCGAGTCCATGGAAAGGCTCGGGGTAGATCATCCATATCAGTGTCTGTGCCAGTCGAGATATGTGCAACATGATGAGATACCCAACGACGATAGAGTGTTACGGATTATGGTCCATTTGCTATATAATTTTGTCTAAGAAATACAGCCCAACTGTGATGCGTCTCAAGATGTATGTATCAGTTAGTTACCCAAAGCAGCTCCGGAAAGTGATATCAGATACAATCAATCCGTTCTTCGGCCTCTGCAACGGCCTCTTCGATCAACATCCCGAGTTAATCCCGTTAGAAGCAAATCTAGGCCCACATTCCTGAACCCCCATCTACCAATCTCATTGCCTGAAGGTTAGCGATCAACAATTCCACCGCTGACATTTGAGTTTGAACATTCCGGGATCGACATGCCATCCTTGAATTGATATTCAGCCATAACAATAACCAGGACTAGTACTCCATTCCCAAACCGCAGTATTTGCCTACCTTGATTTGCTGGCCATGGCCTAGCCTCGGACATTTTTTGACATAAATCAGCAACTGGACAGGCTGCCGATCATGGGCTAATTGGATTCCAGCCCTCGGGGGAGTATGTACATGTGTCAACAGTCGGAATTCCACGCGCGGGATTTGATCTCTAAGGACCCTCTGTCCAGAGGATAAGTGCAGCCGATACCCCTAGCCCGTGTTCCCGACGTTGGCGGTTTTCTACTGCTCGCCGGTGAATTGTTGTCCATCTTCAACCCACTACTTCGATCGAACATCTCGACTCCCTCATCAATTGAATATCTCGATGAATTTGATCACTCGATTTACTACTATATCCTCATACATTAGTGGTTGCTCTTCTCTCAGCCGACCACGCGACTATCCCTTGACTCATCCAATCCACCACCCGTGGACAACACAACAACCAACGTGTCCGCCTCAGCTCGATAGCAGATCATTCAATCATGGCTCTTGTTCGAGACCCATATTTCTGGAAACGGTTTTCAACTGCAGTCCACATGGACGAAGAATCCAAGGCAGTTGAACAGAGAACACATACAAAACAAGAACCGTAAGACACTTCCGTCTCCAATATTTTTGGTGAGCCTCGGCTCACCTCTCTAGCGCATCATGGCTTGACCGCGAACGACGAAAGAGCAAGCGTTCGATTATCTGGGGCTTCGTCATTTTCTTTGGCGTAGTGCTCGTCATAATTATCAGTGTGGTTCTATGGTGGCTTGCTAAGAACAACTGGCTCCAACCTCGGTCGCATACCTAATAACTGGCCTTTAGCTAGTGGAAGGCGTTTTTGATTTGAAATTTGGCGTTTCTTTGGAGTTTGCATGGCATTGGAGATATACCCGCCGCGCCTGCACACGGCGTTTGGCAATTTGTTTAGATAGTTTTTACATAGAACAGCATAATAGACAATTTCAATCATACGTTTTGTATCTATCTCTACGGAGTAGATCGTTTATCTATGAATCTCCCTATCATACCTAGGTACCTATATAACTACTTAACCTAACTCCATTGGGCGCATACAATTGCCGTAACCGGTATAGTGTGTCTGGGGCTATGGCTTCTTATCTCCTGCGGACAAATTGCCGCCAGCGTTTATTTGCCAGCTTTTAGTTGCCAGGACTTAGTGATTTTGTTCAATGTTTTGACTATAACAAAAAAGCCGATATCAGCTCGAATACGGAATAGACCTATATAGGTAATATACAAATATATACATACGTAGCTTATACAATCAAAGGATGAATCCACGGCTAACCTCGGTGGTACCCGTCTATCCGGGTCCTATCGCATTCTCCACTTCTCCAATTCCCCGCATCGTATAAGACCCCCCAGCTTCCCCCCCCCTTCTCTTCTTGTACACACACCGCCATTATGCTTCCTCCATTTGACTACTTTGCCTACCGTCGCATACGGTAAGCTTTCATTTTATTCCCTTGAATTCACATGATCTGGAGCTAATGTCTACAGCAACCAAAAACAAGCCGAACGAGAACTCCGCTTTACAGGCCTTCCGCACCACTATCACCTCCGCATCGCCGACCAGGACCGAAAGATCATCAACCAGCCTATCGAAGAACTTGTTCACGATGTCCAGGCCTCGGCTGTCTCACCACTTGATATCCTCCGCACCTATGGAAAGGTAGCTAAGAGGGCTCAGGAGCGGACCAACTGCATTACCGAGTTGATGCTACCCGAGGCTGAGTCATGGCTAGAATCGGAGATCAACCTGAAGGGTCCATTGGCTGGAATTCCGGTCTCTTTGAAGGATTCTATTCATGTCAAGGGATTCGATGCAAGTGTTGGGTATGCTGCTTTTGCTGGAAAGCCTATCTTGGAAGATGGGCCTATGGTGCAGCTCTTGAAAGACGCCGGTAAGATCATGATTCTCAACACACATCATCCCGATAGTGGGACTGCATACTGATTTCCCACAGGTGCTGTTCCGTATGCCAAGACTGCTCTGCCAATCACACTGCTCTCTTTTGAGTCAGATAACGGCCTCTGGGGTCAATGCCGCAACCCACATGTCCCAGTATACTCGCCTGGTGGCTCAACCGGTGGAGAGGCAGCGTTGCTAGCACAGGGTGGCCGTATTGGTATTGGATCTGATGTTGCTGGCTCGGTGCGTGTCCCCGCCGCCTGGAGTGGTATCTATTCTCTCCGCTGCAGCACTGGCCGCTGGCCCAAGGGTGGCGTGAACACCAGCATGCCCGGGCAAGAGGGTATCCCTAGTGTGTTTAGTCCTATGGCCCGCACCTTGAATGATTTGACATACTTCACTCGGGCAATTATCCGCATGGAGCCCTGGAAATATGAACACACTGTGCACCCCATTGCCTGGCGCAGCGAGGTCGAGTCCGAGGCTCAAAATAAGCCTCTTCGCGTGGGTGTTATGACCTCCGATGGTATGCAACAATCACCTCACCTCGACAATAAAATCTAGTCACTTACAAATCTCCAGGCGTCGTCCCCCCAACCCCAGCAATTGAACGCGCCATCGCAACAACAGTAGCCGCCCTCACAGAAGCCGGCCACACCGTCTCAGAAATCACCACCCCACCCAACGCAGACCCCTTCACAGGCCTGAACCTCGCCTCGCAACTCCTCAACTCAGATGGCTGCCACCACTTCAACGCCAACCTCAAGAGCTTCGAACCCTCCGACCCAGGCGCCATCCAACTCTCCCGCATCGCCCACCTCCCCCGCCCGCTCCGCTACCTCTACTACCTCTACGTGCGCTACCTCCGCCGCGACAAGGTCTCCGCCACTCTCATCCGCGACTTCGGTCCCAAGTCCTCCGCCCAGCTGTGGACCCTGACCGCCCAGCGTGAAGCCTTCCGCGCCGTCTGGCACAAGTGGTGGGATGCCGAGCCCCAGCAATTCGATTTCATCCTGTGTCCTGTCAATGCTACCCCGGCTCTCCCGCACAAGGCTATGCACGATGCCGTCTCCTCGTGCGGTTACACCTTCCTGTGGAACTTGCTCGACTACTCCGCCGGTGTTCTCCCCGTCGGTCACGTAGACCCTATCCGCGACGCTCTCACCACACCCTACAAGACTGCTCTCAAGCGTCTGGGTTGTGACCACGGCATTGCTCGCGGTGCGTGGAAACATTATGACTCGGCCAAGATGGCTGGTCTCCCTACTGCCGTGCAGGTTGTTGGTCGCCGATGGCAGGAGGAGCACGTGCTTGGTTACATGGCTGCTGTGGAAAAGGCGCTTGAGCAGTACAATGATCCACAGACCGGCGAGAGCTGTCGGTATACCCTCTTGGAAATTGATTAAGTCAGCCTAGCCCGCAATGTAATGATTCGACGGGTACTTCTTCCGGACGAGTGTAGCATGCCTTGATTATCCGTTAGTACATGCATACAGTTATGTAACTAGATCATATACGGTATAGTTGCATATGCAGTTTATAGGATTGATTGGGTTCCTAGTTACGTTGGGACCGAGACAATGAAATAGTTCGAGTTATCCCTGAAATAATTTAATTCCCCCTCTTCTTTTTTTCTCCTGCAGCTATAACTACTCCCATCACGCGCTAAATGCCGTGTAACAGTCGTACAACATATGTGTGTTAGTGTGCGGGGGGCTAAATGTTGAAGTATCCGGATCGTGTCTGTGGGAATTGACACTCTCTTGGGGTTTGGCTGCATCGACCTGCACGGGAGAATATTTCGCTCCGAGTTTCTCGTCGATTTGCACGCAAAACCAAGTATTTTTATGTATCAAGTCTGTGTGGACTTGACAGCTTGCATTTGAAGTTCCCACTCCTCCAATCGTCTATGTCCCCACACACATATCTACTCATTAATTCCCCTCTATTTTCAACCTCCACCTAAGTAAGTTCTCTATTCCGGACTAACTATGTTGTAAATACCTATTAATATATGCTATAAACACCAATCAAAATTAAATTACTCCGTAGCGATTGCCGGGTCGATGCCGGTGGACCTGTCACTCTTTGTCTTAGTCAATGCATACACTAGATCATGTCAGCGCTAGCCCTAACCACCCCCCTGTGCATTATCATGTATCCATCATGTCTGGCTTTCAAAGCCAACGCTAAATAACTGTGCATTGTGGTAGGCTCGCGCATTAGCCCGCCTTCAAGTATTCTGCTCGGTACTATTCGTCTATTATTCCCGCTCTTCTTTGGTGTTGCAGGATAAGAGATATTCGGCGCCATCTGCGCATTTTCGGACTTCGGAGCTAATCGGAATCTGATTGGTATCGTGAGCTGCAGGTTGGTAGACCCCAAGCAAGGTCCATGTCTTTGATCGTCGATGCTTACAGGTGGGAAAATAGCTGAAGAACTTCGTGCATGAGTCGGGATGTATGTATAGTAATTGTTGGCTGGAGAGTTCGGTCCACGGGGATGACTTAATGTCCGGGTAGTTGCCTAGGAGGTCGCTCTAATTGTGGCTATGTGGGAAGCACACGTTGTCTCATATCTTGGTCAGCTTGCATCATGGAGAGAAACAATCAAGCTCTATGATAAGGGGGAAAAGACTCCGTGAAAGGAAAAGGATGTCCAATGACTCGGGGGCGAAGCAGCTTAGCTGCATAAAAGAATCCGCTAATTGTGAAAAATTCAAATAAAAATTTAAGTGAACACAGTTTGTCCCTGTCTGAACTACGGAGTACATTAAACACAACAAATAGTGTTTCTAAGTATCCAGATAGTATAGACTCGAGTCGCCCACCTGGATTTTCCACTTCAAGACATTAACCTAATGATCGACGGGGTTCCACCGATCAGTGCCACTTTTTTTTCCTTTTTTGTTTCATAGGCCATGTCAGAAAAGGTTAAAGCCCGTTGGATTGATATTTCCGTCAAGCTTGGAGGTACAACATACGGAATATATACTTTGTAATAGGGGAAATAATTTAGCCCAGTGCACGCCTTGATGCCACTGCCAAGGTCAGGCGGTTTCACATCCGGGGTTCTGATAGAATTCCGACGGGGACTGACAGTACGGTAAGAAAGTATTATAGCACGTAATACAAGATATGTGTGGTAATAGCCCGACATTCTGGATTATTTCCTCTGGGACTAGCCATATGTGTCCAAGATACTGGAATTCCCGGGGAATGAGGGGATATCACTCGGTCTGGTCCATGCAAGATCATGGAAAGGTGCAAACCCCCTTGGCAATCTTACTACTCCGTATATGCTAGGATGATTGAGTTCGTATTCAACGGCCATACGGAGTTCTTTTCCTAAAACCCCAGAAGATGGCCATAGCGGAGATTTGAAGATTATGACCGTCTACTTTCCGTAGATTGTTTAATATTGTCGTAGCATACACCGTACTCCGTACAATATAAGTTGATGTACATCACACTCACTATTGGCAGCCTAGTGCAGACTCCACTGGGTCGCCAGAAATGCACGTATTATGATACGTGGATTTCAATGATAGCCTATTAATTGAGTATAATAACGGAATAATCAAATAATCGAAGAATAAATCTAAGAATAAAAACCAAAAAAAGGAGTATAAAAAGTACAAAATGATCTGCGGTCACGGGGGATTCCCGAGCTTCTTCCTCTTTACTCTTTTTTCCCCCACTCCAACACCTCCAGAGCTGTCAAATTCAAAAAGAATATCAGATCAGAAAATGGGATGGTCCACAATAGGGCTTGTCAATACCATCCTCTTGTTTAAAACTCTATCTTGGGTTCAAACTTCTTTCCTCTTCTGAAGATCATGCATCTAGCTATCACATACATCTCTCACCGCTTACCGAGCCGGTGATATGATCTGAAATGGCGTCAAGAAAGAAACAACCATCTAAGAAGAAGGATGGCATCCATTTTGTCAATGCCAGACCTTCCTCTGAGATTGAACGATTGAAAGCCCAGCGTTTGGTGCGTGCACATGTCGGACGCTGGATTTCAGATCAAACAAAGGATCGATCCGCTGGCGAATCATCCAATCCACGCGCCCGGCCCGTCCGCAACGCTGTTCCCCCTTTACCCATCATTGACCGCGCTGGTCCAGGTCCCTCCTCTTTTAGCATCGTCTCGCGCCCCTCAAGTTCCCATCGTGTGGGCAACCTCGGCCAAAGCTTCGTCTTTGCGCACGACTCCCGCTCCAACCAGGCTGCATACCGAGGCTTGCCATTCCCGCCGTCGCAGGCCAGCGATAGCAGTGATAGCAGTAGCAGCGACGATGCGAGTACTGTGACTGCGTTATCTTCGGAGGCCCTCGCTGTCATCCGGTTCAATGATCGCTCTTCTCCCGAGCGGCTTGAACGCAACCTCTCTGGAGTCTTTGACCCGTTCGCCACATACCCCGCCCCGAGGAATTTCGAGCCAGAGATGATCAATCTGTCAGAGCGCTATCTCACAGGTGTTGTGTGGCCAGGACTCGCGCCGCGGCCACAGAATATCATAGCTGCGGCTAATAAGTGGTTCGATCTGTCCATGACGGATCCGGCTTTGTTTACAGCATTCATGTTTGGTTCGTTGTGTCACCTCCGTGTACAATGGCAGAATAACTGGGTGCCGGGTACGGTATTTGGTCCAAGGGAACGTCGTGCACTGCAGCTGTGTGAAATGGAATCGATCAAGCTGATCAATCAGGCTATTCGCGACCCCGATCGCGTGGTCAGCGATGCTGTTCTCCTCAGTGTTATTTGCATGGCTCATCATCAGGCAGAGGAGAAATCGGTACAACAGCACCGCAGAACACCATTTAATCCGCCTTTTCCGCGACTACAATGGATCGATGTCTACGGGTGTCTGCCACCGAATATGGTCCATATCAAAGGATTGTTGCAATTGATCAAAATGCGAGGCGGCTTGGCAAATATCCACACAGAGGGCCTAGCCGCGACGATTTCCTTGTATGTCTCGGGTCTTTTATGTTTCATATTGACTGCTCGTACTGACCACCCACAGCTCGGATATCATGAGCTGCAGCGTCCTTTGCATCCACCCATGTTTTGAGTTCTGGCCCCTCGCCGATTTCCGAATAGGCTTGTCCATTCAAGAGCTGCTCGGCTTCGGGCCATCAGACGTCGACCAGGGATTCGGCCGTTTGCAGGCAGTTGGCGCTACTCGCGAAATGGCAGAAGCTTTCCAAGCAGCGCATACCTATATCGGGATTATCAAAGCGAGCCCAAATTCCACCCATGATGTCTCTTTGCTTGTCGACCAGCGCAACATAACCCAACATACTCTCCTCTGTCTCTCTCCAGCCACAGACCTCCTCTTCTCCAATCCCACGCACGCCGCCACCTACGAAGCCTGTCGTCTGGCGGCACTAGTCTTCGGCGTCGGCGTCCTCTTCCCGATCCCCGCACAGAATACCCCCCTTAATGGTCTGGCCCGCCTTATCCAAGTGATCCTCCTCGAACAATCCTCCACAGACCTGTGGATTTCCCAATCTACGCGTATCCCTCTTCTCTGGGTCTTGACTCTCGGCGGTATCGCAGCAAACAATACCCCCATGCGCACCTGGTTCGCCACTGCTCTGGGAGATATAGCCCGCAGGGCTGGATTAAATTCTTGGGCCATTATCAAATCCGTCCTCGGATCCATGTTATGGTACGACACTTCCTGTGATACTGCTGCGGAGGCTCTCTGGCAGGAGAGCGCTAGCAGGTATAGCTATGCCATCCAGTGAGCAGCCCCAAGTTCAGTATTGGGAAATTCTCCGAACCTCGAGAAGCGCGAATCACCCGCTTCCTCTTCAGATCTGCTGTCAGCTGCAATGACTCAATCCAGCTTCCCTATCTCCCACCCTACCTACCACCGTCCCTCCTATCTCTTTTTCACTATCGTTGTCATCCTCGGTTTTCTTTGAAATAGACATATCGAAAAAATATTGGGCTTTCTTTCTGTGGGATACATACCATCACAATCACCAGCGACATGCTGAAACTTGGACACGGGGCATACATAGATATACCTGTCGGTGCTTTTGGCCACATCCAATATCGGGTTTGGATAAAACCTGCCTAAACTCGCCGTGCTGTGAAGCCCCCACACAACACTATCACCTGACCCCCGGGCATGAGGGATTACTCTTTCTTCCTTCTTTGGATTGCACTGGATATAAGGGATCTATTTTTAGGTCGGTATTTAGATTATACAATTCCCCGACATAGACTGTGGCTTTCTCACGCCTGGTTGTCGCGTTTGGATGTTGTGGGATACATCCGTATATAGTACCTCTCTGTTTAGGTCAGAACCATTAGAGACACAATACATAACGTTCCAATGTTCTCATCTTTAGATTTGTAGCGAGGGATATTCTAGTCTTCCTTTCATCTTTCTCTATGGAAATCGCTGGGATTTCCCCGAATATCCTTATCTCCTATCCACACACACTAGATACATGTAGGCAACCCAACGTCCAATCGCATTTATATCCATGTTCATGTTCATTCTTATATACTTATGTAAAAAAAAAGTCACAAGTTAAACATACTCCCTACATCACCTCAACCCCATAATCTCAAACCCCATACCCTCTCCCGGGTTCTCCATTCCTCAACAACGGCTCCCTCTCCCTAACATCTTGACCCTGATCACCCTGACCCTTCCTCTTAACCTCCAAAATACCCGTCTGATAAGCAACAAACCCAACGAGTCCAGCCCCAACGCCAGCAACCAACACCGTAAGCCCAACATTAACAGGAACAGGATCCCCCCTCCAAACCCTCAAGGTAAGCGCATCAAGTCCCGCCTGCGCAAAATTCCCAACACCAGCAAGACAAATAATAAGCCCGTACACCTTCCCAAACGTCGCAAACCCGAACACCTTAGCCGCGTAGTCTGATACAGCAGTGTAATAGAACGGTCGGTACAACACAAACAGAATGATATTCCCGTATGCTGCGATCGGGTGCGGTATACAGCCCAGCACACCGATGGTAGTTGCCAACACCACCAGGATGAATAGCACAGTGCGTGTCTGGAATATGTCCAGGAATGTGCCGATGAACGGGACAGAGACGAGTCCGCCGATTGGGAGGAGGATGTCGAATGTGGTGTTTATTTGTGCTGCTGTCTCGGCGGAGAGAAGGTAGGTGTATTGTGAGCGCAGAGTTGCGACAAAGTAGTTTATTCGTAGCATCATTAGAACAGTGAAGGCTGTTATTAGTACGAACCATGGTGTGCGTAGTTGGTACAGTGCACTGTGGCCGTGGAGTACGCCCCAGATTCCGCCTGCGATGGGGTTGGGGTTGGGGGTGGTTGGTTGTAGTTGTTCTTGTTGCGTGTGGGAACGGGGTGTTGCAGTGCCGTGGGTTCCTCTAGTAGTGGTATGTACGTCGAGCGAGGCGTCGATATTGGTTTGGAAGATGGCGTCGTTGATGGGATTTCCGGATATCACAGACGCTGTCCCATCGTCTAGTAGATTTTGTATGTTGCTGACGATGCTTTGGCGACGGAGTCGTCTATTCATACGCTGGCGCTCGCTCTCGTTGCGGTCGTTGACGGTCTCGTCTATGCGATCGTGTATCTCGTCTGCGACCTGCGCTGCGGCTTGTTGCACGAGCTCGCCGGCGGTTTTGTAAGATGTTGTAGGCATTATGAAGATCTGTGCTGCGATGATAAATACCGGTACGATGAGGTATGCCGCAAAGAAATTGTTGATTGATACAAGGCCCTGAGTGTGTTCGCTTAAAAGCCTGAAAATCAGGAATAGAGCACTCGAGGCATCGAAGGCGCCTGTCAGCATTGATAAGATCAGGCCTGATCGTGCGGGGAATGTGTTCGATAGATGGAAGGATGGAATGAATACGAATGGGCCGCCCAGTGCTAGGAATAAGTAGCCTGGGATGTATCCATCGAATGGAAGCTTGTTGGCTGTCCCGAAGAGCACTGCTCCTATGGCGAGGCAGATACTGCCGATGATTCCACTAACTCGTGGTCCATATGCGTCTAGGATGGTTCCTACAGGTAGGGCTGAGACATTTGTTACTACAGCGGCGATGGTAAACATCAGGTTTAGCCTGTTACGTGTAAGTAAGAGAGGTCTTGAACAAAGATTAAAACATACCGTATCTCTTGCCCATAGCAGACATCGACATCTTCCTCAAGCTCCGCCTGGGAGCAGAGGTTGCGATATACTTTCTCTCGAATAAGGATGGGCTTGAGAGCCGCAAAGCCAAAGACAACTCCGGCAGCCAGAAAGCAGTATACAACGGCCGTGAAAACCTGGGCTTTTACATGTTAGCATATCTCTGTATGTTAAAAGATGCATAATGCGAGTCCCATCCACCTACCAATCCTCTTAGCTGAGCTTACTTCATAAGCACCAGTAGTATCCGCCCAGGGCGTCCGAGCAACGATCGTCCCTGGATCCTCGTGCACAGTCCGCTCCGCAGATCCTAGCCCCTGTGCTGAATATGAACCCGCACGTCCTTCACGGGTACTCGTCGGTGAGAGTCCTAGAAACGAGGGCCCAAGAAACGAGATTCGATCGTCGTGTGGATCCTCTGGACTCTCATTCCAGCCTGGCCCCGCATAGGGGTTGAAATTCAGTCTGCTGTATGTGGAGGGAAATGAAGATGACACGGATCCTTCAGGCAGATCTTGGTAAGAGTCCGGTTCCGAATCCTCCGATTCGGGGTGACTGAGAAAGGCTGCGGGGTTGCGCTCCCATCCCTCAAGGAAGGAGATACGGTTCAAAGACATGATTATGGCATTACAATTTGGAGATCAGGAAGTGAGTTTCACAATAGTAATAAGTAGAGTAGCTGTGTAATTCGAAGCTCTCCAGGAGCTACGAGGCTAGCAAGGAGCTCCCAAGATAAGAAAGTTGGAAGTTGGAAGAGCTTCTCGATAACGAGGTATTCATGCCTTATATCTAAGGCTTATAAGGCTCATAAGGCATCAATTTCAGGCCTCACACACCCCCGTAGTCTCTCTCCCGCTTTCCTTTTCTCTCTCTGTCTTGTCCTCTCCCTCTCCCCACAATTCATTCTTCTTTTCCTTCTTCACCATCGATTGAAACTTCTTTGCTGATGAAATGATGAATAATCCATTCGGTTTTTCTTTCCCCCGGAGCATTTGACCTAAACAGGCAGCTGATAACGAAAAAGTAAACCCCACATATCCAGATGCAAATCACCATTTGTTTAGTATTTGGACGTGCCGGATTTAACTTTATAACTTCGGGACTGGTCTCGCCTCCTCGGCATCGTACAGAGTATACACTTCGGGGAAGTACCAAGATCGACAGGGTTCGACTAGTCCGGAGTACTCCGTACTTTCACTTTCTTTCCACGGGTTTGGGTGGTTATTGAAATGAAAACAAATCTCATTGTCATCGGCAAAAGCTGACCCACAAAAACCAGGATTTATCAAGCCAATCCGGGTATACTACTCCGTATTTCCGGTACAATTGTCATGGGCAAATAATACAGTAAAGTCCCCCCCGTGAAAGATCTATCTTCGCCACCATACGGTTAGGGGACCGAGCAACTATTTTTTTTTTCCCGCGGGTTCCTGAACCAGGCCCGGTGAGACCAACCGGCAAATGAAAAGTCCAATACCCGAATCACTTCAACGCTAATTTCGTTCCTTAATTTCGTTCCGAAGCTTGTCGAACGCCTTTCACGTCTTTTTTAAGTTGCGCTGACAAACTTGACGGATGTATACACCAATTTATGTCAACGCTCCGGGTTCGAATGGAGACCATCCCGTTCCCAGTTTCATGTTATTGGCCGATATCTTCTGAACCAGGAAGAGATGCTCCTTAAAATATACACCCCTTAACGTTGCAATGATAATTGAAGGCTATAACAAAAGAGGAAAAGGAAAAAAAAAAAGGGGCTTCTCGGCCATGATACTACAATAAACTCACTTGGCACCCGCCCATCGGCCAAGTTCAATGCCGAGAACCCGATCCAAGCCGGAACATCCATGGATGACATGTCCCAAGATCTTTTCTGGTTGGGAACAACCTCAGAACCTTTGGATCAAACTTAGTCTGATACGTGGGGGAGCTATTCATCCAACCAGAACCAACAGAGGACTAGACTCCAGCATAGTGGAAATTGTTGGACCTTCTAGACTTGGCGTGTTGAGCTAGGGTACTGAACGTTTTCCAATTCGGGTTATCCTTATGAGATTTTGAGCTAATTTCCAGTACATTGGAAACCCGCTATTCTACATTCCAACCACTGTTAGCCCTGCTCTTCTCAAACTAATCTCCAACTAAACCCACGTACGGAGTAGCCGCTGGATATACCCCAAAAAAGATACGCAATGTGTTAGTGATCTGCCAATTTATTCGATCCCACCCCATCTCCGTTTTTGTATGGGCGTTTGTTCTCCAATGATACATCGCCATCGATGAGTTTAATAGTCGCACTGGGTGACTTACCTTCTTTATATATCTAAATTCTCTGCCTGGCATTCTAAATATGCTTTCTGGAAGGTTTCCTTGTTTGCGATTGTACTTTTGACTGCGTAATGAGGGGATGGTTAGTTTTTTGTTTTTTTTGAACAACTTCGCTTCATATCTTCGACCTCGACTAATTCGCCTTTTTCAGCCTCACATGTCGTCTGCGCCATCTGAAATGTAAGATGATTCTACTTACTCCGTACAAGCTCTTCCTTCGGCGACTAACAAAACTAGGTGATAAATCCGGCTCGAAATGTCTCCGCTGTCAACGCTCTGGCCGCGAATGTGTGCCGGCTCCCGGCAAATCTGAAGAGGTCTCTTTCCGACATGGCCAGAACCCATCCCTGCGAGGAAAGGGACCCCCGAGATATGGCGAAAGTGATCTTGCTTTCCCGGACGACCAGGTCTGGGTTGAGACGTCTTCCGACTGTACGTGAAACGGTCGTGCTCATTGCTTATTGATATACTAATTTCTTGTAGTCGACTTCAAGGATGAAACAGATCAGACGGCAGCTGAATACTATGTGATACCTGTAACAAGGCAGGTGTCAACTTCAAGGTCGTCGTCTGAACATTCGACACCTCCATCAACGATGGATTCTTCTATGGCAACTCCAAACCTCGTCGTTCCTGCTTACGCCGCAGGATCTCAATTGGGTTCACGATCGAATTCTGTAAATTCCCCACGTGCACCTAACACGCCCATTGGACAGCCGAGGCTATCAAATGTCACCGAAGCCTTTCTGTTGCGGCATTTTCAAAAGTACCTAGCGCCGTGGGTAAGTTGACCCTTTTACTAAATTCCCCACCATCCAACTAACAACCCAGCTCGACGCTTTCAACCCTGAACGACACTTCTCAACAGATGTCATCGAGCGCGCGACTCAATCTCCATTATTATTGTATGCATGTCTAGCAGTTTCAGCATGTCACCTATCCCGAACAACAAACTCTATCGCCGGCAACGTCGCGCACGGATACCATGAGCGCTGTATCTCAATCATGCTCCCGGTTCTCGACAAGCCCGAGTTTGAAATCGGAATCGATATCCTTCTCTCATCAACTGTCATTCTACGATTTTTCGAATCAATTTCCTGTGCGTGGATTACCAATCATTATCTTCAACGCAAAAGAATTACCATCGGCTAATCCACCAAACAGCCCATAGTCCCCCAAACGACCAACAACACCATCTCCTGGCCGGTTCAGTGTATATCAGCTCCCACGTGGACTCCGCTATCTCCGGCGGACTAGCATCGGCTTCCTTCTGGGCCTACGTCATTCAAGACATTCAATTCGCGCTCACCTACCAGAAGTGCCTTCGGCTGACATTCGCCCCGTTCGATGACCGCCTACGACAATGGTGGGCAGCCAAACCTGCCCTCAACGATGGAGACTGGACAAACCGGGCTATATGGCTATTAGCTGAGACTATCGATTTCTGTTATAATATCTCCGGTCGAAGCCATGATGGTAGACTCGGAAGTCCCGGGGAGACTGCTCTCCGACATCGCATTCTTGAGTGGGAGCTTAGCCGACCTGATACGTTTGTGCCGTTGCATGTTTCGCCGCCGGATCCAGGGAGTGGGAAACCATTTCCTGTTGCTTGGTATACGAGTTTGTGGCATGGTACGTGATATACTCTTGTGTGTGTGGATGATATGCTAATTTTGGGTCTAGCAACTGCGATTCAACACATCTGTCTCACTAAATCGCTGATGCTCATTCGTGAACTCGAGTTTTATGATCGCAGCATGTTGAATTTAGAGCAGCCTGTCAAATTAAGGGTCCGTTCCTTTTCTCCGAGACTCGCCATTCCATACTGACTCACCACGACAGAGTGATCTTGCCGAAACGCTTAATTTCATGTTCGGAATCGCCATATCTGCCGACGACGACCCTTCGCTGCGTATCACGGCTTGCCATGCTCTTTTTGCTTGTAGGTTTCGTTCGAATCTGAAACTTGAGAGTCTACTAATATCAATCTAGGCGGCTCATGGGTCGAAGACCATGTTGTACAGGGTCTGCTGATTGATCTCCTCCGCCGAACGGAAAGGGAAAACGGCTGGCCGTGGGGATATGTGCACAACCAAGTTGTGCAAGCGTGGAGGCCGATGTAGTTTTATACCCAGTTTATTTGCATATACCATATAGACCAATTAGAATGGCCCTTCTTGGGCGCCGATCGTGCTGTGAGGCTCAGGCAGCTCCACATATCTGATCATACTACATCTATGTTTACTTTGGGAGGTATCGGCCACACAAGCTTTATACTAATTATAACAATTTCTAATGCTTTGGATTACCTTTCCTTATATCGATATAATTAAGCAGACTATAGTAGATGGTAGTAATTATACAGGGTTTAATAAATCCTATAAGCTGGTTGGGTCTAGTCCTGGACTAACAATATAGAGGTAATCCTTGGGTGCAGTTGAAGTACAGCAATAGTCTATTTCTTTCTTTAGCTCTATATCCGACTGCGGATATTCTGATACAACCAATCTCTCCACTCCTGATCATTCAAGATTGATCTTACACGGGCCTCAAGCCACTCCGTATTTCCCCAAAATCCCCATGAAGCCTGGAATCTACACCAGTCAACTAAGGCCGTCTCCCAGTGTCGTTTAAACGCCCCCCATTCGTATAGCTCCGATTCCTCCAATTCCTCATCCTGGAGGAGACTCATGCGGTACCGCTCCAGCAGTCCCCTCTCACCATCACACATCGACAGCTCCTCGGACAAATCCCCATTCCCATCAACCAGCATATGCAGTGGGACCGAGCATGTAAACAATTTGGCGAGGTCACAGACTCCTAGTCCGAGTCCGACGTACTGGAAATCATAGAATGCCACCTTTTCTCCGTTACTCGTCGTGAAGAGGTTTTCCGACTTGACATCGCCATGGATATATGATTCAATCGCCCTTCCGCAGGGAGTTAAGAATAATGCAACCATCTCCGCCACGGAAAGTGCACACTGTTCCGAAACCTTACACAGGGCATCTGACCACTCCGAGTCTGTGTCCTGCGCAAGAGATGCGTACTCTGTACCTCGTGTCGCGAGATAAGTATATCCCCCATTCAGCCACAGCCCACTGCCAGCATCCTTGTTTGCACTCTGTCTTCTACTGCTTTCTTCAAGCGGCGGCAGAACATATCCGTCAAGACTAGCTGGCAGCAGTCCCCGTGAGCGACTATGGAAACCAGCTAACCAGTCCAGTGCCGCCCGCACCTGCGTGCGATTCAATGCACCTCTCTTCTCGCCCGCGACAGGGAATCCAGGACGCAGATCGACCATAATCGTAGCCATGAGACCACTAAGCTCCGACGAGCCTTCCATGTCGTCCATGTCGCGCGTCGAGGCAACGCATTTGGCTATGGCTATGTCGTCACCCAGCTGCGGGACTACCTCGCTATAGAAGTACTGTTCTACCTCGTAGCTCAGCATCTTTCGTAGGTGGCCCTCGTCAGCGGTGTTGCCGCTTTTTCGGGGCGGTGAGATGAGTTTCAGGATGAGCGGGTAGGTCGTCCCCGCAACGCCTGGTTCTACCCCGCAGAGCTTGCTAAGATGTTCGGCTGCTTGGGAGGTCGTGGCTCGCGCTTTGATAGCGCATATTTGGCCGTATCCAGCCCATAGGGTCTGTAGCTTGGTGCATGAGATGAGGTCGAGCGAGTGCCATGAGAGCATGATGCTAGCGACGCGGTTGGGGTCATGTGGGGTCATTTTGACTGGAAGCAGGTCAAATTAATGACTCAGGCCGCGTGAATTATATGTTTTTCATTGATATTATGGCGTTTATTTTCGACGTGAGATGTATAGTGGATCTGGATTTCGAAGCTGTTCAGATTGTAGCTACGGAGGTGCGGAGAATGGAATTATCCGAGACGATCTTATAGATTGCAATGAGATGAGATGTGAACAGAAGTTTATAGGAGTTGGTATACGGTTATTTCTCTTTTTATATAAAATTGGAAAAGGTTGATGTTGACATGTGACATGTGACATGTGACATGGGAGCCTCAGGGAAGGTGCGTTGTCCATTTTGGGAAAGTACGTGGGATGTGACAATATAAAAGGACCCCTCCCACCTTTCTTCCTCTTCTCTTCTTCTTCTCTCCTCTCATCCCCAGCCCTCTCGACCACCATCTCACCGTAGCCCCCATGAGACAGCGTTGGGGGAGGGTCCCGTAGCACATGGGTGCCCCATGCATGAAGACATCAACATGACCAAGTTGTTGAGGCCCATGCAGTTCGGCACCCAAATCAAACGGGGCTTTCTCGTGCGAGTTTTTTGACGAGTGACTGAGCTTTTGGGGTTCCATAGTCACTCGGCGAGTCTCACGGAATACATTGGGGGTGTTTGATCATACCCTCTTTCATTGTAGAACTAGTCATCTCTATATTCAGTACGTCATATCACTAGAAATAGTAATTACCATTATATCGTTCACTCAACTAAGTAGTGTACCTAGGTAGATGTAAATACTATCCCCAAACATCCTCCTGCCACTTATTCTTCTTCTTGATTGTCTTGCTCCAACCATTCACCTCATCATCAGTCCACCCTTTAGCCTCCTTCATACTCCGCCCAACAGACTTCTCAACTTCACGAGCCATACCAGCTCTTCCACAGACATAGAGATTACCACCATCATCAATAACTCGAATCACATCCTCTCCGAACTCGGCAACCCGGTCCTGCACATACTGACGAGGCGTTCCATCCAATCGAGAGAAAGCAGTGACAATACGCAACCGATCCCCCAACACGGCTTGCATTTCTTCCAATTCTTCCCGATAGATGTAATCTTCATTCGGGTTCCGACATCCAAAGAAGAGAATCATTTCACCCACTTCCTTGCCGATCTTCAGAAGTTGACACCGCTCAGATAAGAATGCGCGGAAGGGCGCGATCCCCGTTCCTGCAGCCACCATCACCAATGGCGTCTTGCCCAGAGCTGGGAGTTTGAATTTGCTTCGGCGGAGATGAGCAAAGACCTTTCCGCCTTCGAGAGCACCACTAGGGCCGTTGAGGTGGTAGGTGATTCCATTGGTGTGGGATTGGGAGCGGGCTTGCTGGGAGATAGCGAGAAGGTAATTAGATGTGACGCCGTGGATGAGCTCGCTGGGATTGTCCGGGAGGGGAGTCGTTGATACGATGGCTGTGATGGAAGGTTTACGAGGCGAGACCACGCTGCTGGATGAGATGGAATAGAACCGGGGTCGGACGTGAGGTAGTGTTTCGATAAGGTATGAGAGTGGGAGATTATCCCAAGGTCTATCAGGGTATGCCAGTTGTAACAATCGGCCGAGGTTGATGTATGTGTGACCGATTAATCTGGCATATGCATCCTTGTCTTGGCCAAGCGCGAGAAGATATGCCTTTGCTTCTGGTGTGGGTGCAAACTGTGCCAGGTCGCGGACAGTATCGCGGTTGACGGGTGCGCAGATCTCGAGGTAGTAACGGAAAATGGCAATGGAGCTGGTTGGGGTTGGGATCATGATTTTGGTTGCAGAGTCGAGTGCCTTGATACCAAGTGGACTATCGCGGCGCGAGGAGATTCCGAGAACATTCAATAGGCGTTCAACTTCAAAATCCGGGTTACTGGGCCAGATAGCAAGGTGGTCGCCGGTCTTGTAGCTCAGCTCTGGTTGGCTGGTTAGGTCTATGTCCATGTGAAGACAGTGGCGGTTGGGCGAGGTGAAGAGCTCTCTAGAGTCCGAAATGCTCAAAGTACGGACGGCTGAGGATAGAGCCGCTACCTTGGGGGCTTCAACACGGTTGTTGGGCTCACCATGATGCAGATCGATAGGCTCAAGAGATTCATCTTCCTCGACCTTTATACTTGGGATATATTTGGCTTCGGCCTCTTGGAATCCCAACTTATCTTTGAAGATTGTGAAAAGATCCTCTTTCCATGACATAAAGTCTTCCTCGGTTGTGCCCTCTGCATCATTTGCCTTTCCAACAGGAAGAAGAGCCTGAGCGCCGAAGTTGTCCAGGCCTTCCACTACAACATCGACAACTCGGTTGTAGAACTTGTAGTTGCTGTTTCCCAAACCGAAGGCAGCATATCGCAAGTTGGATAGCGAGACGTCGCTGGCTTTAGAGATCCAGCTCCAAAGTTCCGTTGTATTGTCGCTGGGGTCTCCTTCGCCGTATGTGGAAACAATAAAAACAGCCAACTTGGCGTTGGGAATTTCACCGATTGTGATCGGGTCATATTCTGATAGGTCGGCCGTCATGGCTTCCTGACCCCAGCGGATGGAGATTTCCCTAGCAAGACGGTGGGCAAAACCTTCAGCCGTGCCGGACTGAGATCCCCAGAATACCACAATATTCTTGCTAGTCTCTTCCAACTTCTGTGCGATGTTGCGTGTCTCCTTTTCGGCTGCGCCAGACTGTCCACCATTCTTTAGCTGAGGTTGTTCGAACCAGAGATGGTGCAATGGGTCTGGTTTGTCCCATAGCCGTCCCTTTGTGAGGTATGTGGCTCCAATTCCACTTAGCACAGCTAGGGCGGCATAATCGGCAAATCCGGTTGGTGTAGCATATTTTGAGAGCTCTTGCAAGAGCTCTGGTGGGATATTGAGTGTGAAGGATGCCATTGTGCTGGAAATACAATTGATGCATAGAGGGGACAACCGGTTTTAAAGTAGACGTACTAAGCACCAAGTCAAGGAACACTCGGGGGAACCATGGCTATGAAATAGGTTTCCGTATGAAACCTTCAACCACTCAGATTCTATCGAGAACGACACTGTCCACTTACATGGAACACGGGCAAAATTGCACATCTTGGATCTAGGTGAAGATATATTGATGATATTGGGCTATATTCGACGCAACTAGTCATGAGAGGGTCTACTTAGATGGCCGATCCAATAGATGACGAGGAATCCCTGCATATTTCCCCAAACATGTAACATGGGGAGGATATAAATCGCGGGGTCTGTATGAACATCACCCGAATACGAATGTCCCGAAGTGGAAATGTTGCCCGGGGATCTACCTCAACTGGGGGCGGGGATTATCTCCTTTCTCATCACCGGTCAATTTGTCAAATTGTCAGTAAGATCAGGTTTATCGTGCGAAAAGGATATCTCAAAGTGAATTGACTATTTTACTTCCAAGGTTAACATTTGTGCACGAGGATTGGCCACATCAGAGTGCAGATTACGTTTAGTTAGGACGTTGAAATTCTCTGTTGTGTCATTTGAGTTAGAGAATTGTATGTCACTAATTAATATTAGTATCTTATAGTACCAACCTACCAGCTATACAGGTTTGAAGTCCGTAAGTAAGACCCCATATTGTTCCAGATCACATCTCAATGAAGGACCCCGGACAGAGGGCTCCGGTATCCATGAATACACACATGAGCCCTTCACTAGCCAGAAATCAGCAACGTCCCCTGTAACCAATATATCTTGTACTACCCCGTGAGCGCTAGCCTGTTATGTATCGCCAACTCTAGTCACTGTGAGCTGAGCGTCTGTGTAGAATCCTGCGTGCTAGACCTTATACCCGTGGACGGGACCCTACAAAAACTCCTTCGTCCCTCATCATAACGGAAATTTATTCAGAAAAGATCGTTTAGTAAAAAAACATTATAATGAAGAATACCATGATATCTCTATGCTTCACCTGCCCCCAAATCCCGACGCCAAATCTTCACCGGCATATCACCCAAAATCAAATTCATCGTCTCCAATCGCTTCAATTCCCAACCAGGATGAGGCAGAGCAAACTCATACCGATGTACCATAGAAGCAACAGCCTTAGTCTGCTCCAGATAAGAGATATTGCGACCAATACAAGACCGAGCACCAGCAGAGAAGGCAATCAAATACGGCTGCAACGCCTTACCTCCTTCTCCAAGCCATCTCTCAGGAATGTACTGGTCCGCATTGGGGAACACACTCTCATCACGGTGTGCTACCAGAGCAGACATGCTCACTGTTGTGTTACCAGCAACCCATTCCCCGAGAATATTCGTGCCTTCGGGGGGTGTTTCACGCGGAAGACCGTGCGATGTTGGCGGGAAGATTCGGAGGGATTCATCTAAGCATGCTCGGAGATACGGTAGATGCTTGACTTTGTCGTAATCGGCCACTACCTCGTCTTCGTCCAGAATCGCGTCAAGCTCCACTCGGAGCTTGGATAATGTTCGAGGGTTGCGGAGTAGCTGGTACATGACGTTGGCGATGGCAACAGCCGTCGTCACACTGCCGGCGTTCATCATGATGTTGCACTCGGCAACAATCTCGCCCCATTCGAGGTTGTTGGAGTTTCCATTCTTGTCTTCCATCATAGCCTGGAAGAAGTCCTCGAGCTTCTCGCCGGCTTCATACCGTCGTAGCCTTTCATTGCCCCGCCGCCACATGATGTTTTCCCAGTTATCGGCGGATTTTTGCATTCGATTAAAGAATGGAATGATATTGACGAGTTTGTTGACAACGGGATACCATTGATAGTTCCAGACGATGAGGGATTGCTTTCGAGCAGTGGGGTAGAGGGCTTCGCGCAAGTTGGTCTCATAAGTAGATCCATCTTTCCTTTCGGCAATACAAACATCAGTACCGGAATCCAAGAAGCCCAGCTTCTCCGAGAGGCCAATGTCGGCGATGGCATCGAGGGTGAAGAAGTTGGTCCAGGCTCGGAGGTCAAGCGTGAGGTCTTTCTGGTCGGGTGCGATTTTTCCAGAGGACACATCTGCAGAGGCGGGCGTAGTGCAGACTTGATCAAAATGCTTGAACATTCTTTGGACCTTGTCAGTCACTTTGTATTCCCACGTCTCCAGATTCTTGAGGGCATATGCGGCAGAGAGGACCTTGCGCTTTCGGGCATGATCGGGCTTATCCACTACATCTGCTAGATTGTAGTGGGTTCCAGAGGTAATCACATAAGAGGTATCCTTGATACACTTGGTGCTGTGGCCGTAGATGTCCTTGATGGCCTTGACATCACCATATGACAGCTGATTCGGTCCTGTCCGGATGACGGGATTCTTCTTGTGCAACTCGCTCAATTCCATTGACCGGAAACCCCGTGAAGCCATGATCATGAATGGAATTGCTGAAAATCCGGAAAATGGTGTCAGATTTGGGTACCTCCTTAGGCCTGGATGAATCGGTTAGCAGGTGCTTTGACATGTTCAACCAGAGCATTGAACGAGTTTCTTGGCAAATACCTTTTGGATCCCGAACATATTCAATATAAGGGAGGACGAGAAAATAAGCAAGAAGAAACAAGCCTACCCCAGCTGCATAAGGTGCAGCTGAGATGGCTGTCAAGATAGTGATCATGACGGGTAGCAGATGATAGGCGGTTGAACTGGAACTATAGACTGTACAAAGCAGTGGAATTCCACGTCTTGAAGCAACAAGTCCTTGTTCGAATTGGCTTGTCTCTAACGAAAGAAATTTGTGGAATTTGGAATGCTTAAGGTATTCGTATTGCAGGATGGTGGTTTAAATATCATTCTACCATGTGTCTTCGTGCCCTCCATCTCTCCAGCACAATGGACACATTCCTCTGGTTCCCCATATTGTCATACTCAAAGTTCGAAGGGAATATCCAAGCATCCAATAATCAATCTTATCTCGTGGGTTGGGCCTGTTGAGTTTACCTGTGCAGGGACGGGGTAAGTTTCCCCCTCGAAATCTCCCGAAATCGGGAAACAATCCCCGGAAATGCGGGGGTGTGGGGGGAGTCCATGCTGATCGAGATGATACATCATACATCAGACATATCAAACATAGGCGCGTAGATTTGAGCTATATGCCTGGACTATACTATGTAGTAGTAGCAAGCTGTCTGCTTAGTATTGTACTGGCGATTATTTGACATCCATTATACCAGGGCCATGTGATAGTGACACCGGAATGCGACAAGGCATTCCGAGTGCTCTGTTCTTCGATAATAAATTCGGCGAGATGAGTGAAGTTGGTATGCATTTGAAATAGCAACGGGTATAATATAGCAATAGAGGAGAGTACAAAAACATCCACCTAGACCCCCAAGCCAGACTAAAAGAATCCAAAATTCCCATCAAAAGAAAGCGGGAATGTAATCAATCCATCATCCATCATATCCCCTAACTTAAACCAAGGATCACCGAAATTCGGGTCCATACCTACCTCAGGTGCCATTCCCATCGGAGGAGCAAGCTGCATCCCAGCCACAGTGGACATATCCGGGTATCCCTGGGTTTGGGCGCTCGACGGTAGATCTGGGTAGCTCTGTGTGAGTCCAGTGGATGGATAAGATTGGTAGTAACCCCTCGTCTCGAGCGGGTTCGAGTCCGAGCTCGAGAGATTGGTTGGGTATGATGCCCCAGATGACCAGCTGGTTTGGGGTGCCTCTGGCCCGAAACTGGATGAGCTTGGTGTTGCCATTGGATTGACTGTTGAGCTTGCACTCTGGTTTGAGGAATAGGATTGTCCGGCTATTGCGCGTTGGGAGTTGGGAGTGTTTGCTCGGTGCGCTGGGTCGCCCATCGCTACTTCGCTGAGGAAATGTAGGGGTGTCATGCCCGGTGCTATCTGCGTTCTTGGATTGGAAGATGTCGCGGTCGGGGTATCATGGCTCCGACGTGTCTGCCGGCGGTCAGATGGGTTCTGATCATGTGAAAAGACCTCTTTCAATTCCCGGCCATGATCTCCCTGGTCGCGCTTTTTGATGAACCAATTGCGCAACAAAACCATTATGTTTCCAAATTTCGCTGCTCCGCGCCCACCATCACGCGCAGCGGCGGCACGGTAATGTGCTATGACTTTGTCCAGATAATAATCGAGTTTGAGACTCTGCACGTCGAGAATCTGTCCGATTCGACTGTCCGGCGACATGAACAGTGAGTATATTTTGATCAAGCTGACCACGGGGTATGTTGTACGTGCTAATGACGTAGTAGGCAAGCATATGAGTCGATCAACATCAATGGCGCAGATGATATCCAAACTCTCGTGAATGCAGCGGATGGCCGTGGTCAACGCATCGACGACCGCCGTAATTGATGACTTGTGCAAATCATCCTGAGGTGGGGAGTTGTTGCCAGTGTTGTAGTCTACACTCATTGCAGGTTCATGCACGAAAAGATTCAGGACATGCTCTGTGTGAACCATTGGCCCTAGGAGAATGTCAGCAGGAAATAAAAGACTATCCTCAAGACCAGCGCTTACCGAGGTAAAGATCCCGCGGGACCTCTTCTCTCCACTGTGCCAATCGATCCTCAAACAATTTTATATTATACCACGCCTTACTGTCGGCGAAGGTAGTAATGGACCCAGGATCTTCCGCACAAAAGCGATGTCCAGCATCTTCCATTATCGATCCCAGCTTTGCCCACCATTTCAAATTCCGGTCGGAGGGTAGGGCATCAGGGTGTGTTTCTAGAATCTCAAGGCACTCGTCCATATACGGCTGCCAGGTGACCAAGTGTGGTCTCCTCAAAGCCGCCGACATCCTGTCAAAGATCAGTTACCGAACCCCACGCCAGAACAACCTAGATTGAAACTCACTGAACAGGTAAGTAATAACAGCCAACCCAAGTCCGCCTTGCCTCCGGTCCATCTGGATCAAATGCCGGACCCGTCGGCTTTTTCATGATCAGCTCGCGGATCATATTGAAGCTCCGTCTACTTCCGGAAATGGGACGGTTCAATCCAAGTTCCATTGCCATAACCGCAGCCATGTGGGTCATGGAATAGAACTTAATCTCGTCGAAGTTATCTGGTGGCAGATACCAGATAGAACAGATCATTATAGTCTGAACCAGCTCAAGCGACTTTTGGCCTTTAACAACAACCTGCTCGGCGATCAGACGATATGTCTCATTCACAAGGATCGGCTGTGCATCGTGATTGAAAACACCAACGGCAGCGGCGATGATCGAAAGGAACAAATATGGTTTATTGCGCCGAACCTCGCCCATCGTAGTCCCCGGCGGGAAAACAACAAAAGGCATTTCTGGTGCCATTTGGTGGATATACCGCTCAAACGCCGAGCTAGCAGTTTTGTAATCTATAATCCCCCGATCGATCATATCAGCAAACTCATTCCCAGCCTCAGGTTTCGGCGGCGGCGGTGGCACAGAATCAGCACCAACAGGTCTACGCCAATGCCTCGACGAATGGCTAGGAATCTGCTCCGCAGACGGACTACCCGGCCGCGAATACCGCGGCGCCAGCAACCCACCAGAGCAATCCTTAACTTCGCCAGTATGCTCTCGCTTGCTCCCCGCTATCTTCGACTCCCCACCCAACCACCTCCGGCCAGCCAGCTGCTCATCCCGCTGCCCAGGCGGCGACGATTGATGCCCTGCTCCACCGGAGAACAGCGCACTAGTCGAATTCGAAGCCTGTAGAGTCGCCGTCAGAGCATCAATCTTCCGCTCCAACTCCGCCACCCGGCTGTCGGTCTTTTTCTGCCGCTTGCGCGTCGGCGCAGTCACAACACACGTCCGCCGCGCTTTCGCGCACCGCTTGCATGACCCTTCCGGGTGCGACGGGTCTGGGTCGCAGCGCACTTTCAGCTGTCGGCAGGGCTCGCACGCCCGCGACCGCTTGGCGTCGCCTGTGGCATCGTGCGGCTCGGGGGATTGATTGGCGTCTGGACCCATCCCAAATGACGGGTGCGTCTCCCCGTGTCCAACTCCGTGGCTGTGCCCATCACCATGTATGTCCCGGCTTTGATAGGGGTTTAGGGGTGCATGGGAGGGTGGCTCCGGGTATTCTGGGCCTGTGCTCATTGTCGGTCGGGTCGGCATGTAAAAGCGCCGTTGAGGGTCCCCGTCTCGGGTGTGTTGCAGCTGCGGGTCGATTTCCATCCAGTGCGGGGTTATAATACCAGTTCGGGGATCAGATCACTGTTACACATTAGCTTCAATTCTCAATTGGTGTAATTATTGGTTTTGCCATTGTTTCAATGTCGTGATCGCTGACGGCTCGCGTGGCTTTGCGATGCGATAAATACACGGAGGACGGTGATCATAAACACCGATCACCGATGTGGATGATCAACATGCCTCAGCGGGGTGGGTTCAATCAAGCAAGGGGAATGAATACATGTAGAAATAATGCTTACCTCTCTCTTTGAACACCACTTAGTTCTGTTTGAGTCGCTTGTCACTTTGGGGCCGGAAGTGAAGTGTAGTGCTTTTGATTTTTGACTAACATCTTAGGGGCCACGTGACCATAATCCAACCAGGCCATACACACCTCGGCAGATGATCTACGTCTACATCTGATTGATTTTAGTTCGAGAAGAGATTAGATTCGTTGATCATTAGATATCAATTCAGATCCATACGCTGAGCGGGGATATCAGAAACAAAATTCCCAGACGCCGTGAACCAAAAGGTAGAAAAAGAAAAAAAAAAAAAAAATAAGCAAAGCTAAGGTAACAAAAAAGATCTCTTTTAAAATTCACGCTAAATGGACGTGCACCTTATTAGGAAAGCTTGTGAACAGGGCACTCCATCTTTCTCTCAAACCAGTCAACAATGCAGTGCTTGTGGAACTTGCACAGGCACTCAAGCCGGGCCAGGGTCTGCCCAACCTCATAGTCCTCCATACAAATCGTGCACTCCGCTGCCTGGCCATCCTCGCCAAGGCAGTCCTTCTCCGTGGCCACAAATGGAAGCATGCGGGCTGCTGGTGGAGGATGTGGGAGCGGAGAACCCTGTTGCACGGATGATGTCCGGGATGGGGGAGTTGGTCTCAAATAGCCCTCGATGCACGCACGGGTGTGAGCTTGGCGCGCCTCAAGAGGCTGCTCAGGACTCAGTGGAAGAAATTGGCGTCTGCATACGGGGCAGAAATCACTCTCGTCCGGTGCAGGTCCGCGGGGCGGGTTGCCCTCGCGGCTGGAGAAAGAACGACGTGGTCGGGCTATACCAGTGGTAGAGGGAACTTGGCGAGTTTGCGCGTTCATTTCGTTTAAGAAGTGTGGGCGATCATTTGCACCCACGGTTCGTCGTTCCTGACGACCTTCGGAATTCTGGCTCGGGCCCTGCGCCTTTTCATGTCAGTTCATACTTTATTAGACAAAGTGATAGGGGAGAACTAACCGATGAGGAATGGTATGCGTTAGCCATGGTGGATGAAAGAGAATGAGTGGGTCGGTGGCCATGTACCCGCACAGTACTGTAACCAAGGGGATTCGGGTTTGGATCCGGCACACATGGATTGCAAAGTCGTACTTCTTCGCCTCCGCCAAGAGCAGGATTCGGTGTGCTTGTTGCTGCTCCTGTCGTTGATGTTGATGGTGATGATGATATGACAGGATCGTCGCCTGTGAGATCGACGACCGGTGGAGCGTGGGAAGGCATTGGCGGGGAATCGGGGAGGAGGTCAACAAACTCAGGAGGGCGGACAATATACTGTCTAGGAATCGTGATCCGATGTGGGGAACATGATGCACATACAACTCGCCCACACTTTCGACAGTGGTGCTTTCTGTGCCAGAAGCTAAAGACTATCGCACAAATCGGACATTGTGACACATCCGAATCTGCCTGCCATTTGGGGAGGGCCATGTCCATAAATGGCGGGGGTACATTATTGGGAAGAGGTGTAATGGAGCGGGGTTGATTAATCCAGGGAGTTGGATTCTCCCGTCGAGAAAGACCCGGCAGTTGTTCGCCAGCAGTAGAAGAAGGAGGCGTTCCTGGGGGAGAGGAAGAGATATCAATTGCTGTTGCAAATGACGAACCAGGCGCTGCGGAAGGCGCTGCGGAAATAGAAGTCCTAGTGCGGGACGAAGGCAGTACCATCGAAACGGATCTATGCGGCAAGATACTCCTGGAGGATCCCCCATTGTCTCGGGCCGGTCCAGCCGTGCCTCCAGATCGTCCCCATTGCAACCTCGCTTCCTCGCCAGTACTGGTCAACCGCCTTTTGCGTTCTGACCCGGCACGAATGGGAAAGACTCTGGTCCTAGAGCTACCTCCTTCGTAACCGCTGTAGCTTCCAGGTTGGATTGTGCCATGTCCCTCCGGTCTTTCGACTGGTCTCGTGCCTGCCCGCATCCTCGGCGGGGGGCTGGACTCAATCGGGCTGGACGACGCCGTACTTGATCCAGGCATTTTTATTGCTGAGTCGACTGGTATGTACCGTTTGTGAAATTCTGTTCAACACAGGCAACGAGATCGATCTCGGCCGTTGAGGTAACAGTCTTCATGAACTAGGTGGCGATGGTGAGGGTAATGGATGGCGGGGAAGTGGAAAAATATGGGTTTAGAGGATGGTAAGTCCTTTCATGCAATCCTAGGCTCAGCCTCAATGACGTTGACGCTTTTTGCCGAAGATTGCATCAAGGAGTGACAAGATGATGCTTATCATGGAGCCAAGGCTGATTGGGTCGGATTTAGGAGATGGATGAGGCGGAGAGTCTCGTGACTAACGCTCTCGGATGCCAGCAACACAGTAGCTATGTCAGCAGCAGATAGAAAGGATAAACGATGAAAGTAGGAGAGTGACACTTGACTCGCAGAGAAAAGAGAGGGAATGATGCAAAGCAATGCATGTTTGGCCCAGATACGACTGTTATCGTGGGGCAGGCGGTGAGGGCGGTGGCGATTGACAGTATCGGCCCGATCTGCCCGCGTATCATCGGCCTCGGTTGTTTCTTCTGCGCGAAGTCTCAGTGTTCTGACCTAGGTCTCATAGTTCAAATGATAATGAAAATAACTAGTTCTGCGACGATGTTCCCAGAGAAGCTACTGCATCTGCATGTAGATATCATGGATGGACCAAGGAGGATTTCTCATGCACAAGTATGGCCGCAGGATCCTTGCATGATATTGTCACTAGACAGCGAGCCCTGCATGGTGATGCAACGAGGAACATATGTACACATATCTAAGTGCTATATGTTACTTTTATCCAGCTTTCAAGACATATTGAGGCCTTGACATCACCGCTAAGAAAGAGCACATATGAACAACCCTCATTAAATTATTATCTCGGTACTATGGTGTCCTAAGATTGATACAAGAAGAGCTAAAAGAGACAGGGACAGAAACGAGCAAGGCCTCCAAAAAGGAAAACAGCATGTGGCCTAGATTCAGCGACAGCCAAAAAAAAATAGCAAAAAGCCAATGAGCTCACTTCCCATTAGGTGTGCCTCGAGATCGAAGACAAAACGCCGTCGCAGCAATTTTATGTAGACGCACAAAGCAAGAGATAGACGGACAGACAGCAAGGAAATTCGTGATAGTGGCATCAATTCGCCAGTATTTCGGGGGAGAGCTGGTGATGATATCAATGGAGGTGAAGAAAATAAGTGGGGGGAGATCCATGAATTGGAAGAGGCAGAGATAGAGAGAGGTAGATATCGAAGAAGAGGAATATACTGGTTCAAAATACATATTTGGCTGCCTTTTTTTGTCTTTCTAGCGTTCGTGCCTGCCCAGGGCAGCTTCGTCGACAAGTTCTGCTGAGCTGCCTGTAAACGACGGCTCGTCGGGGCTCGCCTCGTGAATGTGATCGTGTGCGCGATGTTGAGGTACATAGCCCATACTCGAGGGCCGTTCCGCTCGAGGCCCCGTTTGCTGGCTCGAGGCATTTGACCTTGACCTTGAAGTAGAGGTCATGGATAGACCTCGTTCACGAGATGGCGAGCTACTCCCGCTGAAAGGCAAGCGAGTGGAACCTTCTGGCTGGAGATGGTGCTCAGAGGGCTCAGAGTGCTGGCCCACCTCAGAGTTGTGGGACAGGGTCTCGGTCACAACTGGAAGGCCAAGCGCAGTTGCATCTGCGTCTTGTTCACTGGGCGCCTGTGTGTGGCGAGAACCCGTTCGACTCGGCAACTCGATGCCGCCGCCAACCGACGTATTGAGTGGTGGCAGTACTGGTGGGCGTGTCTCACTTGACCGCCCGGGATCCTGGTCATCATCCGAATCCTGATAAGGAACATTGCCAGTAGACACATTCCGAGAATGGCTGGCAGATGGCGTGCCTGTATCATCCTGATACTGATCATTATAGTCTCCTCCTCGCGGGAATAGACCTGGAGGAGGCGCACGAGCACTTCGGACCACCTCGAATCCTTTGGCGTTATCCTTGGTCTTCCCTTGAAGCAAGCCTCGGAACCAGCCCGTCGCAGAGGAGACTGGGCCTGTGGGGTCGGCTGGGCCAGTTTTCAACTTTCGGGTACCGCTGTGAGAAAGCGGTGGGCCTCGAACACCGTAGTAGAAGTCAACCTCACGGACTGCATAATCCTTCGGCTTGGGTGGGGTATCGAGCTCCATATCATCCTTCGGTGCTGCTAGATATGCCGGGACAGGTGTAGCCCGGCCAGACATGGTGCCATCTCCCAGGTCGTCTTCGGTTTTGGCTGCTCGGCGGCTTGCTCTTGATTTCAAGAAGCCCCTTGACGGGCTCTTCCCCTTCTCAAGAGTAGCACTTCCCGGCGGGGTTCTTCGCCCCGGGCGGGGTGGTCGATAATAGGGATCACGGGGGTTCGTTCCCATCATTGTACCACTGCTAGGCGAGCTAGGGAAGCCGGCACCTTGATAGGCGGTCGAGGTAGGTGTGGGGAATCCTCCGCTGGTGGCACGACTGTGTGTGGCCCCTTGCGAACTGGGATAATCATAGACAGCGCTGGCTCTGCCATCACTAGCTGCGGCACGGTTAAGAAGCAGACCGGAGCTCCCAGAAAGACTACGGGGACGCGATCCATCAAACTGAGAAGACATACGGTCATCGCCGTGTCCGAGCATAGCAGCTTCCGAGCCCATACTCTGGCGAGTAAGATCGCGCCGCGGAGTGCGCCTGGAAAGCTGCCGCATACCAAGCACCTTGGTCAAGCCACCACGAGTGGTACCACCCGCACCAGCCAATCTGGCCAGGACCTCGATCAATGTTTGCATCGCGTTGAGGAAGAACCCAAAGATTAGAACCATGGCGTGTAGCACAAGGATCAAATATCCGATCCACCCTCGCGCCGCATCCGAAACTGTCAATGACGGCATAAAGATGACACTTAGGATCACTGTCAAGAAACGCACAATGGAGAAGAGGCAGTGGTACAGGTTCATGTGCGTCGGTCCTGAGAAAGGTCGGAAAGCCAGCAGGGTTAATACGGAAACAACTTCGCAAATGGCCAGCATTACCACCTGGGCGATGCCAGATGGCTGCAAAGCACCAATGGCTATCCCGCGAGCGATGTTCAAGACAATCGGCACGATACCGAAGGCTGCTGCATCATCACAGTATGTATTATATAGCGGCCCATACAATAACACCGTAGGAAGATCATCGAAAAGGTGAGACTTGGGTCGGGTGGTAAGAATCACTCGAATCACCCAGATGGAGAAGCAAGCGAGAATAATAAGCACGACGGCTGCCAAAGCAACACTGTAAGCGGTTGATTGACGAGCAATGACCAGCTGGAAGAAGGAGAGGGACACGATCGGCAGGAGAAGGAAATTGAAGACAATGCGAATGAGGTTACCTAGGGTGAACGGCATGTTTCTAGCACGAAGATCCTGATCGGTGTTGTTTGCCAACTCACGATACAGCCATCGAAGTGCGAATGCAATCTGGAATAGCACCGTCACACAGGCCAGAATTATGAGCACCCATATCATCATACCGGGCCAGATATCCTGGGACGAGGCCATGCCAACCAAATGGTTCATTCGGTCGAGGCCATAAGTGCCATTGATGGCATATAGACCATCGACAACGGGATCGCGGCCCATTCCAGTGCTCACGAAACTCTGGTTGAACATGAGAGTCGACCATGCTCCCTGGCTTACAGCAGGTTGGAAGAAGCCTGGGTAATCCAAAGAAAGCGAGCCCGTCAAGACCGCGAATTGAAGGTATTGCAAGCAATCTGCAAAGCCAGGAGTGACGAGCCGGAGAACGTCCTCATCACGGCCATAATTGCTTGTCCACCGAAACAAATCAGTTGTGCCCCAAGGGCTATACATGGCAGCCGTGATGGTCGCAATCCCCACAAACAGCAAGATAACAAGAGGCACATAGGCGATGGAGTTTTTGAGAGGTGCTCCTAAGTCCGGCGTAGCGCTCACTGAAACACAGGCAAGCTCAAGCGCGGATGCATCCCCAGAGCGAACCGACAACAACGGTGTGATGGTTCCGAAACGGTAGGTTGAAAGCATATCATGTTCAATAGTGAACGCTCGTAATGTCGTCAAGTCACTCCTGCATAAGAGGAAGGGATCAGTCAAAAGGCACAGAGAGCCATCTATTTTAGAGATAACTTACAGGTTGTAATTGAAGACCGGACCTAATGGAAGAGTACCTTGCGTGAGGGAGTCACGGAAACGAGAGAGATTATGAAAGGGCGTGAAGCTGAGCA